ACTGAATTTTTATTTCAGTTAAATCTCAAATTTAAATTGAGAAAAAAGTCATAATTCATTTAAAACAAATAGAATATACTGATTATAACATATAAGTTAAATCTGTAAGATTAATTGAGTAAAAAGTCATAGGTAACATAAAAAAAATAGAAATAATATACACTATTTTAATATTTTAATTAAAATAAAATATTTTTTTATTGTTTAAATTCTTTAATAATCAACGTTAAACCAAAGATTAATTTTTTCGATTATTTTTAAAAATAAGATTAAATTCTGCTAGCTATCAAAATTTAAAAATAGAAGTGAAATTACACTTCGTTTTTAGCGCATTTTTAGGACATTAGATCTTTCAAATTGAGTAATGAAATCAATAAATCTATTTTTCTAAATTTTACAACTATTTATTTATTGAATGAAATAAAACATTAACTTTTTTGATATCGAATAATATTGAAAATTTTAGATGAGATGTATATAAATTCTCTTTTATGAAATATATAATATAACAAATCTATGGATAGAAGCATTTTGTATGTTTATAATTTAGAATGAAGAGAATCTAAATTTTAAGAAAATTTCTTAATTATGAAATATTTGTGGTTTTGCTTTTAATACCTTTAGAGATATGGAATTCGGTAATGAACAATAACACTGATGAAGTGCTTAAATTTGCGGGATTCGAAATCTCAGCAAAGAAATATTGTGTTAAAATTTAAAATAGTAATATAAAAAGTAAGAATAGCAAAATTGAAAACTATGAAGATTTAAAAATCAAAGTAAGTAGATACACATAAACAAACTTTATTCTTCAATTAAAGTTTTATTAAAATTATTTAATATTTTTGTTTAGATTAACACAGAGCACCTAATTCTTTATTGTGTAAAAAAAATTTAATTTAGATTAAAAATGTTCTACTATAATTTTGCAATTATATAAATATCCTATAAAATTTATCTTGTTATTATCATTTATTTCTGTCAATGAACATGAAGATCAAAGAAATTAAATCTTAATCTGGTTAGGAATTGATGCTTTATAATATTTTCAACGCCTCTTAGGTGTGTTAATAAGCTAAATATTTGCTTTACTCAATTCCTTCTCCAGCCAAAACAATTTAATTAACAGTATCGTACTAATTAGACTCGCCTAATAGAACTGAGTTCATAAGTTTGTATTCTGGGGATTGCTTTTTTTACTAATTGAATAATTCAAATAAAACGGGTCCAGTCAAAACACCACTCTTTAGGTCATTTAAACTAGCTTTACCCAATTATTCAGAGTTTGAAGTATAATCTAAGACATCATCAATTATTTAGAAGGCAACGCCCAAATGCAACCCAATGTTGAATGATTTTTCACAAATTTCATCTTTAATGTTGGTTAACTAGCACACTCCTTATAAACTATTCGCAATCAATGCTGCTGTCTTGTAATAGGTTTTAATCATGTAATTTTGAAGAGTGATCTCAAAGTTATGAAAACTCTTTTATTTCATAGCTTATAAATATTCACCATTAGTTAAGTTGTCCATAATTTGTGAATAGATTTGGAACATTCTGATGTCATCTAATTCAGAAATTTTTCGACCACTAATATTTTTATAATTATTATTACGCTCTTCCAATTAAATAGTTAGCTGAAAATGTAGCTCTGTGTTTGCCAAATATTGTGTGAGATGAAGGGATTCCCCTTCTTGTATCTGATGCATCTAAGATGTCATCATGAACTAGACTGGCTACATGTAGAATTTCTATCACTGCAGCCCAGATTCTTTACTATTCTGTATGTTAACTGTTTTTTTCAATATGATTGGCATATAATAAATTTAACATCGGTCTAATAAGTTTGCCTTCCTTGCTGAAATAGTGAGTGGATGCCTTGTTTAAAGATTCTATGTCTCCTTAAATCTATATGAGAAAAATGATTACAATTTCTTATTTTATGTAATTGTAGAAGCCAGGAAGTTAGTAGGTAATAGGTTTTATCTTATATAAACTTTTGTATTAAGTATTAAATGAGATTAGCTCTGATTTTGATGTATTTCTTGTGATTTATATGACTTTCATATTAGTATGATTTACATCTTTGTAGTTGATCCATGTATCGAAATCTTGGTAAGAAGTTTGAATTCATGGTTGAAATCGATTATATTAAAAATAACAATTAAATTATGTTATTTGAGAAACTAAAAATATTCAATACAAAAGAGAAGCTTTTGGAAAGATTGAAAGAAATCAAGAAAGAGGAGGAGATGAAAAAGAACACACCTATGAAAGAAAAGGTTAAAAGAACTTGTATGTAAATTTTGAGAAAATAATTTAGTTTCGACATCTTAATCATAAAGAACAACTTTGAATAGTTTAAATAGATTATCAACATCTCCTAAAGTTTAATGCATTATGGATATCGAAAAAATTAAAATGCCACTCACATTTGAAAGATACTAGAACATAACAAGAATGACTGAAATACCCATCCGTTAACAGTTTCAATATTATAACTATCAATAGAATATCAACTCCTCAGCCTCCCTAAAAGAGTATTCTAGAGAGATTAAATGAATAAGAGGAAGATAAAATGATTAGAGAATTAATTGATAATTACAAACCCGAATAGTATGATGTTATGATGGAGAATGATTAATTAGAAATTGAAAGACAAAATGATGAGGCACACGCAAACTCGATGAAATAGTTTTCATATCAAGATTACAGTCCTCAAAGAATGAATTTAATTAAAAAGCATCAACATCATCATCATAAATCTAACCCATCTCATCTTAAGAATAATTAAAGATATGATGAATAAAAATAGCTATATATGTAATAACTAGAATATAAAGGAGATATCAATCAAGAATTACATACAGATAGAGGTAAATATTTGAGGAAATTTCGATTAGCAAAGTAATAAGCTGATATTATTTTATATTAGTAAAAATTTGAATAAAGTCTCTTAAGAAGATTTCAGAAAGACCATCAAACAATTTAACAAATTGGATGATTATGCTCAATTTTATAAATAAACTCCAAATTTGTATATGCAATTGAATAAAAGCTCGCACCAATAGCAAATATTTTAAAGCGGTCTAGGACTAGTATAATAATGCAACCACATTCAACTAGCCAATGCATAAGCACAAATAAGATCCCCTTAATAAGTTAAAGTATTTTCTGATGCACTCAAGACTTAATAATGTAAGACTTTAACACATCTGAAGTTGAACCACAATAAACTGAATTCATTAAAGTATTCACCAATTAACATATTTTATTAGAATTTAACAATTGACTAAGTCATTCCCATAACATTTGTAGGAATTAGATTTAATGAATAATGGATTAGATTCAAAATCTTGCTAATTGTTATCAAAATATATTTAAAACTCATAAATAAAGAAAGTTAATTTAGAAAACAATCGAATAGGTGACATAGGAAGTAATGCATTATGTTAGGCAGTTCAAGATCACGATTATTTGTTATATTTAAATTTATCTAAAAATAATTTAACAGAGCATTGTTGTGTTGAACTGGCCAACTATCTAAAGAAAACACAAGTTCTATTTGAATTATATCTTCATTTTAATTCAATAAATAGTGTTGGAGCTGTTAATATTTGGAAAGCATTGTATAAAAATTCTAGCGTCAAGGTCTTTGATATTTCATATAACCGAACAGCCTCTATAGAATGTTCTTAATAAATGGCCAAAGTTATTATTAAATAGTATCCAGAACTTATGCATATAGACATTTCATATAATGGTTTTAATGAGGAATAATCAATCGAAATTAAAAAAGCATTAGAATAAAATTAGAATATATATGGATTTCATTATTAAGGGAATTGCCCAAAATATTCAGTTGATTCTACTGGACACTTAAGAGATAGAATTTAAGAAGCTACAGATATTCAAAGAAAAATCGAAGAGTGTTAAAAAAACCCATAAACAACTTTAAAATTAGTAGATGATTATTAAAGTCCAGAAATACAGATATAAGAACAACAATAACACTAATAGTATTAAAAAAAAAGAATAAAAGATCTAAAAACTGATTCAGAATTATATAGAAATTTTCGATTTCGAAGAATTTAAGGAATGAAGCCAATCAAATAAAATTATGATACTGATAGTGAATTAGATGCTTGTTGGATATGTGATGGGTGGTAGGAAGTGAAATTCACTTGGACTCCTGGTAAATCAGGTGGAATGAACAACGATCCAATATTTGTACACTTAAATTTTGAAAATTACAAACCAGTTCTAATGACACTTCATAATGGAGAATATTCTGTTTATAGAATGTGTCCTCCAAATTTCAAAGTCACTTATTTTTTTAGCAATCCTGTGCTTGGAATTTAAACTACAGCTAAAAATTAGTTAATTACTTAAACTCCTCAGGATGACCCTTTATATTCAACTAAACAATCATTTTTATATAATGGAGATATCTTAATTGAAGGAAATAAAATGGGATTTGTCAATGAATTATTTACGGATGATAAGTAATCAATTATGGATAGATATTTTGCGAAAATCTTTAGCAAACCAAGAGAAGAAGAAAAGACTTTTGATTTAACTTAATTTCTTACAAAAACTGAAAAATTTTGGAGTTATGAAATTTCTATTTTTAAAAACTATTAACCTGATAATGATGAATTAATTGATGAATGCTTTGAATATGATTATGGAAGTTCAAAAATTAATAAAATTATTAAAGATCCAATTGAATATAATGAAGTCAAAGAAATTATGAGAGAGTATTATCCTTACATTTTTGCAGCTTATAAATTTTTAGCATCTACTCTTATCGGGGCCACGATTCCTTGTATTTCATCTAATGCCTTCTCTGATTTTTTATCAACAACAGGAGTTATTTCTGAAAAATTTAGATCTGGGGATATTGATTTAAATTTTATTGCCACTTCAAATGTTAAAGATATCAATTATCCTAATGTTTACGAGAAAGCTCTAGTAAGATACCAGCTAATGGAAGTATTAGTTAGAATTGCTATTGATAAATATTTGAGAACATAAATTTGCAAAACAATTAAAGAGAGTTTGAGAAAAATGTTTGAAGAAGATGGAATCAAATAAAAACTATAAGAAATTGACCGTAGTCAAGATTGGAGGGACATGAGATATTGGAATGAATAATGTGACATTTTATTAAGTAATTCATTATTTAAATATTCTATTAGAAGATAGATTGCCAATGTTAAAATTACTATTCAAATACACATCAAAATTAAATTCTAAATAAAAGTATTATAAACACATATGGCTTTAATTTAAAGATTTCAGAGATTTATTAAACAAATGCGATTTGTATTGTGATATTTTTGTTGAAAGAGATGCTTATCTTGCATACTTGCTGGCTATGTAGACATCAGTTGATGAACTTTACTTACTTAAACATTTCTAAATGGAATTTTATGAATTCTTAGAGGCTTTAGCTAGGTGTGCTGAAAAATTATCTTTGATAAGAACTAATGATTAGATCACAATTGATGATAGAAGACAATAACCCCTGTTTAAGAAATTAGATGCACTAACATTCCTCATTTATATTAGATTGGGCGAGATTATAAAGGCATAATTTCGTGAATCTGATGATCTTTCTGATTTTGATAAGTGCATGTAAAAAACCTATGGTCAAGTAATTAAACAACCAAACCCAGATTTAGAGGAGGATAATACTGAAAAAATAACGCCTTAATAAGAAGAAAAATTATTAGAAGAGCAACTCAACACGATTGTTGTTCAACCTATTCTTACTATGGTACAGATTTTATCTTATTAAGCCTCAACCTAACAAAAAATCAACTGGAATGACATTCTTATAGGTTATAAAATAAGCATAGTAACAGAAATAATTAAAAAACACGTTTAATCTTACTAATGTAGTATAATATTTTAGGAATAAAGAGGAAGAACAACTGTTAAAATGATTTTAATTTGATTTATACGATACCAATAAATCTTATATACAAATTAAATTATTCATTTTTATAAACTTAGCTATCCTCAAAAATCAATTACTAAATTGTTAAGTTTTTTTCAACAATTTCGACTAAATAAATTTGTTAAATTTATATCAAAAAATGGATTGGGAAAATGAATTGATTTCTCATCTTATTCTACATCTACTAGTTCTTGGATAGTCACAAAATTCGTTTATTCTTATTTACCAGAATTAATGTATTAGATTTATATGGATTGTTTATTCGTATTTTTAAATTTATTAATATATTTTTTTTGATAAATTAGTTAAGAAAAAAACTAATAAAATCAAATACTAAAAAACTGAATCAACATTGATTAGAATAGGAGTTTGGATAAATGGTTAGCTTTTTATAAAACAAAAACCTTATTTTATTTAACAGAATAAAACAATCATTTTACTTTAGAGCTGCCGAATCTTCATTTCTAAAGAAATCATATTTTTTATCATTTTGAAGACAAAGTAGATTCTTAAATCAATGAAACTTCTGTTCAAGTATATTTTTCACTAACTCTAAGGTAAAGTTACAATCTATCGTCGAATAAAGTAATCTTAGCTTTTAAATTTAAATAAATTCAATACTTAGAATATAATATCTAAAAACTTAATCCTTTTAGTAAATAACTTTAGATTCTAATACCATAAGTCAAAAAAGGTTAAAGTAAAAATAACAGTTATAATTGGATTTTAATTCAATATAATATAATGCAATGTAAAACTAATTCTATTTGCATTAGTATATATTCATTTTCATCCAAATTATTTCTGTTAGTTGATAATTTGTAATAATTAACTTTTTGTATTATTTATATTTCAGATTATATAAAATGATATCGTAAATGATGCAATTTAGAAAAGAATATAATACAATAACCAATCGCAAAATCTTTTTATCATTTTTAGAATACAATAAGGTCTCTATGTTTTTCAACATGTTGAAGTAGCTCTTCTAAGTCTACATTTGGTATTTCCATGTCTAATGCAATATTTTTGAGATGGGTTTTAAATTTATCAAATTATTAGTTTGTGATATTGAGATTTTTATGAACCTCTATTAAATCTCTATAATTATTAAACCAAATAAAATACCTTCCAGTGTATTAGGTATTAGTATCACCCATCATTTAAGCGAAAAATCGTTTTTGTTGATATCGAACTCGACTCATGTCAGCCTTCAAAAATTTGTCTCGAAGTAGCTTATCAAACAAAACTTTATAATAGAATTGATCAATGAGTTCTGAAACTTATTGGTCTCCTCCAAATTTTTCAAAAAGACACTTCTTTTAATTATCCATTTTTAATTTTTATTAACAAATATTCTCATAATATCTATTTAGCTTTAAATAATTCATGTGATATTATAGTTACCAATATAAATTAAACGTCGAGTGAGCTTTTACTTATAGAAACTGAATTCAAATTAAGGAAATTATTATTAGTTATTTCTTAGAGAATATGGCTATTCTCAAAGTTAACACTAAATCACTTTTTATTCCGCCTTTATTTGAGCATTATTTAGAGGTTATTTTTGATTTTCAACTAAAGTGGATTGTGAATATCGTGATTTTAATGATATAATTAAGATAATGAATTAAATCAATAATAATATCAAAATTGTACAAGATTGTTGTGAATGAAAAAATATTCAAAATACAGTAATTGTAGTTAATTACATTTATATACAAGTAAGTAATTAGATTAAAAATTTATTACGGTTAATTATTTAAAATGCAACAACTATCAATTTCAACAAATAAACTAATCCCTCATTTGATGAGTAAATTAGAATAGTTGATATAAGAAATTTAAAAACTCACAAAGTTATCAAATAGTTTAATGGATAATTTATAAGTATAAGAGATACAATATAAAAACTTATAATACAAATATCAATAAGTTTGGAATCAACTTAGTGATGAACAAAAGATCAAATTCAATTTAAATTAGATATCTTTAATCTAAAGTCATATTGAACCTACTTAATTATCAAATTTAATTAGTAACATAGAAACTAAAGTACTTGATTTAAAACATTATCGCTAAAATTCGCAGCCAATCATTTTACCTGTTGTACATTAATGTTTGGAGTGTAAAAAGAAGGAAGAATAGATTTAGGAATTAAATGAAACATTGGAAAAAATAGAAATTCAAAAGAAAAAATCTAAAACTAGTTTTTCGACTAGATTAAATACAGAATTTTCTCTCAAAGACAATTAGAATCAATATTAATAATTTACAACTAAGAGTAATTATTAAAAAAATAATTTTTGAAGTATTTTATTATAAGTTTAAAATTCAATTATAAAGTTTTAATTTTGATTCTAACTATGAGATTTCGTTTTTTAACCTTTTTACTTGTATAGAATAATCATGTTCCTTATTAGTTTAGGGTAGAATTTAACTTTTTTATTTTGGCGATGTAGAAGTAGTTATAGAAAATCTTAATTCTCTGCTTGATCTCTGCTGATAATTGAATCTTTATTTATTTTCTTATTGTAATTCTTATTACTGAATAGACCATGAACGATATCTAGAGTAATCATCATGTTGGGTTTGCAATTGTTGTAATTTTGATAATTCTCTGTCCTAGTTGAAATTATTGAGTTACTTTTATTACTAATATTTTTGAAATGTACTATTTAGAATTAAAAATCCAGGTCTAAGATTTGGAATGAAAATATTTAGGTTTAATATCGAAACATTTTTTCGGAGATTTGTCATTTTGAACATTCTTGGTCTTTTTGGGTTAGATAAGGATACAATTAGGTTTATGAGTTTATTTTAATTAGGAAATGGACTTCAATTCTTATTATTAAATAAGGGAACTCAAGAAGGCTATGATCTTTATGTAATTCTTTATTATTTTAAACAATAAATATTACATTGTAATTTTCAGTATTAACTACATATCTAAGAAGATTAGATTTAGATTCTAACAAACAATACTTGTTACAAACCAAGTGCTTAGAATTATTAAGGCTATCTAATAATGCATTTATGTCCATATTTTATTGGTAATCATTAATGATGCAATGTAAAGCCTTAACTAAATATTTATCAATTATTCTTGTGCTTCTCATGATGTCCTAATTTAAAGAATTTTAATTACTGAAATATCATCTAGAATCAGTTGATCTTATGACATTTGAATTATGATAAATAATGATTAAATAATTATTAATTAATTAAGAATGCGTGGACCACGTTCAACGAGTCCTTGTCCTACTAAGCAATAAGTTGAGAAACTAAAGCTTTTATAGACAGCAATTAAGAAAAGGACAACAAAACCAGATTTTATGACCAACTACAAAATTCATATCATAATATCAAGTAAGATAATACTAAAAAGCCTATAGTTGTGATTGGGTTTTTAATTATTTCTTATTTATCTTTTACCAAGTAAACAAAAGAATACATTATCATTAATGAATCTGAAATTAAGTCACACAATTCGTAAGGCCATTCATACAACTTAGGCCCAAATGCTTTTTTCTATGTTTTAATTATTATAATTACAATAGAATATCACGTTAATGTAAGCAAAAACCTTATTTAAAAATGATTTCACATAATAAATAAATGTAGAGAAATGCAAATTGTCTTTTATCGAAGAAATACCTGTATATTACAACTTCAAAGAATTCTATCCATAGTGCAATCATCAAGTTTATAATTAAGGAAATTGTTCATCATCTTATTCTATTGCGGTTTCTTCTTCATTCTCAGACAGAGTATGCAAATAAAATTAAACCTAATAATTATCTGCTCAAAATTTATTGTCTTGTGATGGCAAATTAAATTTGGGATGCAAAGGAGGACATTTAACAAGATCAGCTGATTATATCATAAAACATGGATTGACTACAAACGAATGTCATCCTTTTAGAGGGGATGATACATTTAAAGAGTGTACCAATGCCCTTGATCATTGTTAGCGATTTAAAGCTGAGTCCTATTGTTAATTATAGAATAAAGATGTACTAATATTCATATCATAGGATATCAAAAGGGATATTTTAATGAAAGGACCAGCGGTTGCGATTATGCCAGTTTACAAAGATTTTTTAATCTATAAAGATGGAATTTATTAAGTATTAGATGGGTAGCCTCATTTTCATGGGGGTCAAGCAGTTAAAATAATAGGATGGGGTGAACACAATGGATAATAGTATTGGATCATTGAGAATACTTGGGGAGACACTTGGGGAATTAATGGTTTGGCTAAAATCTCCATTGATAGTTTTTCTGAAATGTCCTAATAAGCATTGTCATTAAATATTTGAGTAGTATATTAGATAATAAGTGTATTAATATATTTGAAGTTAAAATTTATAAATTAAATGAAAATAAAATAATAAAGAAACTCATAGATAAAATAGCTTTGATTCTAAAGAAGAACATGCGTTATCTTAGATAACCTCCCCTGTTCTGTATGCAGCTGTGTGAGCATTCTAAACACAAGCAAGTATTTTGATTGGTCCACACCAGTTTTTATAATTATAACATTAATAATATGTAAATTTCCAAAATAATTCTTCTTTCCAATTAGTGGTATTTTCTAAAACTGTATAATGTGTTGGAGTAGCAGTTCCTTAATGAACTTATTATGCAATCATGAAACAATCAAAATGAGATGAGACGACTCTGTCTGCAATAACCACTCCATAAATTTCTTTATCTTTTTGAGAAGTATTTATCATTTATTCTCTTGTTAACTATTATAAATGCAAATTATGGCAATTTAAAGTTATATTTATTTTTAATGATTTATTTCATCGTTTCTACTTCCTCTTAATATAATTTATTTATGAGTTCCCTACTCCATCTCTAAATATTACAATAGTTTCTGGTAGTTTATAATTTTAATTTTCTAATATTCTTCTAGACTTTGTTCTAAAAGGTTTGCGATATCTTTATTAATTTCTTTACCTTAATCTACTATTATTGTTTTTGTGAAATTTGTATCACCTTACTATCCAAATTAAGCATTGAATCCAACACAAGAATTAATCTTCTTTTCTGTTTTGTGATAAACGTCGATTCCAATAATCATAATTTCATCTGAAATCTCTTTCATTTTAGAAATCATCCATGATGAATTCCTTAATTTGCTATGTATTTATAGTATTATTTTTGGAATTATAATGATAAACTTGGTTTTTTTAATTAATTTTAAAGTGATATTTTAATGAGAAACTCCCACTTTTGCAATTAAATATTAATTTCATGCTTAATATATACTTTTGTTATTTTTTTCCCCGAGTAATGAAATAACTAGTTATGGTTTTCCATTTTTAGTTATATGTTATTAAAGACATGAAATCCAATCTTAACAGCTATTACTCCTAACTGACAATTAATGCGGAATCTACGAATTTAATCCACACCTATATCCATTTTTTGAAATTCATATAGAAAATCCTCTTTGTACTTTTCATTTTCAACATGATATATTAAAGCCCAATTTTTTAATTAAGTTTATTCAATTTAACTAGTTATTTGAAATTATCCTCCAGAAAAGAACTTTCTTTCTCCTTTGCATAAAATATCTGGTTTCTTTATTTCATAGGCTAATGTTGCAGAATTAGGATTAAATTTTATCTATTAATTTTTCAAAAATTATTCCAATTCTATCCTTTCTTTAATAATCTTATCCTTTCTATCCAATGGATCCACAACTAAAGTTGATCTTGTTAATTGTTTAATTCTTTATTCAGATGTTTGTGTATCATTTAATCCAGTTTTCCACAATAATTCAGGTATTAATCGTATTTCCTCTCCTTTTTTGTTTCAATGAACCAATAAAGGTTAGGTTTAGTCATATATTGTAATCTTGTACTTTTGTTGGTAATATTAGTAATAAGTCATTTTTCCATTTTCCATTAACGATTAAGGAGTCTTGGAAAAATCTATACCAAGGATTCTATAGAATCTTTTAGAGTACATGGCATATCCAGATGTATGCTATAGTTATTCTTGTAGTTGTTTTCTATTACCTTAAAAGTTATAAATAAAGTTCAAAATTGAATCAGTATTTATCAACTTTGTACTATAATCAATTTGAAGTAGAGGAGTATTCTGACCAGGACAATATACATTTCTAAATCCTTTCAAATATGCAATTTGAAACTCTTAAAATTTTTGATTACAATTCATTACCGATTCATAAAATTTACCTTTTCCAAAAAATTCTTTCATATTTCTTTTCTCATGAATTTACTTAAGTATAGCATTAATTGCTTATTTGGATATGTTTATTGATTATTAATCATTATACTGGGTTAAATCTTTTAAATTAATTGTCTTCACATATTTGATATCTACAATCAACTTAGTTTCATCCACTACTTTTGTAATGTGAATATTATTCCTCTGTAATTGAAAACTCCATATATTTGCTCCTGTGATACAAAAGCTTTGGATTCCTTAGGAAACAATTTCATTTTTAATTGAAGCAAATAAGTGTTTCACTTCTTTTTCTGAAATTCAAATTAATTTCAGGTTAAATGGTAAAACTGTAAATATGAAGTTGTATATCTTTCAAAAATTAAAGTTCGAAATGATTAGAGTCAAGAATCTTCATCCTATAATCTTTGTTGAGATTCTCTCCTCTTTGAGGTCTTTTTGGTAGCTGGCAAATTGTATTTGATTACTATTGCATATTATTTATTTATTCATTAATTTTTTACAGAATTGAATTGCTTACAAATATACAAAATGTACATTTTGTTTAGCACAATATTTTATATTCCTTCTAATAATTTATTAATATATTTGTTCTTAATTATAATCTCATATGGAAAAATTGATTAGTAAACAAATATACAAAATGAGTTATTTTACAAGTCATATAAAGCAAACGCACATTTATAAAGTCATATTTGATAAATTTATACAATACTTCTCGTATTTTTAATTTTTTCAAATTTGTGCTATCGTATTTTTTTGTGCTTATATTACCTAAGGCCTTCCATCAATTGAGGAGAAAATAGATTATTAAAATTCTAATAGAAATTTAATGGAACCATATGTTATATTTAAACATTTAACCTATATAAATTCTTTATGATATCGAATTTTCATAAATGTAGTTATCTGTTTCAGAGATCGGTATCAAAAGAGATAACACCTTAATTTTGATTTTTAGAATATTATAATTTAAAATCAAAAAATTATGAAAAAACTGCACACAGTGAGATTTGAACTACTCCGAAATAAATCAACGCATCTTGAGTGCGACCCCTTAGACCACTCGGGCATGTGTGCTGTATTGATATGGATGAGAAGAATCATATAATTTGTGATAAATTTAATAGAGAATATTCTTTAATTACTTTGTTTATATTTATTATAATAAAACACGTCAATATGTTAAACGATTTCAATAGCTGGTATAAAACTTAGCCTCTTTTTACAAGAACATATGTAAGTGTTTTAGTGTTATTTGGGATAATTGGAAAATTTAAACCATCATATTTGTGGTATTTAATGTTCGATGCTAATAAAATATTTCCGCTATAAGTAAGAATGATAATGAATTATTATATAGATACATAGACTGTTTACTCATTACTTTTTCAGCGGTACACTAAGTTTTAGTTTCATCTTTCATTTGTTGTTTATAATCTTTTGTATTAAAAACTGCGAAATGATGTTCGAAGGATCTAACTATGCAGATTTCTATTATATGATTCTTTACTTTTTTATAACAGGAGATGTAAATAAGTTTGATAATGTAGATTATGTGCTGGCTATTTGATTATGGATTTTTATCAGCTGCATTTTGTTTTGCATTGATCTATGTTTGGTGCAAGAGAAAACCATTTGAAACAGTGAGATTTTATTTTGGATTTCAATTCAAAAGTGAATATTTTCCATGGGTTTTGATTGCTTTTCATGCAATAACCGATCAAGACATAGTTTAGGACCTTATCGGTTTAGGAATAGCCCATTCATATTTATTATTAAAGGACTTCCTACCAGTGACTAATAGCATTGCCATTATTAGAAACACCTTAATTTTTGTAAGAATTCAATTTATCATATACTAGTAAAAACTTTGTGAATAAACACATTGCGAAATATGCACCATTTTTAAAGAAACAGATTTAATTAATAATAATTCCAGTAACCTTAAAGGCAACAATTCTTTTAAGGATAAGGAATACGTTTAGGTTGATATATAAAATATTTGAGTATATATAAATCATTAACCAAGAACTTTTCCAAACAAAATTTTAGGCAGTAGTTTTAATATATTTTTGGGATTTAAATGCATCTCTTATTTTTAAACAATTTATACAATTGGTTAAAAATTACCATAATAAGGTTCTACATCAAAATAGTGATATTATTAAAAATGTTAGATAATTTAATTCTATTTTTTTAATTTTTTCAACTCCTAATAATAAGATGTAAGCATTGTATCTCTAAAAAAGGGCATTAGTTTTTCTAATTCATTCATTCTTGTTATTTTCATTGAATAAAACTCTAAAACTCCAACTATAAAATTTTATATAAATGCTTCTCCAAACAATAGGAACATCTCTAATATTAACCTTGCAAACTTTTTCTCCTGTCTTTACATTAATAGAGTAAAATAATACTGACTAAAACATTAACATAAGTTTTCCTAAAATAAAAGAATATAGTAATACAATATTGTTACATTATAAATGCACAATAATTTCATTACATCTACTTTGTAGCATTTATTCCAACTATTAAATTCTTCTTTATATCCCAGGTACATCTTAAATAAATAAGTCTTGCATTGATTTCATTAAGTGAACAAACATCCAAAACATTTCTTCTTCATCTTCAAAGACTTCAAAATCGTCCTCTTCCAATTATTTATCATTTCCATCTATACTTAACAATAGTATTATCTTTCCACAAATGATATTCATCCCTTATGTATATCCTATTTTAGGATTATAAATTGCATATGCACATAGAATTCGGTATAAAAGAGTGGTATATTTTTTGGTATTCATTTTATCATCATAACCAGTTCTAGGAACGTCTTTATTGATTTAGTCTTCAACTAAATAGGGGGGTTTTTTAGAGAAGTAGGTTTTAGCATCACCTTTTTCTATAAAGGTCATCCATATTGCTTTGCGTCTAAATTATAAATAAATTTACTTTAAGTAGGGAATACCTCTTTATTATATTAAGGTGGCTGCTAATTGTAACTTTTAATTTTCACCCAGGAATTGGTTTTTAGAGATTTTGTGTAATTAATCATTATTAAACAAAGGTAGAGGTATATTTTTTGGTTCTAATTTATGAAAGACAATACATTTTTCTATCATCTCAAACTCATCATCTATTTAATAATTGATAATTTCATCATCTATCAATTTCTTCTTATCACCAGTTATAAAATTGGATTGTAATAAAGATGAGAAAATCTATGAATCAAATGATCCTCTTCGTTATCTTATTAGTGATTATTTCATTATATGATTTTTATTTTTATTACTCAATATTCTGTATAAAATGGTGGCTTATAGAATGAAAAATATATATTAATCATTAATATAAACTTAGATGTTTATAGTACAAAATAGAATTACTGCGTCTTGCATCTTAGTTCTTGGAAACTTAATTAAATTATATATTTAAAATGAATTTGTGTGATAATTCAGGATGGGATATTGAAGAACAATGCTATTTGGACACATTATTTACAGGTTATTTACCTAAATTAGAAAGAAGAATCTCAGAAAATAGTAGTCATAGGATCCGAACATTATCACAGCCAAAATAAATTAACCAACAAGCATCCATTACCTCTTTACATCATCATAGACCAACTTAAAGTTAAGCGTATTAGACTGGTTCTTTTAGTGCTAACTTTTATACTCCTTCTACAACTAAGAGCAGAATTCGATTCAAATTCACTCCAACATTAACACAAGAAGATTAGTAAAAATAGAAAAATATTTCATAATCTCCAATTAAAAAGAAACCAAAATATACTATTATAAATATGAGTTAATTACTATCAGTCACACCAAAAGTTAGAATGCATCAAGATTCTTTGAATAAAGTGCTTGAGCGATTTTCCAATAAAAAACGATGAAACATACAACTATTATAATATATTATGAACTCTTTATGTTTTTACCGTCTTAATTATCTGCTCATATATATAAATAATAACAATAAAATTTCAAACATTATAATTTATGCTTCATTTAAATGTAACTTAATTGATTAATATTTATATCATATAAATTTCATGCCTAAACAAGTGTAATAAAAGTAAGCAGGAGGAAAATTTGTGTCAACAGGTGACCCTGTGGCAGATGATAGAAATTGGATTGGAAGAGTCAATAATGAATTAACATGTACAGCTGCTTGGAATAGAGATTGGGGATTCTTAGCTGGAAATTCAGAGAATCTCAAATTAGAGGATGCTACTAAACCCTATAATATCGATGAATAAATTAAAAATCTACAACAAGTACTTTCAATTATTAATATCAAAGGAAATTGAAAAAATTTAGGTTGACCCTAATAAAATTACAATTAACAGAACCTATGGTAAAGGAGATGCTTTGGAAAAGTTTTAGACTGATCAAAATAATAAATAAAGAAACAAAGACCTTAAACCTTAAGATAGAAAAATACCAAAAACATGGAAATATCAAAAAGGCTGGAAACCAGAACCTGATCCTTATGATCCAATCTAAAATATGTTCAAAAACAATAAAAAGAAATGAACTAAATGTTTAAATTTACAATATTATCAATCATTATATTATAAATATAACAAGATGATTATAAATCAAATAATCTAAACCTTTTTTCCAGTCTTATTATTATACTATTTTCTGAATAAAATTTATAATGTTTTTAGTTTTTACTTACTTCAGTATTTTTAATTATTTTAATTCTAAATACTTTCAATGAAGGTACTTATTCTGATATCAATAAAAGCTATAAATGCCTTCTTTATCTAATCTTAGACTATGAAATAAAAAAATTAGTATGTTTAATAATTTTATTCATTATTTAATAATATATAAAATAAATGCTTATCACTAATAATTCTTTAGTATTATAAGTTCAGTATAAAGATTATGTTATTGTATAAAACGCCTTTTGATATTAAAGAGAAGAGTATATATAATAAAAATTAGAATTATTCTAAGTATTTAATGCAGTTATCAGTTGTTATATTGAATAAAATATGGTAATCAATAATTGAGAATGTCATAAGTATTAATGCGATGTAATTCTAGAGAATTTTTTGTTTTTAAAAAAGAGGTTAAAGAAAGGATCTTAAGTATTTTGAGAAGGATTTGTTCATATTTATAATAGTATGGAATTAACAAATAATATTGTGAATTAAGATTAGATAGTAATTCAAAAAATAAAAAGGAAGGACAAGACTGGTGTTGAAATAATGAAAGGACTTAAGAAACACAAAATAACATTTGTCGATGAAATAGAGAAGGGGAAGCAAGTTCAAACTGTTATTGAAGTAGAATGTTGGAAAAAATACAACTATGTTTCTCCTGATACTGAAGCGGCAGATGAATGCTGTTAGCTTATTTGATTGCAATTGTTGTTTGATATTTAATTTCCTGATGAATTGAGTATCGCTCATTTTAAAATATTAAATATAGTCTTTTTATTTCATTTTGCACTCACAAATATATCATATGATAATGTTAGACAAATATGGTGATTTAACATATTAATTAATCAAAAACTATCATCTAGAGTTGGATAAGCAACAACGACATCAGATTTATCAAAAAGTAACATACTTTTTTGATCAGTGCTCCAATCTATTTTTACAACATGGAAGTTCTTATCGAATGGCATGTCACAAGCAGAGGTACATGTTGGATTCCAAAAGAATATCTTACTACTTCCAGTACAAACTGTTAGGGTTGTAGAATTCTTCGACCATGTAAAAGATTTAACAGGTAATATTTAAACCATTATAGCTTTTAAGGTCAATAATTCCATGTCCCAAATGAATACACAATTTTACATTCCATCAAACTTTGTGGCAATATAGTCGTCTTTATAGCTCCATTCCAATAAACTAATACCATTTTGGGTCTTTGAGATATTGATTTTACAACCTTATTCCATTTAAGTAACTAATTATCATATTATTATAATACATTTAGTCACTACTCTCTAGGAATATTAATCAGAATATTCTTCTTCTTTATAAATTAGAACATCCTTTGTAATTTTATGCTCTAATTCTGTTATTTATTTAAGTGTCAGTAAATTAATGATTCTTAATTTTTCATCATTAGCTCCAACAGCCATCAAATCGCTTTGGTTGGCAAACCTACTAACTTTGATGCCTAATGAATATGAATAAGGTTCGAATTTCATTTATAAACCTTAACAAGGACAATGAAGATTAAGTCGAAACTAAAACATTATTATCTTATGAATTACATTTAATTCAGTGTCTTAAACTCCAATGAAGGAGTCATTATGAGACCATTGTAATAATGCTGTATCCAAAGTATCAGATGGTTGATAATTCAATAGTTTCCAATCTCTAACACTATAAATTCCAATAAAATCTTTAGCATCTTTTCTTTCACTCATTACCATGAATCTCCCATTATGACTAAATGAAATTTATTTTGGATTTTTAAAATGAGTCACATTTTTGTTATTCAAATTGTAAATTGATGCTTTAATCTATTAAGATTTTATTTATTTTTACTTAAAATTCACTAATAACAGCTAATTAAATAGAATCTGGACACCATTAAATAGTCTCAACACTATCATCAATTCTTGCACACCAATTAACTTCATCTATTTTTCTAATTTCTACGTATCCCTTTTTTGGATAACTTAATGCAATTAATTCACTATTCGGAGAAATTTCTATTTATTGTATTTAAGCATCATTAATTTATGAATGGGTAAAGTTAATTGATTGTAATTAATCTGTTTCTTTCACAATCACTCTTGTTCCATTACTCAACACAATATATTTGCTATTCGGTGCAAATTAAGCAAATATTACACCTGGGAAGATTTCACTAAAGTTCATTTTAATTTTGAATTTTAAATTATATATTATAACAATTCATAATTTCTTTAATATGAAAATACTGTGTTTAATTAGTATTATTCAATTATCGAAATCTGATTCATTAAATTTTATTGATTGACTTCCACTCCAATTTTGAACACATAACACAGAAATAACATAATTTATGTGGCAGTTATAAATCGAAAATTAAAATTGGGATCAACATAATGAATTTTCAATTAGCTCCAAGTGTGCCTTCACTTTTCTTTAGATTATTCTAAAATGAAATGAAAAATATTTTAGATAGTATTTTCTTATATAATCCTTTTAATTATTAATGTAAGAAAGAAATTCTTGAGATATTTGAAAGATAGATACAAATTCAGTCTAGAATAATGCATAGTTTAAGGTTTTAACAATTAAAAAAATGAATATATATAGAATAAGTTAGTTTAAGTATGTTTGGAAGACTAAACTCTTAAGATTATAATTAATATTTATAAAGATTTATCTTATAAGTTTTTTCAATACTCATGATGACGTTTCATTTATATATAGAAGCCAAAGATTTAAAGCTATCTTTAGTTTAATTGGTAACCATTGACTAATAATTTGAATAGGTTACAAATTTTCTTTATTTGGTAGTTTGACTTGAGTATTATTTGAATGACTTTGGAGAACATTGTGTGAATTCAGTTTTAACTCTTTTTGATTGAATAGAAAATTATCTCTAATCAAAATTTGAAAGTTTTGTTGAGGATAGCTTTAATAATAGATTAGTAGTTCTTGAAACAGTTCTATATTTATTGATTTATGATTTATTTTCATTGACGAAGCTTTTTTTCATATTTTCTAATTATATATGAGTTAATAGTTTATTTTTAAACCTGTTGATTTTTGGATCAATTATCTTTCTTTTCAAAAATTCATTATAATTGAAATAGTTGAAATATGGATCATTTTAATGAGTCAATTAAAACTGACTTTATGAACCACATTCTGAACAAAAGCAACTGTTTCTTCTTGTTTTTTCTTAAACAATTTTATCATTAGGAGTTCTCATTTATTTTATAAAATTTTAGATGTTTCTATTCTTAGTTTTAAGCATTTTTAGAGTTTATATAACAGTTTAGCATTTTGTCAATTCTTAAAGGCCTCTTCGAAATTTCCTTATGACTGTATCTTCAGCTATTTACGTTTGTCTTCTATAGGTTTCCTTAGTCTCCTTATCTTAAGTACAATATTTGGTTTTCAATTCAGGTAAAATATTATGGTATCGATTTTAGAATTTATTCATGTATCCAAATAATTATGAGTAGCAACTTTTTCTTCTTGTTAAACCTCTTGGTTATTCGATTTCATCATTTTAAACCTGTAAAATGTTAAAACTTCTAGAGTTAGAGATTTTATTTAAAACAATTTCACATTTTATAGTGTAGTCTTTTTTACTTATTTATCTTCTCATTATGTTCAAAATATTGGAATAGCTTAAAAGAAATACAACTTCAAATAAATAATAAATATTAAATATTAATAATAGTCATCTTTAATTCAAGATATTAGATTAATACTATTTAATTTAGGAGTAAATTTAAAAAGTTGAACTTCATTGGTTATTTATGTTGTTTTGCTGTAGGAGGATTTCACAATTGGCAGGTTTAGTTTTTTTTTTGTAACGTTTGGACTATTGCTTTCAGATTTCAATGTTAGATCCCTAATATTTGAATTGGTTTTAGTGAAGAATGTTGTTTTGCAGGCATCTTTAAGGAACACCTTTCTAGAACTGCCTTAATAGCCTTTTTAGAGTTGTTTTGTAGGTTGATTCAATGTTAGATTTGATCTTCTTAATGAGGTGATTTGATTTGGATAAGTTGAATAATTTTCATCATCTTCAGGTTCTTATTCTTATTTTCTTTCGATTGGACTAATTCCTTTGAATATGTAATCAAGGTTTCTTTTAATTCTAAAATTAGTATGTCTGTTTTTAATTATTTATTAGATATAAATTAACTTTGTTTAGGATTGAAATTTAGTCATATTTCCACATTCATCACAACAACAACTATTTGAACGTTATTTCTTTTGATAGCGGAACTAATTAGTTTAAATTAGGCTTGTGTTAGGGTTTGGATAATATTTCAATTTTACTTCGATAGTTTGAGGGATTCGTTTATGAATTTAATTATTGGCAATGATGCCATCTTGAGAATCCATATAAGTGGATTCAATGCTCTAATATTTCTTTGGTTTGTTGGTTTAAAGATGGGAAATATATGATTATAAATTCATAAACTTGAATTATAGAGAGCTAAGTTATCCACATGAATCACAATTACAACTTTTTCTTCTTTATTTAAATTGTTCACTTATTTGATGATTTGGAAGTTGAATAAAACTTTTGCTTCTACGTTTTATTCCTTTTTTATTAGTTGATGAGGACATAGTGAATTCTCAATTTATTTAATAATTTAATAAAGTTGTAATTACTGTTCTTAAATAAAATCTTATATTTATTATTACAATATAATATAAATGAAATAGAAATAATATTCATTATCAAAATATATGTTAATTTAAATTATTAACATTTTGGAATAAAGAATTGAACATTTTATTTATTTTTTTTGATGATTATATACAATAATTATTAAGAAGTTTAAAACATAAATATAAAATTATAAAGAATATCATTATGTTTTAAATCTATTGTGTTTTTTTGTCTAAGTTGGTTTAATTTTTGAAAAAGTGAATATTTTTTTAGTAAACCCAATTAAGAGTGGGCACAAGAGTTTGGGATTATTGCGGAGTTTAATTTTAGTATTTGTAGATCTTTCAGTTTAAGGGAGTTTCTCAATAATTAATTGCTGAGATTTAAGTACAAGCGGAGATGGTCCATCATGAGAATGAAAAAAACTTGGTCTGAAAGGTTTATTTTTGTGAGCAGTATCTTCCAATAATTTCTAGGTTGTACTAATAGAGGACCTGGCAAAGGAAGAGTCATAGATCAGAAGGGGAGATCTTTGTTCATCAGATTTATCATTGATTAATTATTTTCTACTGACACGAAAGGAGCCCTAACTTTTGCGAATGTGTTGGATATCTGAATAATGATTAGAATGTACTTGGAAGTTAGATGGAGAATCTATTTTAAATTGGCCTATGTTCTGTTGATGGATGAAGAGTATAACTCTGATTCCTTGTTTGTGGTTGGTGATGTTTGAGATTCATAAATTTGAATTGGAATTTGCTCATTCTACCACATTCGTTGCAATGACAACTCTTTCTTCTTATCTTTTAATTGATACGCTGTTCTAATTAATTACTAGCAAAGAGATCACTAAATGAATGTTTATGTTTCTATTGGATGGTCTTTGTAAATTAAAAATGGCAAGGATCTCTGGATGTATGGAAGGAATAAGTAAAGACAGCTTGAGATTTCATAATAAGTATTAAATAATAGGAATATTTGATTAAATTATAGATACAACAAACTTTAATAAATGTTCGATAATATAACAATTATCATTCACAACATCTAGTTACTTTCATGAACACCTCTTCCAATGTTGCATGACTCAATCCCCAATCCTTAATCAGCTTTCTTAATTGCAATTAAGTTTCTGATAAATCTGATTCCTTCTTTTCGAATACTTCAAACAAGGCCTTCAGATCCTGCATATATTAAAAGGGTATGGAGATTCTGAAATAAAATGATAAATTTACAAAATGCTACCACCACTAGTGTCTAATAGTTTAAATTAGTTTAATAATAGTTTTATTTTGGACAAACATTCATCCACCTAATCAGTGATAATGTTGACTCTATATCCATCTGAGAAATTGTTCTTCAGAAACAAACTTGTACCAATAGCCTTCAATTACCCTTCAGCCATCACAGCTATCCTATCAGCCAAAACATCTGCTTCTTCCATAGCATGTGTAGTTAGTATCACAACTCTATTTTGTTTCATATTCTTAATCATTTTCCAAACCTACCTTCTAGCTCTGGGATCCATTCCTGTCGTTGGTTCATCCATTATAATGATCTTTGGATTCCCAATTGCACTGATAGCTAAAGACACTCTTCTTTTCATTCCTCCACTGTATGTTTGAATTTGTTGATCTTTGACATGCAATAATTCAACCTCCTTCAATCTGAGATCTATCTCATTCTCTATTTGATCTCTATGCAATCCTTTGATTGTAGCATACATCCTTAGATGTTCAGCTGCAGTCAATTGATTCCATAGAATATCGAATTGCGGACAAACACCTAACATCGCTCTGATCTTTTCCATATCATTAAGATCATAATTCATAATTTGAGCTGTACCTTTAGATGGTTTGAACATCCCTGTCAACAAACCAATCAAAGTAGTTTTGCCTGCTCCATTATGTCCCAACAATGCCAGACATTCTCCAGAATTTATTTCTAGATAGATGTCCTTAAGAGCATGAACATCATCTTTGGATATTATGTTGAAGGAATATTTGTGATAAGTCTTGCTTAACCCTATTATCCTCAATCCATCTACGTAGGTGTTATTGGAGTTCTTGATTACTCTCTCTTTCTCTAATTGAGCAGAATCATTAGTATGACACTAGTATTGAAGATCAGTGATGGGCTAAGGAGGAGACTTAAAGAACATATTAAAGGGTTTAGTGATGCAGAACAATAATGAATCAGCCTTTCCTCTATTCTATTAATGAATAATAAACATACACTTTCAAGAATGTGATCAAAATAGTATGTCAACAAGATGTAGAACATGCATGCCAATAGTAAATGGAAATAGTTATCCATTGCACATGGTGATTGATATTGGACATTCTTATCCAATTGTACTTTACCACTATTTACTGCGAATAAGTCAGCAAAAGTGAATCCGTCTCCTTCTACCCATCTCCCTTCTTCCAAAGAGTAATGTCGACAAGACTTTATAGAAATATCTGCAAAAATCAATGAATATTTGAATGCTGGATACAAACTCATTAGTATTCTCACCATACCAACCCAACTCGAAGCATCTAAACGATAAAATAGAATTGACATCCCTGCTTATGTAAAACACATCTACATCAGGATTGCTGTTAGTATGAATCCATAGGCTATTGTGTATCCATTTTTCACATCTGGACATACAACCACTATAAAGAATGCCACCAATGAAATCGAAAACCCAAAAGTCACATACAAAATGAACAAAATCAGATTCGGTGTGTTCAAAAAGAAATCCATCCTAAACACTTACCCACAAATCAACAGATTGGTTGTCAAAATGATTACTAGAAGCAATGCTGTGATACTCCAACTTATCCAATAGATTGTGTGTGTCAATCCCATCACTGTTAAACCTTATCGAAGTTTCTTACCCTTTTCTTACAACATCTCATTTATTAATACCAAAAAGTTAAGCAAGTAGGGAGCGAAGAAGTAAAAGGCACCGTAATTGCCCACTATGTCTATTCCTTGCATAAATCTGGTTGGGATAGTGGGAAATTCCTATTAAGATATATACAAGAATTCTTCGTCATCTTCTTTAGGAATTTTGGTGAACTCTCTCAAAATAGCATTATCTAAACTTATCTTGAGAGATGATGCATAGGCATCTTTGGGGTAGGCTATTTTCATGTCTGATAGATATGGAGACCTGTACAATAGAGTGTAATTGTACAATATGGTATAGAATACTACCTATTTATCAAGTCTTTCAAACTGGCATGGGATTGAAATCTCTGGCTATTTATCATACAACATCCAAGAATCGGTACAAAATACTACTGCTATTTAAGTGAGATTCATATGAGACAATAGATATTCTGAAATCTGACTTGGTTGATCATAATTTCCTATAAATTTGACATCCTAATCAAATTTTAGGCGATTAGTATAGGCAACTCGTTTCATTACATTTGTGATCCAGTCTTGGGTTTGTCCCAGGACGAAATATCCGATTGTTATGCAATTATCATCATTATAAGATGTACATCTTGGGATTTATTTCAATATATCTTTTATGGGCGGATCTATTATCAGGAATCCTGTGAATCGATCCACAAGGTATTGCCATAATAAGATTAGTAGACATATCAATAACGGTGACAAGAATAAAAAGATAGAGAGACATTTCTATCTTTGAAAGAGCAATAGATTCTTTTTTAACATCAAAGTCAACAATCGGATGCAATTATATTCCTGCTTTCGATATTGTATTTATTCCTATTCCTATTCTTCTTATTATTATTCTTTAATTTTAGAATTGCCCCCGAATAATTCGATCTCTTTCTCTTCCATATTATGTATAATTTATTAAATTAATAATTATCAGATTACATCAAAACTAAACTCTAATATTTGTTATGGTGACACGAATCTCATCATCTCTACATCATATTGATCAAATTCATTATATGAAAATATGACTATTTCATAAATGATTATAATAATTATATATCATATAATTTATTCTTCCACTTCTCCCTCATTGTCATCAATATTCTGACTTGGAACCTCAGACATATTTCTAAATTCATCATTATTTCCTCTCTTTTTCATTAGCAATACTACGCCATAGCCAATAATCATCCCTACTATGAAACTTACAATGCATGCCTCAATCACTCCCTTTTTTGTCCATCCCTTATAGAAATCACTGATTTTTTCAGCCTAACACCAATCTCCAGTGTAACCGAACCAACAATAACACTCATTCTCAATGCATACACCATGTTCGGAACATCTTTTAGGACATTCATCTAATAACAACAATTTAAAGGGATCTTCTTCTTTGGATGAAACCTTTGGAGGTACCATCATAAAATTAAATGAAAAAGGGTTTTGATTGGATTATAAGATATTGAGATTGTTATTATTCCCTTCTTAAATATTGTAAGGTTTAAATTTAGGATCATATTGTAATGATTATTGATAATTATTATTGTCTTCATTCTTGTTATCCTATTTTTAAACATTATCATCTTAATTATGGTTGTTTTGATGATTATCATCTACGACATGACCATTTTCATCTACATCTACATAATATACTCTATCAATATCATCATCAAACATTGGCATTGGTCCTTCTTATCTTTGATTAAATTTATATCCAGTCGAAATAAATTGTTTTAAATCCTCTTCTCCTGTATCTGCTGGTTCTAAATCATTCTCATGTTCACCATCATAATCCTTCAACAGATCCCAAATAGAAGTATATCCAGATTCTGTTCCTTAGACAAGTGAACAATCAGGACCACTGAATCCATCCTCACATGCACACAATCCAGTTTCAAAATTACATTGACCTCTATGATTACATTCATCCAAACATCCCGTTGATTGTGGCAATTTGCTATCAATTTCAGGATTGCCACTGCAAGTAACACCTGAGAATCCTTCAAAACACTTACATTTTCCATCCAATTCACATATACCATGTTCTTCATCAGTACAATTACCTGGACATGGTACATTCAATTAACAAACGGATCCAGTGTATCCAGGATAACATTTACAATATCCATTACTTAAACAAATTCCCTATTCCAAACAATTTTACTTACACAGAACCTTCTAAGTACAATCTATTCCTTGCCAACCCTATTTGCAACTGCAATGACCAGCTCTACACTCTCCATCATTTTTACAAGGAGGACATGTTTCAGCTGATGCCACAGCCAATCCTATTAATGAATCACTGCAATGTTTTAACAACTTGCATCCACCAAAATGAATCAATAAAGATCCCGCAAATACCATACTACTATATGCAACTTGTCTTAAATTTCTTTACTTCTCCACAGTCACATTAGTAAAGGTCATTGATTGAGTATCTAATGTATAGACATCATTATAGCATTCAAATAATATGGGATTACATCCTCCAACTATAAATATTCTGTTATCATATTCAGCCATAGCTGCTCCTTATCTAGGACTAGGAATGTCACCTTAAACTTCTCTTTTCTGCCAAATCAAATCTTCATTGATTGTATAAAGATCATTCATTATCAAACCTTTAGCATAACCTCCAAAAACATAAGTCAATCCATGATGATAAGTCATAGAGAAACTCTCTCTTCCAAGAGGCACATCTCCACCACCTGATGGTTTTCCCCATCTCTCATTTACAAAGTCCAGAATAAAAATGTCACTTGTGTATACTTCTCCAACAAAACCCCCAAAGATCAATCCTCCCAATTTAGTCAATACCATTTTATGACCTGCCCTTGGTGTTGGTGCTTAACCTGGCCAAGACAACTAATTCCAACTCCTACTCTCCAAATCAAATACAAATAAGTCATTCACCAACCCTTACATTGTGTGTCCTCCAAATATGTACAGCCTTGCTCCATTAACCAGTGATCCAAATCCACTCCTACCTACTGGAGGTATTCCAAATACCTTAGGTGTTGTCCATATACGTGTCCTTGCATTAAATAAAAATAAATCATTGAAACATTAAATGTTCAACAAACATCCTCCAAATAACACTACATAATCTCCTATTGAATGCATTGAATGACCTCCTCTTTATCTAGGAAATCGTTCAAATGCCAATAAAGGTGTCCATTCCATATCCTTTAATTTCTGTTCTGGTTATTTGTCAGGTAATGTTGCTTCTATCTCTTTCTCAACAAATTTGATTCTGCTTATATCATTCATGTTTATTAGAGTCACCTATTGATTGGTGGAATCTTCTGATCTCAAATACCATCCATCAGATAAATGATACAAAGATCCCACTTTCAATGGGTATTCCTTTGGTGGTGCATCATCTTCATCAAGTTCATCGATGCACTCAAAATCTGGTGGAGGTGCTTGAACCTATTTCTTCTTGCTCCTTCCGAATTTCTCAATCAAAACGGGTCCATTTTAAGTATTAATTAACCCCAATAATAAAATATATATTAACATAAAATTATCAAATTCATTTATAACTTATAATTCACTATTCATTTACAAGAACATATTTCATACTTAAATATCAAATACTAAAGTAGAAAATTTGAGAGACTTCTATTCAAAATAATTAAGCATCTATTCGGTTTTGCAGAGTAAATAAATAAATTAATCATAAATTTATAAATGTCTTTTGAATCCCAAAAATATATTTTAATAAAAACAAATTAATATGAATCAAATTTAATACATGTAAGTGTTAAGGGACTCATAAGAAATTAAACTCAGAGATAAATTAACTTTACTCTAAACCAAAGCTCATGATTATGTCGTCTAATAGATGAAATAATTGGAATTAAAATACAAATCATAACTTTTGTTAATTGTTCAATAATATGAAGAATGCAAGCTTACGTGTGAATAACTCAGATTAAAAAATGAACAATACTCAAAACTCATATTAGAGTAAGAATTTAAATCTATTCAGACCAAAAATTATATGTGTCTTGAAATTGTTAATTAACTCTTAACCTAGAAGATCAATTCCCTCCTCCTACAACTTAAAAGTCACAATATCATTTCTGAATCTGAATATTTCTCTCATAAGAATAACCTCTAATTGTAATTAGCTGAAATTTTCATTAATCCTAACCACCAAGAACAATCAACTGGAATAAACCCTTTGAAGGATACTTAAAAGCAAATACAGATTGCATCACAGAATATGTAATACAATAGTCAATTCGAAATGATGAATAACAATCTATAGGAGAATCCCTCTATTGGGACTTAAACAAACCATATTAAATAGAAAAAATAGAAACCTCGTATAGAACAAAAGATTCAAATTGAAGAAAAATAGAGTCTCACTCCAAATCTATCTAAAGAACTTCTTGAATATCAAAAGTCTATTTAAAAATTATAAAAAAGTAGGGATGATTTATAAGTTAATAATGAATTTTTAAAAACTTAAAATCAGAATCTTTAAAGTAGGTTAAATTAGAAAATAAACAGCTCATTCAAATGCAATCATAATGCTATAAAAAATACTCAAATAATAAAAAAGTTCTTAAAATTTGATGATATGGTTTTTAAAAATGTTTCATCATTTTAAATGGCCTAAAGTTTTGATTTGAGACAAGGAAATATCAGTAGTCGTAAATTCTTTACGAGACCGAAATCTTCAGCTCCAAGTACTACCAGAAATAGATGCAATTCAACTTAATAACCATCAAGCATGGGTTTCCATGTCTTATTCTGATTATATTATTAAATATCCGATTATATTTATATAGTATTCACTTAAAAGATATTTTCATTGGGGATATAAACTCATTATTTAGTATTATACTTATTTCTATTATGTCATGTATATAATTCATACAACCTTCTTGAGGACATTCTTTATGTTTGAACTATAGAATAATTTAACTGTATTGTATAACTAAAAATAGACAATTAAGTCTTGATTGCCATAACTTAACAAAACTACTAAAGTAATCATAGAAAGATAGGTTCATAATTAATCATTATTTTTTATCTTTAAAATTATAATTAATAATTATTTTTTAATGAGAAGGTATGATGGATAAAATGAGAGATAAAAGGAAATAAAATTAAGTGACAATTAAAAATTTTTAAGTTTTTCTTTGGAAGCTCCTTCAAAGTAGTTAAAATTTATGCCTAATACTTATCCAGGATTGCCATCCTATTATCAAACACCTTATGAGGATTATTTAAGATGTTATAAATAAAAAGATGAAACAATCGAAATTTAAGACTTAAGTAATTAGTTTGTTAAAAGACAGTTAATTAAAACGAAGAAAAGCATGATATGAATACTTTTCTATAGAGCTTTAGATTAAAGAATGGACCAAAAAAGGGAATGGGAGTAGGAATCAGCAGATAAATGTTTTCTGGATTATCAATAATAAAACCTGGAAATCTCTCAAGCAATTAAGATTTGATTAATGGAACGTTGAGAAGTATGAACGGAGGAGAGTTAAGTAGCATTGCTCATGATGGACCATAGAATCAAAGTTTGATAAGAGTGGAGGAGAATATTTTGAATATTTTCAACATGAAAGAAGAAGTTGATAAAATTTATAAAAAACTCATTAATTGATATATAAACACTTTTGTTTATTCAATTATCAACGCTGTAGTTAATTATGAATTAATAATACAGTATTATATATTTAATTTATGCAAACTGAGACAAAGGAAGTAAAACTAGCAGGGAGTTGTGAGATGGAAGACTTAATAAGTATGTTTAAGTAAGTTATTCTTCAAGTCTATCCATACGAAGTAGTGAATCAGCATTTCTGTACTTTTGTAGAGAATACAAAAGAGTTCGTGGAAACAAGAGAATAATTAAGTAAAATAGGTGCAAATCTTCGATTAAAGCTTGACAATTGGCCTACAATTGATGAAGCGAAAATGTTATTCTAAATAAACATGTATTTCAATTATAGACTAAATTATTATAGCTAGAATGCTAGAAGGAGAAGTGTAAAATGGAATGACACTGATAAGCGTTTATTCTATTGGATAGTTATTCGATATTGTTTGGTGAAAGACTTAAGTTCACTTGTATATTTAATTATTCTTATATCCATAAGACACCTTCTGAGTGGAGAGATATTGCTAAAATGATACTTGGACGTAATGCCCATTAATGCAGACTCAAATGGGAACAAAAATACAAGATTTCCCTTTCCGAAGCTCCATGGACTGAGGAAGAAGATTAGCTTTTACAACAAGTTCATGAGTACGCAATAGTTTAAATTATAATTTTTAGAGAATTCAGTAGATTAGGGAAGGAGAACAAGTGGTCTCAAATAGCCAGAGAGATTTACAAGAGATCTCCTAATAAGATATTTAGACAGCCAAAACAATGTAGAGAAAGATGGATTAATAGATTGGATCCAAATATTTGCAAGTAAATATTTAATTATTGAAATTAGTGAACCATGGTCAAAATAGTAAGAGATCGATTTATTGAAGACCATTTTGATAAGAGGCAAAAAGTGGTCGGAATTATCAGCCTTGTATGGTAGAGTAAGAACTGAAAATTCATTGAAGAACAAATACAACTCTCTTTTAAAAAAGGAAAAACTAAAATACGAATTTGAAACTATAAACCCTTAATTATTTGCGAAAGTTCAATAATTAAGAATGGATTATGCAAAGAAGTATGGTAATATTACACCCATCGAAGAAATTGATAATTACGAATGGCAATTTATTGTTTTGGCCATTCAAAGCTTATATATTGATTTATGCGTTTAAGAGGGTAAATACCAAGAAGCTTAGAAAATTAAAAACGATGACTTTTTTGATTTGTTTCACAATGAAATCACTTCGAATGCTAGTAGAAATGGCATTTTATATAAAAAACTCTTAAACATAAAAAGAGTGGACAATTAATTCCATGTTGAGAATGATAGATCAGGAGTTGTAATTTTCAATAAAAAAACTAAAAACATATTTATATCTCCATTTAACACATTGGATTTTCAAGGACTCATACTCAAACATCTCTATAAATCTGTTAAAAGCGAAGAAAACAACAGCAAATGTCCCACTTTAACTTAATCAGATCACAATATGCTATTTCTATAAAAGTCAATTGATGATATTAATAGACAAAGCAATATCTAACCAATACTCTTATTGGCTAACTAACCTTCATTCATGATGCCTTTAGGCTAAAGTATGATCAATAGTTATTGGCTACCTCCAGTTTTGCCTTGTATGTCGTAATCCATTGGTGGATATTAATAATAACAATAAAACATCTAAGAACAAGTAGCCTTAAACTTAAACATTAAAGAAACGAAAAAACAAGCCAGTTTCGATGATTTATTCGGAAATGATATTAAAGTCGTTGATTCAGATGGTGAAAAATGATAATTTTATGATCGTTAATCTTTTATTTGAAATATAAATATATTTTATGTCTTTTTCTTAAGACGATGAATTACTAGAATTAAATTCAAGATATGACAATCTCCAAATACTTAATCAAAATATTTTCATTGAAAATTAGAAATTATAACATGAAATCCAATAATTGAAATAGGTAAATCCTCTAATCTAATTCTAGACTTTTAGTCAATTCCAAACTGAAAACAATGAGTTAAATGATGAAATTGAAAATCTCAAGAATGACCTAAGAGCTTAATTTACTATTAGTTAAAGGTTAAGATAGGAAAATGAATCCTTTGAAAATTAAATACATGAGTATAAAAAACAAATTGAATCAGCTGGCACATATTACAATTCGATAATTTAAGAAAACGACCTTCAGATTTCACAAATTTAGCATAAGGTTCAATAAACAGATTACCTTACACAAGAAAATCATTTATATAAAGAACAAATCATATCCTTATAAGAAGAAAATGAATAACTCACCTAAGAATTAACTAACCTATAAGAATCTCTTAATAATCATGAATATCTTCATTCAGACATCAATAATATCTTAAGTTAAGATCAAAGCAAAAATATCAAGAGGTAAAACCGAAAAAAAATTAAAGAATTAGAGAAATTAATTATTACAAAAGAATAGGAAATTAGCCAATTGTATTTGACATAAGAGGACTTAAAAAATTATATTTAACAGTTAACATATCAATCAGAAAAATATGAAAAAAATCTTTCAAGCCTATATAGTGGTTATTAATAAATTGAAATAGAAAGAAATAAATTAGTATCTAAAATCGACTCAATTTAGAGCTCTAGCCATAGATATACTGTTTTATAACAATAATTATCAAACTCTGAAAAAAATTAGAATAAAGAGTGTTAATCATTGAAAAACTAATTGGATCAATTACAAATGAGCAATTAATAATATCAATAATAAATTTAAGCTATAAATGAGGAATTTATGATTCTTAATTAATAGCATTCTGATTTATAAGATTTGAATAATCAATATTTGTAGGAATCTTAAATGTTAAAAAACTAATTATTTGAAAAGGATTCGTTTGCGGAAAAGATATAATAATAATTACAAGAACAAAAGTTTAAAGAAGAGTAAGTTTAACAACACACCAAAGAAATTAATTAATAATTAAAGGAATTATAACAAAATAAGTCTGATCAATAGATTTGTATTAGTTAATTACAGAAAGAAAATAAAATATATGCATTGCAGTTAAATTAGTTAAAAGATTAATCAAATAAAGAATGCAAAGAGAATTTAATATAATTAGATTAATTAAGAAATGAAAGATAAACTTTAATTGATCTTATTAAAATTAAAGATGAAACTTAAGTAGAATTAGAGATAAAATAAAAGAATTCAGAAATTATGATTAAATAAATTTAAGAATAAAGAATGTAATTCGAATAGACAGAGAAGTATAATAATTTTAAAATACTTTAGATCCTTTTTTGTAGTCTCTTAATAATGCATGTAATTATAAGATTAGAACAGAGATCTCTTGAGGTAAGTTGATAATCTCGAAAATGATTTATAAAAAAATGAGGAAGAATTGAGACAATTAAGGAGAATTAACAAAAAGTATACATTTACATTAAGTCAAGTTCGTATCATTTTGATAAGAGTGCATAGCAGATGATTGTTAAAGATAGGGAAATAATGCATTTACAATAAGTAGTAGAAAGACTGGAAGGAATGAACAGATAATTATAACAAGAATGTGATAGACTTGCTGCCAAAATTTAATTAGCCTCGCATGAAAACACTTTATTAAGTAGAACAAATAGAGAAATTGGAGGGATGGGTAAACTATTAATTGAAGGATAATAAATTAAAGAGATCTTAGAGAAAAAAAAGTATGAAAAGCCATCAACATTTACAAATAGTAAGACTCCTCAAGTGATTTAATAATTATAGTAACATAGTAGAAGGCCATCTGTTAAAAAGTCTTGAAATACTAAATTAATTTTGAATGAAATTAAATCTCTAGTTTATAAATTAATAGTTTTGATATTAAAATTCTAGCAAGTTTTTTTAGATAATGATTCAAGATCCATTTTTCTCCTTCTTAAAATATTAAAATTATTATTTTTATTCTTCCTTTCTTAGCTTCCTTTATTGAATTGCTCTTTCATTGATTTTCTCCATATACTCACTAAATGATATCGCCTTTTCTTGTCCGTCCTTACTCTTTTCTTCATCTCCAAATATTGCATGAATCTCTGAATCTAATGATTGCCTTCCAAACCTCACGTAAAGCAACTCCAATGTGTCCTAAAATTAAGATATTTTGATAACTTCAACTGTTATTTTTGGATCTTTTCTATCTGGAGGTAAATACATTAGAAATTAGACCATATGATACAAACTCTTAGGTTCTAGCCCTGTTTTATCAATTGTGCATTTCTTGTACATATTCAAAAATTCAGTCCAGCTAACTTTACCATCAAGATTTTCATCAACTTCCTATTTAATTGTGAAAACTTGATACCCACAACATAAGATCAATTTCAGATTTAGTCAGTGCTACTCCTAAAAATCTAAGCATTTTATCAACATCTTTCATGTCAAAATAATCAACATCTTTCTTTTTAAGCATCTAGAACACTCTATATATAAAAAGTGCAATATGTACTTTTCTAGTTATTTTTTTTCACTTGCCTTGATTTCAACACTCTCTAATTTTTATTCAATTGGCTACTCTTTCTCCATTTTTTTCTATTTCATTCTCTATACATCAACTTAAATATTGGCCTTAGGAATTTATGGTTTCGGAAGTATTCCCATTGCTGCATAGCGCTCTTTTAGAGATGAAGGCAATAAGTTTAAATCCAATTTATTACCCTTTTTTTTCTTTTTTTCATCATCCATATTTTATTGTCAAAAAATAAAATAAAATATTCTTATAGAACTTAAGGTAAAATTACAAGAAGGATACTTTCTTAAAGCATTCAAAAAGAAGAGTATATTCTTAATAATTTATGTATATTTACTAATCTACAATGAGAAGAGGTTGTATATGATATATCTCTAATTATGACCAAAGAGTTAATTTGCAATTATATATAATTTAATCTCAATTGATAAAATGTTGACCAATTATTTAGTTTTTAAATAGTCTTATTATTAGTATTAATAACTTCAATGGTTTTATATCGCACTCGTTATAGTTTGATAATACAATCCTTGTCAAAAGAGATTTAATCATTAGCTTTTCAATTTTCTAGTTCTTTCCTTCATATATCCTTCTAGTGGACTACTTTTGTAGATAAAAATACCTCTATTCTTTAGAAAATATGATAAATATTAACGATAATTTAGAAATTACTATTATTAGATCAATTAACTTAGAATATCTATATATAATACTAGAAGTTCTTTTTTCTTTTATATACCCATTATGAAGTCAATATCTGAGTTCAGATGGTCACAAACCACAGAATTATATTTAATTATAGAAAATTATCATTATTAATTACGTTGAAATAGTTTTCAGAATGACGACTACTATTTTAATTACACGAAACATTTAATCATTAAGCTTATAAGGCACTTTATAACTCCTTATCTTCTACTGGCTTTGAAATAAAGGTATCCATTCCATTTTCAAATCCTACTCTTTTGCTTTCATAATCTGTAAATCCACTACAACCTATAATTTTACATCTTTTAACCTATTTCTCCACCTCCATTTATCTTACTAATTTAGAAGTCTAATATCCATTTAAGTAAGGCATATTAATGTCAATGATGATAAATTTAATCCAGTTACAACAATACTCTCTATTATTTTGCCAATTCTAGAGAATTTCTATGCATTCTTAACCACTTTTCGCTTGTAGGTGAATGTATTTCATACGATCTAATTTCCACCCTAAAGCTTATAAATTGAGTGGCTCATCATCAGCGATTATAATTTGAGGACATCTACAATTGAAAGATTATCCTATTATTTATTCTTCAAACTTCTTTTGAATTTGTATATTATTGGAACTACTCTCTTTTCTATTAAGAATTTTGGATTCCAATTAAGTAGAAATTTAATTATCGCTTACATCCTATATTTTAAATAGAAATCTAGATCCTTTATCTACTCCTTTTGAATCAACTTATAATCCTTCATCATTCCCACTTAGCTTTTAGGCCAACACATTGCTTATCATCAATCCTAACCCTACTCCTTAAGTATTCATGTTCTTTGTGTCTTCCAATTTTCCAAATGGTTAGAACAATTTATTTTTATCTTCTGGCTTCAAACCTACTCCTGTGTCTTCAACAGAAATTTCTATTAGTTTTGCCTATAACAATCTAGCTGTCACAGTGATTCCGCCTTCTTTTGTAAATTTGGTGGCATTACTAATCAGATTAAAAATTATCTATTATATTCTCTATTAATCAGATTTGATAATTTGTGGAAGCTTGGGATCAAAATCTAATTTTAGATTTAAATTCCTCAATTTTACTGGATATTACATAATTGATATTGCATCATTCAATAATTATTTGATTGAAAAATCTGCATATGTTAACATAAATTTTCCTGCTTTCAGTTAAGCTAGATCCAATAAGTCAGTTGCCAATGCTTAAATTGATGTTGCAGAACTCTTCATAGGTTACAGATATCTAATTTTACTTTAGAATTAATTACTTTAATGTCAAGTTTTCGTCTTATTGAAATTATGCCATCAGCTATTTATTGATTTCAATTATAGCTGCTAATGGATTACGTAGCTCATGAGAAACATAGGATAACATCCTAGATTTGTTTTTATTTTGCTATTACAAAACTTTGAATTGATTAAATAATGATACATCCCGTATCAGTAATAAAACACTTCTTTTATTTTCATAAATGTAGGGTTTGATTGTTATTTAAATCAATAAACCTGGATTGCAATCTTCTTAAGACTTATCTTCTTATAATTCATTAATTTGATCTTCTGCTGATTCCTCTATCATACAGAGCATTTTTTTAACTTCTGGTGAAAATCTTATTTTATCCTTTCCTTTATATGTTTTTTCAGAACGACCAGACATTTATCTAGCATAGGGAGACAATTAGAAGGCCTTATCTAATTCTTATTTCAGTGTTTCAGCCTTGCTAAGTTCAGCTTGATAATAGTAATCGGTCAGATTGTCATCGAAATTATTATTAAAGATACTCTCTTTAGAATAATCATCATTTAATTATTGATCAAATTGTTAATCAAAAGGTTAAAAGTATTCATGTTGATTATATTTTAGGTTTTTATCCAGTCTTGAGAAAAACTTATCAAATTATGCTTGTTCCTCAAATTGAAATTTGGAGCTGTAGTTCTTTAGCTCATACAAGCGAGATAGTATATAATCTCTGTTTTGACAATGTTTTCTGCCCAAGAAGGTATATACTTGATTATTATGATAGTCAATCTTATTTTGATCATTGATGATAATTATACCCTCAGGAAATTAGTTAAATAAAATCTCATAAAAGGTTTTCTATTATTCTATCTATTCGAAAACTGATGGATCTTTTGAATAAATAGAAGGGTTTTTAACTATCCCTTAATTTAGTGACATAAATTTAATTTAGTTTGAATCTTCATCAAAAATTTATTATTAAGGACTTTCTAATTTCTCTGTAAAACTACGAGAGCTTGGTTTCTTTTGAGGCAATGTTTTTGTCTATGTCTATGTCTTTGTCTTTGCAAATAATTAATAGATCAAAAGCAGACCACAGAGGGCTTCTCCGAAAATTATTCCAATTTAGGATGAATCTATCAATAAATAAATTGCTGTCAAATTTGCCGATGCAATGACAGCCAACAAATATCCAACTCTGGCTATTTAATTTAGAATCGTAGTGTCTTATTCCAATTAAATTGTCAATCCCAACCAAAAGTATTAAAATCTGCCTAATAATCCATCGTTTTTCAATCCAAAATCTACACTACCCAAACAAAAGAGATTGAGAATTTACCACAAGGTTTTACATATCAATTATTATTGTTCAACGCATGTATTGATATATCTATTAAATGGTATAAACAGTATTGTCAAAATCATACTAAAGATAACTTAAAAGTATTCTGCATTATGATTAACTAACTTTATTGTAAGTACCATTATAAAATAGGTTAGTTGAATTACTACTCTAAAATTTACACTATTCATTATAATATAATAATAAAAATAATAACTTTATACAATATACAATTTACTTACAAGTTATTATTATGCAAAACTAAAATATCTTATGTAATAATAAACATATTTTTTCGTAATTTCTAATTTTTATATCATTTATTTCAAATATTTCGAAATATTAGGTGATAAAGAATACATAAATAAAGTGTATTACACCTTTTATAACACATCAATAATTTTCTAAATAATTACCACTCTCTAATTGAATCTTTATTCTGGATAATTGTTCCTTTCTACTTTCAGTTAACCTGTTGGTTTTGGCTAGATTCTTAAGTTCATCCTCAAATTTTATCACTTGATTTTCTGTGGCCTTGAATCTACCCTCTAAATGTTGTTTGAGTCTTTTTTAAATTAAGTAAAACTGAGAATATGAGAGGCTATCGTTATTATACTCTTTCATTTTATCCTGAATACTATAATCTCTATTATGTATGCAGTAATATAATTGTCTATTGAATTTATCACTTAATTTATTCTTTTCTTCATATGATTCATTGATTTAAGTAACTAATTATGGTAAAACCTTGCTATTTCGTACTCTTTCATATCTTTTATACAATTCAACTTCTTTATTTTTATCGTTTTATTTTCTTTCTTCACATTCAATGATAGATAAATGCATTTTAACATTCTCTGTTTTTCCAAAGGAAGTGCTGCCACTTGTATTTAATTTTACTGTGGGTCTTCTTACTAATTTGTTTGGCGTATTAGAATGATAGGCTGCTTATTTATGTTGATTAATGATAGAATCTGAGAGATCTAATTCTTTTTTAATTTTTTCTAATTTCTCAATGTGATTCTCTACTCTGTTTTTTTCATTTTTAATAGTTTTGAGCAGTTAATGTTTATCTTGTGAATGAAAATACTCTTCAATGTTCGGTAGTTGAATTGAATAGTTATAGTCCACTGATATTCTCTTAAACTTAAAATTACGTGATGACTTTGCTTCAAGTACTCTAAATAAACTTATATCTTACTGTTAATTTTATTCAGTAATGAGCTGTTTTAAAATTGTTTAAGTTCTTTTTTGTTTTATGATTGGACTCCAATCGCTTTTCTATTTTTCTCTCTAAGTATAAGGGATATTGTTTTGTATTTTGTTCTCAAACTTTTCCAAACGAACACTGCCCTTATAAATGATTTTTTTTTATTCGATGAATTAAACTTTATTATCTTTATTTTCTTTGATAAATTTCATTCTAAAAATTATCAAAGAATGTAATTCATAATAGTTAAAATGTTTAATAAATATATACATAAGGATTATATTTTTAAGAAAAGAGAACAATTTTTATTTCTAAAATCCAAAAGATCTACACCAATACAGAATTCAATGGAATTAAGTGTTGTTGATTAAATCTTATTCTAATTCATATGGTGCATTATAATTATGTGATTCATATTTTAATTTAAATTAAATGGGTAATAATTGTGTTTCAGAGAGTGATTCATTAATTAATGAAGACACATAAGCCAAATTCAATAAAATAGAATCCAGACCGGGAATTTATGCAGTAGAGCATTCATCAAATACTTGTATAGAGAGCATTTCGATAATGTCTTCACCAGACTGTGCTTATCCAATCACATTCAAAGAGAACATGGATGTGATTGCGTTTAAAGGTCACAAATTCGCAATTCTCGAAAGACACAGTGTCTATTATGGTGAAATGAATTAAAAATACTAAAAAAATGGAAAAGGAAAACTCTACTTATAAGATGTGGATAAGAATGGAAACTAAAAGTTAGTTATAAAGAAAGGAATATTTAAAAATAATAAATATTTAGAATCTGGACAAATTTCACCAAAAGGTGAATGTTTAGATGAAACTTTAGACTCTAAAATTACAGAATCATTAGATTCGTAGAATTCTCCAATGTAGAATGAATTTTACAAATACAACAAGTTGATAAACGAGAAGGATTTAAATTCTATTAGAGATACAAATCAACTTAGATCCAATATCGTTAATGGATATATTCAGTATCTTTAATAACTTGACGAAAAATTGTATTGGGATACTCCTCCTCATAAAAGGGAGAAGTTTGAGAGGACAATCATATTCTAAAGCAACTGCCCTTTGGATAGCTATGATGAATTTACATAACTAATTTAATAATTTAGATTTGTTAAGTTTTGGTTAATTTACAAAAAGATAGGGTTTGTAATTGAACACAATCCCAATCGTTGGTACTTTGTAGAAGTTTAGATTACAGAAGACGAATTCAAAATCAATATTTATGATTCCATTAAATGCAGCAAGGCATTTTATTAAAAGATAACACTTAAACTAACTCGACTTTTCTAGAAACTATTGAGTCACAATTTAGAAGCAAAAGTGATAATCAAAGACAATATTCCACAATCTTACAACATGTATGATAGTGCAGTCTACACTTGCATTTTTGCAAGGATGCTTCGATGCAATTGCAGAAACAAAGTACTAAATATGAGTCCTTCATAAATGAGATCAGATTTAGAGAGACTATTTCTTAATTGATTATTATTTAATTAATTATTTAATTTATTTACAAATGGGTGCAAATGAATCATAATCACAAATGACATAGGAAATAGTCAACAATTCAGAATTTTAGAAATATCTAAAATAGATTTGTTATAAGGTTCCGAAATCTGGTATCAACAAAAACTATTTTGATAATATTCTTGGAAACTTGAATTAATTTAAAATCATATCAATAGCATCGACACCTCTAGGTGATCGTCTTTTTGATGTATTAAATGCAAAAAATCAAGACAAAGTCACATCAGAAGTTCTATATTATTTTTTAACATAATTGTACTCTAATAAAGAATCCCGATGCGAATGTAAATAACATATATTTATTCTAGATACATTTTAAGCTTACTGTTTGGAAGGCAAAAGAATTTAAAAGTATGTGATTGAAAAGAATTTTATTGCCATGGTTGTTGACTCATGGGAGAGAGCATTTGCGGCATTAGTTGAAAAATTTCCAGAAAATAAAAGAAAAGAAGATGGAGATTTAATAGAAAATTGGAGCAAATCTTAGGAATTGAAGGAAAAAGTTAAGATAGCTGCTTAAGCATGTTTTAAGAATTTAAGCAAGTCTTTGAATAATTAAGCAGACTATTAAGTGTTTAAAAGTTGGATACTTTCTGAAAATTAAGATAAAATAGTGGCAAAATATGAAGGGTATACTGTAGTTGTACCATTAACATTGTATAAATTTATTAAATGATTATATTCAAACTTTCATTAAAAATATCCTCCATGTTAACTTCTTAAATGTGCATAAATATCTTGACTTAAGTTAGCTTAATGCAAACAGACCCAACAGAAATGGTTTTCACAATTTGTGCAGTGAAGATGGAGACAACCTTCATTTTTCTGAACTCCCATTTGACATTTAGGGCATCTTTTGATATTCATTTTAAGTAATTCTGATTCATCTAAGTCTTTTCCATCAATAAATAATTTTTTAGCCTCTTCACAACTTATTTAGGGATGTGCATTTCGCTTACATAAGAAACAAAATGATTGTAAACAGCTTTAGCAATAATAGAATTATTCTTTGTTTTATGTTAACTTTTTAAAGAATTCTTCACAATCAGGTGTTAGGCATCCTATGTACTCATCAGCATGTTAATCCTTATATCTTTTAAAGCTTTAATCTAGTAATTTAGAAAATTCTATTTCGCAAAGAATCTATTAAAGATCGGAGAGACTTATTAAATTATCACAAGATTGCTATGGGCATTTATAAGGGGGATTATTTTATGCTTTAATGGATTCGTAAAGGCAGTTTTTGCAGAAAAAGTGATTACATAAAGCAAGTACATATTTTTCAGTTAGTTCGCCATAACAAATTTCACAAAGATCTTATTTTTAAGCTTCCGGAGACTTTGATAGAGATTTCAATAAATGATCTTTACATTTCTATGCTTATTCATTGTTTCCGTAGATAATTATTTGTTTTTTCTAAAGTATAAAGTCTATGCTAACATTGTATTTTTATTGTAACATAAACATAATGTTGTCTTTGATAGTTAATAATGGTTTAAAGGAATAATTTCTTATATTTACGATAAGATTATTTGAGACGTGCTATTTGATCATTGAGTTGATTGCATTCTAAATTTCAATTAAAGAATCCTGATTTAAATACACTTTTATTGCACCTTATTACAATAACTTAGTATTAAATTTAAACCCATGCAAATCTTGTAATGATAAAAGATCTTGATAAAATTAGTTATCCCTTAATACCTACTTAAAGACATATTTTCTCAAATTGACTTTTAAATTATATCCATTAAGAACACCATGCAACATCAAAGATGCTTATCTTACAAAATTTGGATTCTTACCAATAATAATCATATTTTCACCTGATGAGAATATTTTCAATAGATCTTCTGAATATTTAGCCTACAATTCTTTTTTTATATCATTTATTTTTTCTTCATTTTATACCAATATATTTTTACTGATTATTTTTATTATTTTATATTCAATTTTCATTGTTATTGATGAGAACCCTAATATATTGTTAGTAAAGTTGATTTGTTTTCTCATTTCCTCCAACTTTATTGGATTTGTAGTGGTCATCACCCTCACTATTATCCTATAATTATTTTTATCAGATCGAATATCTAAATGAAGGGGTTTTTCACCAGTATACTTTTCAAATACTTTATGGATTTCATGGTTCCAATCCTTAGTTTCAGTCTACTCTTTGCCAATTAAATTCAATGACTGTGGTTTAGGACAATTCTTTTATTGAGCCAAATCTTATAAATATCTGAGTAATTCATATTCATTTGCATTATAAGGTACGTTTGATATTCTTATTTTAGATTTTTGATCTTAATAAATTTTCAAATCCTACGGCCTTCCTTTAAATTGTACTATGGAAATGGTTTTAATAAAAAATTCTTCTGCTTCTTCTTAATTTTTAAATTGAATAAATCCAAATCCTTTATTCTCAGAACCATAAAAAATTAATTCCACAGATGATTTGATTACTCTATTTCTTATTTCTCTTGGTTTTATAGTGAACAACCTTTATCTTTCCTATTATTCCTGTTAATTTTATAATTCCAATCTGTACTTGGCTTTTTCATTTAAGACATAGGTTATTTGATAGGCAATTTCTTAACTATTAGTGAATATCTATCCACAATATCCAAATCTGTTGGCATTTATCTAGAACAGATTATTGTAGTATAAATGTTATTCATCAAGAATCTATTGGATTTCTTCAATATTAAAAGGAGATGAAGAAAATTGAACTATCACTAACTCAGATGAAGTACATTACTAGGTAACATGTATCTATGCTCCATGTTTGAAATAAACAAGCATGCCTTATCCATAAAGTCTAAAATAGAGATAGCTTTTCATTTTCTCATAATAATCCTTCTAGTAAAATTCAAGATCTATTGGTTTTAAAGACCAAATTTCGAAAATTCCATTGTCTTGATCATTATTACAATAATATTAGAATCTTTTTTCCTATTCATCGTATGAGTATTAGTTAAACGTATGGATTAGATGATTTAATAAGGAGGATGAAACATTTCTCAGCTATTGGTATTGATACTTATCTGGAACAAAGTTCTCAATCTCTTCTATTTAACTAGGTTTTAAGATTTCCTTTAGTTTCTCTAATTTTACTTCTTGGGCCACTCTGCAGAAATCAAAGTAATTTGAAGAATACAAATCTGAACATATAATGTATTTAGGGAAATGATTCAACAAACTTAAAGTGCTAGATCCATAGATTCTTACATTTCTTTTTGATTTCAGAAATGTGTATCCAATATACGGATTCCCATTATAAACACATAAATCAGGATAGAATGCTGTTAAAAAGCATGTCATCACACATTCTTCTCTTGTTGAATCTGAATTCCACAGAATTTTATTTTTTATTTCTTAATTTTCATACAACTACAAATCAAAATAGCTAAAAGCCTTTTCCATTTCATCAAAGGCTTTTTCGCAATTTTTTAATGTCTTGTAATGATATCCTTTTTAGAAACATTTCTATTTTATTTGGAAATTGCTTAAATTGGAATTAGTGAGTGATTTAAAATCCCAATAAACTCTAGAATAAGTAAAGAAATCACCCATTTCATTTAAACATTCTATTTTATTAGAAACATCTGTGTTTTTCAAGTACAATGATTGATTATTAAGCATTACACAAATAATGGAGAGAGTTTCTCTAAATACATTTTTGTAATAGGCTTCAATTAAGATTCTACTCATTCTTGGCTCTGTTTAGATTTATGACATAAACTTTCCTAAGACTGTAATGTTCCCTTGCTCATCTAGTGCTTTGATATCTATTAAGTATTCTTAGCTACTTTTCATAGCTTAACGATTAGGAGATTGTATAAATTCAAATTCAAATGGATCTTTATTAAATGATTTGATTCTCAACACAACTAAATCTAGACAACATCTCTAAATTTCAGGTGTCTTATGTTCTTACATCTATGTCTAATATTCCTATTCCGAGTATAATCTATAACATTTTCCTTGTCTCGTTCTTCCTGCTCTACCTGCTCTTTGATTAGCCTAAGCTTAAGATATCCAACTAATTTTTGTAATTTGCATTCCTCTTTTTTAATCGTATTCACTGAATCTATCAACTCCGATGTCAATAACAACACTTACATCATTAATTGTAAGAGCTGTTTCAGCTACTCTAGTAGAAAAAATGATTTTGATCTTCTTAGTTTCTTAGAAAACATCGAATTGTTCATCCTATGTCATCTGACCATGCAATCCTAAAAATAGAAATTCATCCATATCTTAATAATCCTAAAATAAATAAAGTAGCCTTTGAATTTCATCTATTCCTGCCAAAAATATAAGGACATGTCTTTATTAATATGACTGATTCATAACCTTATAAATTATCTTGTTTTAAATTAATGATTAGATTTAATCTATGTAATTGTCTGAATATGAATTTTAATACTTAATCTTTACATCGAATAACTTACCTTCAACTTTAAATGCTTTACACTAAAAATAATTACTAAATAATTCTTCATCCATCGTAGCACTCATTATTATTATTTTAAGATCCTTCCTTTTATTTATTATATCCTTTAGTAATCCAAGTAAAATATCAGTATTCATATTTCTTTCATGTGCTTCATCTATGATCACAACTTCATAATCATTTAAAAGAGGATCTTTTTGCAAGATGTTTAGTATTATTCTATCCTAAGTAAATATAATCTTGTTGTCATCATCTAATTAATCATATTCATTCAAATAAGCAACACTCCCTCCAAGCTTGGTATGCATCTCCTCAGCTACTCTCTTTGCCAAACTTCTTGCAGCTATCATTCTTGGCTCTACACATATGATTTTCCCTCTCAACTCAATTTCTTCGTATACATATTATACCAATTATGTAGATTTACCTGATCCTGTAGCTCCTATCAAAAGAATTACCTGACTTTATTGTATGCTATCAATCAACTCCCTTTTTTTAAAATAAATAGGCAATTTCTAAGTCACTCTCTGCTTTTCTTAGAGCACTCTTTTATACAAATTTGTTAAATATATTTTATTTTGTTAAATGGTCTTAAAACCTTAAAAGTTTATGACATCATTTTTGACTTTATTCAACACTCTGTGATATTCTTCATATATTTGTTTTGTTTATGCAATCTTATCTGTGATTGCCTTTATTTAATCATAGGTTTCTTCAGGCATCTATAGAATAAAATCTTCTTCATTGTCCTAGTTTGATTAATTCAACTTCCATTACTCAAGAATTTATAGACCTTATATTTCTTGTTCTAATTCAGGAAGAATTAATAATTTTTCTATTAACTCTCTTTTCTGCTTAATCAAACTTTGAGTATTACTTGAAGACACATTCTTTTTAATCAAATCAAGTCTTTGCTTACTGTCAGCTATTAATTAAGTGTATGTTTAAAATAAGGTGATATCATTTTTAATTAATTTGTTTTCAATAATCTTCTGATGATTCAAAAAGAAGAGTCTACTCTAATTCTATATAATGATAATTTTGCATTGACCAAATCTATTATGTGTATTTAAACTCCTAGGTAATATACCCAGTATATCCCAAAACCTTGATTTATAGATGGAAAGGGGGTATTTCAAGTTCTCGTTGTAACTGGATTAGCAATTTTAGACAATCTATTAGACACACTACCTTAATTCCATTAATTCTATTTCATCTACGTAAAACATCTATTCCATCATGGATAATGTTATCTCTTGCAAGTATTAGTAAGTGTAAAAATGAGAGATGGCATCTTTAATTTCACTCCACCTTCTTCTCTTTATTTTTTTCTAGAGATTCAATTAGTTATCATTAATCTTATATTCAATAACTATGTCGAAATCCTGATTGATGTAGAATCTGATATCGATTAATTCCCTATTATATGTCTCTATGAGATTCTTTTTTAAATATTTCTTTAATATTTCTATGATGGCTTATTCATCTTAAACCTTGAAAGTATCGAACCTCTCTTTCAACAACTCAGCGCATTCATCTTTTTTGAACTCATCCTCCAGATTTATAAAATCATCGGCAATTATATGTTCTCTACACTCTTTAGATTTAAATTAAATATTTTTTAATCCCAACTCACGTAACTATTTCCTCAACAAACATTCTTTCATCTTCTTCGGTTCTACAATGAATAGTTCTAAATCTAATTGAACTTCAAAGTAAGGTAGATTTGATTGAAATATCAAATGTACATCACCACCTTTCCTTAAATTATCGATCAATTATGCCATTCCTTTGGCTAATTCCTGAAATATAGCTTTATCACTATCAACAAGTCTAATCCTTGTTATTAATTTGTGTTTTTCTTTCAAACAGGAAATCATTCTGATAGCCTTCTCATATACCATTTCAACATCTCTTAATGTGTTTTGATTAATAATCACTTTAGAATTCATTATTTTTATATTTATTAGAAGAAAGTTTTCATTAAATCAATTAATTATAAAAATTACTTGTAATTTGAATTATTCATTTTTGATATATATTTGATGTAAGTGAGCTATTTTAGTTAAATTAATTCGAAGATATATATATTGGTGTTGTGATCAAAATTTTTCATTAAATATAAATGCTTAAATTTTAAAAGAAATCTAAACACGAAGCCAAGACTTGTGTTCTTGACATTGTTAATTCATTGGACTTCTTTGGCTAACCTCCTTTTTTTAGAATCTTGAAAAGACAAAAGTTTAATACTCTTTTGGGTCATTTTCTGACTATCATTCTCTTGATTATGTGCGCCCTCTATCTGTATTTCTAATTTTAAGACCTCCTCGATTAAAGAACACCCAACATAATTATATCCGAAACTCAACCCTTTAATACGCCGGTATTTTTTAACGACTTATTGAATAAGGCTTTTCCTTTGTATTCTGAGAACTTTACCTTTGCAATTAGCATCACAGGACCAACTTTATCATCGCTAACTACATACAAGAAACACTTTGATATTGCTATGACTGCTTGCAATAGAACTCGTTTTTATAATGAAACAACCTAAGCGACAGATATTTCTTTAATGTATAAAATTCATATAATTTTAGATGCAGAAATATCCCCTTAGAAGGTTGTAATCTTGAAGATCATTTTCCAAAAGAGTATTAGAAGCAATTTTTTGGAAAATTCCGCTTAACGAACATGTTTTGTATTAACAAGAAACTAGGAGAAGAAAATCCACCTGTATTTACCCAAAATATAATAGTAACTTCAAGGATATACCAGTGCTGATACTTATTAGTATGTCAACATCTCGATGTCTCCATGCAAAAACACATCTACATACGATGGGTGCAGTCCCGTTGAAGAAATTTAGGCAGGATTAAAGACAGGATTTTTTGCATTATATCTAGGAGATACTCTACTAAAATTGGATAATCCAGGTAGACCTTATGAGGAAATTATCACTGTTTAATTTGCGGCATTTTCATCGAGTCTATCAAAATAAATTTACTCGACCTTCAAAATGATTGAAACCAAAACTGATGTCGGATTAATCCAATAGGACTTAGTCACAGAATTAGGATTGATGCAGTCTTCAATCAAGGACTCCTCAGGACCATTCAATCAGAATTCCTATGTGGAAAATATTCTATTCATGGACTAAAGAGCCAATAATTATAAGAGATCCTACATCAAGGTTTAAAACATTCTTGGTAATGTCGGAGGTCTTTGGCAATTGGTGGCATTGACTATTACCACTCTAGTGAGTCCTATAATAGCTACATTGATGAATATGTAGATGGCTAATAGGATTTTCAATTTTGAAAATGGAGGTGACAAAGTTCGTGAGGTACATTCAGTTTCAAATTCTAATCAAAATATAAATATTAATATCAATGGGAAACCTGAGCAGAAGGATCTTATTGTGGAATTAAACAAGCAGGGGAGAATCCCGTAATCATCGAAAAGGGATTTGGAGAAAGTCTAAAATAGGGGTCAATTGAAGTAGTATTTGAAATAGAGGAAGAGACAGTTAAAAGTAGGTTTATGGGATCTGATGTGTATGAATATAGGATTGAAGAGGAGACAAAAGCAGCAGATTGATTATGCAATTGAGAAGATCTTGTGTAAGTTGGATGTTGTCAATATATTGACTAAGATCCAGGAGATAGACAAATTAAAGTATGTGATATTGAATAAGGATCAGTTAGAATTGTTTAATTATATTCCGAAACCTTTAATACCTATGGATATGTTCTCGTAAGATTTTGAGAAAAAGTTGAATGTTCTAGAGGAGAAGGCGGAATTCCAATTTATTTTGTAGGAAGAGAAATCAGATTTGATTAAGGTGGAGTAGGCATTCAATGCTTACATGAAATTGTAAGAGAAAAAACGATTAACTGATACTGACAAGAGCATTCTTGAGTTGGTTGGTGATGATATGATAGCAATATTCGATAAGATTAACAAGAATCAAGATGAGTTTTTGTTGCAGAGTAATAGATACATACATTCGAATTTGAATTTGCTCGAGTAGAACTAGATAGAAATCATATCACCGATTAGTAGCAAGAGTGATAATGATTAATTCAATAGAAGTGTTAATAATTTTGAATGCATAGGTAATGAGGATAATGAAGATTAAGTTGCGTAAATTCCACCCAAAATACCATCTAAAAAATGAATAATATTATAATATTTGTTATTTAAATTAAATTTTCATGGGATCAAAATGTTCAAATTGTGCTTAATGTTAGAAAGATAAATTGGAATAACTCAATGAAGTCACCATAACTAAGAAATCTGAAAGCCATAAAAATGTTATTTCTTCAAATTCTTAATTATCTTAATAAAATAATGCCCATCTCCGTAAAGTTTATACGATCTTAATCATAATAGTAAAAATCAAATTAAAGTCATGATGATACTGATAAGAAAGTTCGGGCATTATTACTTTCTAAAAAGGCTATTGTCATATAAAAGTATTGGAAGGGATATAAATCCAGGAAAGCCTATGAACAGGCAAGGATGTATTTAAAAAAGTCTTAAATTGAGTAAGCAACTATAGAAAGTAAAAGCAAAAGAAATACGTAGAAATATTTTATATAAGAGGAGTATGGATGTAATATCAAATATAATTAGCAAGAAAAAATTAAGTTTGAATCTCAAAAAAGAGAATTTCGACCAAAATACGAATTTAAGAGTGGGTCGACTTATGAAGGAGAGTGGTTGGGTGATTAAAGAGACGGTTAAGGAATTTAAATTTGGGTGGATGGAGCCAAGTTCATAGGTTAATGGAAGAATAATCAAGCCTGTGGATAAGGAACCTTTTACCATATCGACGGTGCTACTTATGAAGGACAATGGGAGAGTGATAGAGCAAACGGATTCGGAATTTACAAACAGTCAAATGGAGTTGTTTACTCAGGATAATGGAAAAATGATTATCAACATGGATAAGGTCAGGAGAAATGTATATTAATAATATATTTAGGGATTGATAATTCAATGTATTAGGGAGAATATTTCTAAGGCAAGAAATAAGGATAAGGAACGTATAAGTGGCCAGATGGAAGTTACTTCGAAGGAGAGTGGTTTGATAATAAGATAAATGGTTATGTATAAGTACAATTGAAAATAGGGAGTTTATGTTTGGGCTGATGGAACGATAGTACAAGGGAATATGGAAGGATAATAAGATGCATGGATATGGAGTATATTAATGGACAGACGGACGATCATATCATGGTGAATATCTTAATGACAAAAAACATGGTAAAGGAAAGTACTTTTGGCCAGATGGGAAAGTATTTGAAGGAGAATGGGTTGACGGGAAATAGAATGGAAGAGGGAAGTACTTAATGCCAGATGGAAGAGTTAAATTTGGATGGTGGGAGAAAGGCAAACGAATAAATCTTGACGGAAAATTCGAATGAATTAATTTGGTATCTTATATATGAATTACTATAATGTTCTAGTAAATTATACATACTCTTTTTAAATATCAGTAATATTATATTACTAAGAATGCCTAGAATGACTAGTGTGTTATTAGTAAATGTTGATAAATAATAATTGTATAAGATTGTTAATATATAAGTGCACGATATTTCATTATTCTAAGCTTTAGTTTTAATGTTAGGGAGTAGGCTCAGAGGCTTGTTCACGAGCTTAATTACCTTTGAAACAATCACAACACTTTTCCACACAACTTTTTTAATTGCCGTATTATTCTGGTACTACTTTATCTATACGAGGAAAGCAGCATTCAGTTATTGTGTTCCTATACTTGTATACCAACAGGATTGAAATAAGTAATATGATAATTGTAATGATCAATCCAACTCTTGCATTTTTATCTAATGCTCTTGTAGGACTCATAGGTTCTTGATTAATATTTCATATTCTTACCTTCATACAAAGCATCTTCATAAAACAAGATTTTGGGTTGCAATTGTGTTTAATACTCTCTTGGACCTTTATCTACTGTCTCATTGGATGCATTCGTTGCGTATAATTCATTGAATCCATAGAGATGTATGATTAATCCAATTTCTAATGAATATCTGCCATACAATGGTTCTCCTTTGTTTATTTTAATGGGAACCTAAAAGTATTTTTATCCTAACATCTCGACGAGTGTCAAATTCAAATCGATGTAAGTTGTCTCTGACTCTGATAAGAATGTCCAATTGATGAATCTTACATACGGTGTTATGTTGAAGAGTAAGGAACTGCATAAGGTGTTTGATTCTACTCCAATGCATGAAATCTGTTAATATTTAAAGTACTCCCTCTCTGCTTCCTCTGTTGCTGTAGCAAATTGAATGTATTATTATGGATCGTTGGGATCATCAGGAATAGGAGCTGAGTATTTGTATTATTGAGGTAACAATGCACTGATCCCTCTGGTGTAATTACTCCAAATCACAGTGTAATTCTTCTCTGGATGAAAGACACTACTATTCAATTGACTTTAAATATAGTTATAACAGACAGTTCTGACATTCTATATAAATTAAATATTAATACCTCTGTAAATTCACGACTTTTAAACTAATAACATGGGGGATTACCATCTATCTTTTTGTTGTAATAATCTTCGTCTACAACTAATTTGCAATCCTTAGATGGTTGCTCCATTTCACAAACTATTGGATTCCAATATCTGCAATAATCTCCATAAAAATCAGGAGGACATAAACATCCATAATGCAATCGGTATCGAATGGTACAGTTGGCTGTATTGTTGGCTGAAATATCCTCATATTATTGTTGAGTGACTCTTGTTTTAAAGCAATAATGTTAAGTCACATTGATTAGAATAGGTTAACCAAGATAACACTTAAGTGGATAAAGTGGCCCTTATCTTAAATATTCATTGATTGTAGTGTTCAAAGTAGCTGGAGGTTGTTAAGTCCCTGCTTCCTCCATGACTCTATTTATTCTGACATGTTTTAAATTCTTGTCAATCTCAGGCATAGGAATCTCATCCCCCTAATCCTAATCTAGACTTCTTAATCCTAATGTTTATCTCATCATTTCCATCGGCATTCTAGTAACCAACATTTATGCCTTATGTCTCCACTCCTCATATAAGGCATTGGTCTCTTCCAACAGCGATGTTTTTGCAATACATTGTATTACTAATAATAAGAGAAACATTAAATATTATATATTATATTCTTAAGACTTCTTTAATTAATTATATGCCCATAAAGATCTTCATTTCGAATACTCAACTTCATCCAATAATCTAATACTATACAATACAATTAACATATAATCATAAAAACTCCCACACAAATTTAAGGTATTGCTTTAGTCCTTTAATTAATGAGATTTTTGAGGATACATCCAGTCTAATATCTGACAGATAACTTTCTCTCAACTATTTAGTTTCCTTAAACTTCTGTAATATTCTAATTGCTTCTTCTACTATTTGCATTTAGCCTATCAGAATTTCCTTTTTTTCTTTGTTGATGTAAATCTAAGTAATCAAAGATTATATGTATACTGCAAATCTTTTTTGATATTCCATTTTCTATTCTAACTCCTTAAGATCTTAAGCCAAGTCTTAAGAGTAAGATTTCATTAAGTTTTGTAATAATGAATAGTAAAATTCCATGACGAAAATTTCATAATCGATCGACACAGGGATAGTACTCAATAAATCTTTTTCATTTCCATAATGAACCCTTAGGAGCAATCGCAAAAATATGATTGTGTCTATGTTCAGCTTGTTCCTTTTAATCCTGAACTCCTTTGATAATGATGCAACCGGAATTTCATGACCATTATATAAAATCGTATTTAAAATTGATTCACCCTCAGGTATTAATTTTTGAATAATTATTGTATTCAAGATTTCATCTCTACTTTTTTCTTAATCTTTGAAAATGTCTGTATTTAGCCATAGCTTTATATAGTTAGTTAATTACTCTAAAATTAAATGAACTGTAGATGTTTTCTGACAATGCAAATCCATACCAACTGATCAAAAATCTATTTGTCCTTCGCCCATATGAGACTGTAACCTATTCAAATTTCTTAATTGGCTCAGTAGTTGCAATACAAAAATATGCATCTTAATCATATTCATTCAACCAATCCCATTTTGACTCTTCACTTGTCTCACTTTCATTATCACTGGATGATGTTGGTTCGCTTTGTAGTTTGCTAAATCTCCCATTCATAATCTACTATTTTGCTTTAATGGCTTCGATTTGATATTAAGGTAAGCCTCGTATGATTACTTTGTTTTTCTTTTCTATTGTTTATTCAATGAATTTTACTTGGATTCAAGGTGACAGTGACAATAGGTTGATTTTTCAATTAAATAGATTGATATTATTTTTCAATTCTCTTTTATTCTTCCCTTCTTTTCCATTCTGCAATTTCCTTAATCTTCAAAATCTCTAATTCTTTATGTTTTGTTAGTTTAATTTCCTCATCAGAATCATTATCTTCACTATCCGAAGAAGTCATCGAATCCAAATCCCAAACATTCATTTTAGGATCTTACATCATTTACTCATAATATATCTAATTAATTATTTCTTTTCTTCCATCTATTGAGAGGCTTTCCAGATCATCAATAACTTTTAAATCTCTCAAATATTCTTTATTATCTAAAACAAATCTAATTTTCTCATCTTCAACTATCTACATTTCATTTCCATTCTCAATTCCTAAAATACTCAAATTGATTTTGTTTCTTTTTAAAATATATTGCTATTGAAAATGTGCCTGATCTTTTTATTTAAGAGGAATCCCTTTTTCTAACCCTTTATGAACCATATAATGAGTGCAAGCCCTATTAGAATGGTTAAGAAAATCAGCTATTGGAATTATACAAGTAGATTTTAGACTCCATCCAAAACATCTACTCATAACACATTCAACTGCCCAGTAAAAGTCCTTTTTATCAGTTAATCTAGGTATTCCAAATACATCCTCATTATTATCAAAGATTTATTTTGCTTTACCCCATAATCCTAAGACATCCTATTTGATGTTGGCAAACTCCTCCAATATGATAGGATCTTCAATTTTCTTTAAGTCTTCATTAGACCAAGTTAACAATGTATTATTTGCTTAGACAGCTGAGATGTAGGGGTAATAAAATGACAATTCACCTTTCTTTTTTTCATTGAACATATAAAAAACTTAGATACATATCAATTTGATACCTAACATATTAAACTCTGCATCATTGGTTTCATCCTTGTCGAACATTTCTGGATGACTATTGTAAACTGTGTTAAGATTGGTACTCTTACATTTATCTGGTGAAATTATTAATGCTTAAGGTATGCAAATAAATGCCTAATAGTTTCTTAATAAGTGCTTACAGTATTTGATGGTAAGTCTTCAGAGGCAACTACTCCTGTGACATCACCAAAGGAAGCTGGAAAATCTACACCTTTCATCAGAACTCCATTTTCAATACTCCACTCCATAAGCCTTTTGTATTTTAGATATTGTTTGATTTCATTTGTTTTTTATTAATCGAAATCCATGAAATAATAATTAAAATATTTGTATGACCATTTTAATTTCAACATTTAATCAAAGTGGTTAATAATTTATAGTAAAGGTTAATTTTATAATAATTTATTTTATGGTATTTTACTTTTGTTTCAATATTAGGTTTATTTAAACTTTAGATTAAAAAAATATCTACATTTTTTAATAACTAGTCTTATTCTTTTAAATTAATAATAATTAATTTAGTTGTCAATCTTTTTTTTGATCAATAACCTAAAAAGAAAGGTAAGATTCCAAAACATTTTGGATAACTTCTTTTCTCAAATTTATTTATTATGGAAATGTAAAACTATTTCTATAAATCTTAATTTTGGACCAAATTTTAATTAAAATCACTGATTGACTTTAAGTAAGGAAAGAGAGGATCAAGTATTAATTTTTAGATTTCCTTTATTTCTTATATCATAAGTATTGAAGCCAAAAGATAGACTTCATCATATTATAAACACAAGCTTTATCGGTTATCTAATTTTGATTGAGAAATACTAGTTGTTTGAGAGTCTTCACTACACTTTATGAAATTAGATAATGGTTGGATTACGAAATTTATAAAAGTGAATGTCTTCATTCACTATAACTATATATATTTTATTCATAATTCCGATGAATTATAATTTTCATGAATTATTAAACTGCTTTAGAATAGATCAAAGGGTATGAACCTCATTTCGAGGATTACAATTATGTTGATCTTCTAAGTATCAAATCTAAACTAAGGATTGCAAACAATTACCTTTATTATGGATAATTATTCAACAATCTCAAACATGGTAGAGGTTGCATATTAAATAATTGTAGGTATTCTTTTATCATCCAATGGACGCAGATATGAGGGTCACTGGAATGAAGATGAGAAAAATGGATATGGATGGGAATTATTGCCAAATGGTTCACAGTATGAGGGCTATTATTTTCATGGAAAACCTCATGGAAAAGGGAAATTTATATGGGCAAATGGAGAATATTATGTAGGAGAATGGAATATGGGAATCAGAGAGGGATAAGGTAAATTTGAATTCTCTATGCAGGGATATGGTGTGGCTTAAATGGTGAGTATTATTCAGGACAATGGAAGACTAATTAGGCCACAGGTTTTGGGGAATACATTTAAAATGGCAATAAGTATATGGGCAATTTTCTTTAATGGATGAAAAATGGAGAAGGCTAAGAGTTCTTTAATAATGGAGATAAATATCAAGGAAATTATTTGAATGGCATGCCTCATGGATATGGTGAGTATATATGGAGTAGTGGAGCGTTATTCCAAGGATATTTTAAGGAAGGATTGCGTTATGGGAAAGGAATTTGGAGAAGATCCGAGGAATCACCAACAGATTCATATTAAGGACATTATGAAGAAGATAAAAAAAATGGATTTGGAGTTTATAAATGGGCAAATGGGAATGTGTATAAGGGATAGTTTATGAATGATTTTAAACATGGATATGGTGAAATGATATACTTTGATGGTTAAGTTATTAAAGGCAATTGGGAACAAGGAAGACTGGTTAATTAAATAAGGACTCAATCCGTTGAAAAAATAAAAAATGATAATAATTATCAAATTAAAATAGTTGATGAAATAAATTAAGTGGCAATAAATACAAATGAAAATAGAATCGTTCTAAAAATCTCAGAAGTAGCTAAGTAGTCAAATATTTAATACACTTCAAATCGTAAGGAGAAAGTCAATTTTCTTTATCCTTCGATATATGAGAATAAGAAATAATCAATAAATAGTAATCCTTCAACATAATAAACTAATAGAACAAAAAAATTAATTAGTATCAAATAGTACACAAAGGAAAGATAATTAAGTCAGAGTTAAGAATGTGCAAAAGCATTTAAGCCAGCTCAATAAATAGAGTTGACAGAAAGATCAAAGATATAATCAAAATTTTGTATAAAAGCAACAGAGAAACAGAATTTGCAAATAAGAAAAACTAAATTATCCTAATCTTTAATTAATTGATATCTACTGTAAATAAATTTATTGATTTATATTTATAATTGTAATCGTAATTCAATAGTATATTTCGTTATTTTATTAATCAAAAAAGTAATTAAAGATAATAAAATGACGCTCTTTATATATGAAATTCATTTACAATCTTTACCTTTTGTATAATCAAGAAAGTAGCTTCATCTTGAGAAGTTAAACTTTTAATTTTAGTCCTATTTTTCGATATAAGAATATATTAATGACGATTTATTGTAATATATATACTCTTTTTAACATATACTGATTTTTCAACTTAATTCCTTTTCTACTTCAGCCAAATCCTTGGGCATTTCATCAATTTTAGTGTTGTAATACTTTTCAACTTCTAATAAGAGATTAGCTTCTTGTTAAGCAACCATATTGATGGCAACTCCCTTTCTACCATATCTACCAGCTCTTCCAACTCTAAAAAATAGATTAAATGAATGATACCTGTGAATATATTATTCCTTGAGTCTTGGGAATTCATAATTGATAACCAAAGATAATTATTGAACATCAATACCTCTTCCCATAAGATCTGTAGATACTAGGATTCTTGCAGCTCCCTTTTTGAATTCTTACATAACCTAAAGAGTAGAGATGATAAAATTACTTATTCTCTTTCCTTTTATTCCATTTGACTGTGGATTTTACTGACTGTAAATCCTTCTGCTGTCAATTTATCATGGAGATCATCGACAGTCTTTTTGGAATTGCAAAATAAGATTGATTATGAAACTGTAAGATTCTTGTATAATTCAACCAAAACTCTGAACTTTTGGTCTTCTTATTAAATGGCAATGTAGAACTATCTAATACCTTCCAAGGTCAATTATTCTTTCTTGACTAAAATCTTTGCTGTTCCTTCTCTTAAGAATTATTTACTCAATTCAATAATTTCTTATGGGAATGTTGCACTAAACAATGCTATATAGAATATATGATGAAAGTATACCAATTTAGATATCTCCTGGTACCATTTTAAGGATTTCAGCGAAATTATCACTGAATCCTTGATCCAACATCTAATCAGCTTCATCAACAACTAATAATCTCATGAATGTGGCATCCAAATATTTGTTTTTCATCATGTCAATCAATCTTCCTGGAGTGGCAATGATGATGTGCACACCTTATTTGCATTTCTCTCTTGTTTCTTGTGTTGAGGTTCCTCCAATGCAACAAAAGGCTTCAATATTTAAATATTATCCAATTCCTTTGACAACATCATAAATTTGCTTTGCCAATTCTCTGACTGGTGCCAAAATGATGACTTGGGTCTTTCTCTAATTTGGGTCAATTCTTTGTAAAGCACCAATTGTGAATGTACCTGTCTTTCCAGTTCCTATAAAATATTGTAAAATTAGAGTGCTTACCTGATTATGCTTGTGCCAATACGTCTTTACCAAGGATGATTGGTTTAATGGCCTTTTATTAGATGGCTGAGGGTCTTTCGAAACCGTAAGAGAAGATGCCTCTCAATAAATCTTTGCTTAATGTTAATTCTTCGAATGTTTCGACTTGCTTTTTAATTTACAATATTTATTTACCTCATTCCAATTTTCTTGTATATCTTAAGTAGCTTGATCCATAAATATTCTAATAAAAATATTTTTATTTTCATACTTTCGATAATGTCCTTTTTATTTAAAAAAAGATTTAAATTAGACACTATAATCGAATGAAATTTAATAATTCTCAAAATAATACACAAAATGACTAAGATGCTTCTTAAAACCTTTAATCATTATAACAACCTCAAGTGAGTGTGATATATATATTGGTATTATTATTATAATTTTCATCTTTCAGAGGCTGTGGCTATCATTCTCTAAACCAATGGTAATAAATTAGTATTAATTAGAGTAGATCTAATCAAATATTCATCAATCCACTACTTTATTTCTCAAACCAATCGTGTGAAGTCTTACTTAATTGATTAAAGCAGAATCCATTTATGTTTATGGAGCAAAAAATAGAGAAATATCAAAAATAAATCAGGAATTGAAATTGATCTTATTCTATTTTCAATGCCTTATACAAGATTTACCAAAAAAATTGCATGTAGCCACTAGTGCACAAAAGGCTGTAAATACAAATCTAAAAAATATTATATAATTTAAAGTAGTCTACACTTATCAATATAATTTACTTTTCTTGCAATATTACTAGAATATCAATGCAATGAAATCAAAAATTTCTTAATAGGTAGTTGGGAACTATAAAATTCAAATAATTCCGCTAAAAAGGTACTTTCATATTCTGAAATCTGATGAAAGTCAGAAATTTACTTGTATTCATTCCTAAACCTATTCCAATTTATGAGCAAAGGAGTGTTCTATTAGTTTTCGATAAGACTGACCCTTATGCTATAATCTTAAAACTAAGATTTCAATAATCTAAAACTATTATATTCATTTGAAATAATTATACATATTCATGAATATTATAATATTATAATATTATAAGGATATCAATATTATTTTTCTTGATTATTTTAAAAAGGGGTTCTGATTGTTCTAGTTGTAAACTTGGTTAGATCATAAAATATAAATTATATCACATTTAAAGATATACAATTTATCATCAAAATATTATATTATTGTATAGTTCAATAATTCTCTTATATCTATGAATTACCAATTGATCAAATATTATTTATATTAATAACACTTAGTTTCTTATTTTGAAAATGAATATTTTGTTTGTTAATGATTAATAAAATTTCTCTTAAGTTCAAAAGTAAATCTTTTCATTAAGTAATTATTATATAAGTTTTACATTATAATCTATTTAATTGATGCAAATTATAAATATCAAATAATTTATAATAGAAAAAGATATGTGTTATTATTTTCTATTAACAGAAAGGATTGATATTTCGAAGCCTATAACTAATTACGTTCAACTAATCTCAATAATCAAAAATACTCCAATTAAAACTTCTTGAAATTGAAATAATACATTTATAATAAAATTTTACATTGAAATAATATGATTAATTAATATAACAGCATTAATAAAGTCTAAAAAAAAGAACAAACACATAGATAATGATATAAATAGTTTAGGAAGGATAGGGTAAGCATTGTGATTAATATTAGATTAATAAGAAAGATAAGAATTTGAAGTTGATGATAATTAATTTAGGAGATGGGAATAAGGTATTAATGCAATATTAATATAGTTGCTAATCAATATAGATAAGAGATACTAGTAAAAACTTTCAAATTATGATTATTAGTTGTTGGAACAGCAATTGTGGTAGACCAACATTGATAAGGTATTTTAGAAGGGTAAAGGTGTACCTAAGAAATTGTAATAAAAACTGAGGAAGATGAAGATGGGAAAATCCAACAGGTAGTGCAGTATTTGTTGTAATAATTTCTCTAAGGGTAAGAATCTATTAATATCTTAGATGAAACGATAATACAACTACCCTGTAAACATATTTTCCATTAATCTTGCTTATTTTCTTGGCTTGATCATAGTACGAAATGTCCTAATTGTCGAAGTGATGTATTGGAAGGTTTGAAGAGTGAAGAGAAATGATTTACATTTCTATGGACAAAAAGTTTATATTAAAAATTCATGACTAAAATGCAAAAGCTAAATTGGATGAAGTAATTTATTCAAATAATCCTACATGTTGGAAATTTTATAAAATAATCTCCTTTTCTCAATAAGAAGTAGCCTTTTCTAATTTTCAGTTTAAAGAATTCAGTCTTTTTTTAATTTATTCTAAAATTAGATTGTTCTCAATAATTAATTGATATTATTTAATCATGATTAATACTGTAGTTGTAATATTATTGCGTCTCTTTATTAATATTGATGCTATCTATTGGTAAGGCTTCTTAGATTAATTCTTAATGCTACTATTATTATTACATGATTGTTATTTATGAATGCTAGATTATTAAATGATTTTATTCTATTAATTATAATTGCAAGAACAATATAATTGTTTAGTTTCAACGAGAAAATAAAATAAATTTATTAATAATATCTGTTATTATGAATAATAATAATCGGAAAACCTAGTCCTCAAAGGATGTAAGAAATAAAGGCAATTCTGGATTGAATCGTAAGAATGATATTCCTTAAAAAAGAATATAATCTGCAATTTAATCAGTATTAAATTATATAATTTAGGTTGATAAATCGGTCGACCCAAGTGGAAATCTAGTAGAACAACTTAACAATATAGTTTAGGATTATTTATTAAGATCTAATTGCATTAAGACTTTGGAACAATTCAAAATTGAATCATAATTTGCAACTGAACAAAGTAATGAAACCGAGCATATTATTTTGGGGCATTTTGATAAAGGAGAAAGAGATAAGTTTCTTGAATCATGGAGTCGCTACATTCCGATTTCGCAGCGACAAGAACACGATTCATGGAAATTAGAATTCTATATATAGATCTATTTCTTTATCTATCCTATTCATCCAGTTTTCAAAAAGAAAGGCCAAATAAATAAATACTCAATCAATCAACTCAAAAATTATCTAGACAACAAAGGAGCAGACTTATCGAAAACAAACGAAGTTCTTCCCTTCTATGCATTACCTTATGTGAAAAACCCAGAAACTCATTAATCCTTCTAGCATCTATTTACTCATGAATGGATATCTAATCTAAGAATTAAATTAAAGGAATTCATCCAATCCATCTATGGATCTGATCAATATGGTTGTATTTTAAAAAGATTGGTTCTGTCTAAAGAAGGATCTGTAAATTATCAACAAAAAGATGATCAAAATAGAATTATAGAAATAAAGTAATTGCAATAAGAAAATATGGAACTCAAAAAGAAGAACAACCAACAGATTTAAGCTTTGCAAGAGTTGAATCATCTAGCATAGTAAAATTTGATTGAAGTCTAACAAAAATGGTTTTAGTTGTCAGGAGAATTGTTGAAAACACAGAAAGAAATGATGAAATACATAGAGAACAACAGCAAGATACCAGAATAGATATAACAATTCAAATAAAATATTGCAATTTTTGATAAATTCCTAGGTTAGAATTTTGAGGAATAAGTGGATAGATTAGAAGACATTTCTCCGTTTAATAACAATAATTAACCGGATCATGATTTATCTGAAATTACAAATTAGCAATGTATACTGTGGTTATAACACTATTTATAGAAATGAATCCAGTTTAGCAGTCTATAGAAGAGTATCTTCCTTTAAACTATGAAAAACTTATTTTGTTGTTCACAAAGTCGCAAAATTCAGTATTGATTGCCACTGTATTATAAGCATTGAGATGGAGAATCACGAGAGCTAGAAGTGCTTTGGAAAGAAGAGCAGTGGTAGTTGCATACTAAACTCATGATTTGATAGGAACACATTAGAGAAATATTATTTTAGCCTAACATTTAATGTTTAAGGTGGCTCCTATAATTTAATGTTAAACGTTAAAATTAATGAACGCTTTGGCTTCAGATTACTATGGTAGAATTTATTTGACTTCAAATTCTTTTCTAATAAAACTATTAATTGAATTTGTAAAAAAAGATTAGACTGATTCAATTAAAAGAAAGAATGCAATTGGAACTTTACAGAAATTATCATTACATAAATAAAGCTAGATTTGGATGCTTGATAACAATATCATCTATGTGGCATTAACCATATTATAAAGAGTATTATACATAACTATATATCCAATAGGAAAAGTTTATACTGAGTGAATACACTTATGAATATATAACAGCATTGATTATGAATTTATCATTAAGCTCAAGGGGTCGCGATGCATTATCCATGAATAAAAAATTAGCATTTGAAGTCCTTTTTGAATTAATAGAATATCCCAATGATTAAATTCGAATCTTTATAAATGGGACACTTTATTCAATGTTCAGCAACATAGAACTTAGAGATTACGCAAATTAATTAAATATCCCTCAAAAATTAACAAAGTTATTACCTGTCATCGAAGAAAAGTTCAAGAAATAAATATAATACATGATTGAGAAATTAGAAAGCAATGAAGATGATAATGATCAATCATAAATGGAAGATGATAATGATTTAGATGATTTGGAAGATGAGGAAGAATGTCTAGTTGATGATGATGATGAAGATGAGTTAGACAATAATGATATGGTTGTTGGAGAGGAATTATTAATGAACGAATTTGCTTTAGAGAATGAATAAGCAGAATAACAAAGACTTTTGATGGAGTCCAGTATGTAAAGGGAATTGTAATAGAGAACCATCTATTAAGAGCAAATGAGGGATTCTCAAATTGAAAAAATGCCAGTGAGATGTAAAGATTATTTCTTATCATTCAATTTAGAAGGTCCATTTATTGTTGATAGTCTAGCACAGTTTAATGATAATCAAAAGCACATGTAACTATAAACCTAGGCATTCGTATCTAGACCAAAAGTACCTAGAACTCCTCCCATTTAGTAATACAATTATCAACATTGATTTATTGATAAATAATATACTGATTATTGATAAATTAAATGTCTGCGGGATTTAATGAAGAATTGATTAACTGTCCAGCAGGTTGTGGACGTAAGTTTAATAAGGACAGCTTGATAATCCATTACAAGATATGTAAGGATGTCTTCTAACAAAAACGTTGTGTCTTTAATTCCTAATTAAAACGAGTAGGATATGACTACTTTATCGGAAACAAGAAGAATTTACCTTAATTTTCATCCCCTAAATCAATTAAAATGAAAACTGAAAACGCTTAAATTAAAACACCCCAGATCACATCAAAATATTTGCAAGTCATCTCCACTAAAAGATTTTGTAAAGGATGCTTGAGAGATTTTGATATTAAGATAGCTGATGATCATATATAGAAGTGCACCCAGAAGTTACCCAAAATCAATGGATTACCTAAACTTAATGATATATATTGAATTTAACATTAGATCTTAATTAGAATTTTATACATAAATTACACACAAAATTCTATTGATATATTCATTTTGTAAAAATAATCATAATTAATCAGCAAATTGTTTTTAAAGGTTTCGAAGTGTTAGCATACCAATCTGGTATTAATGTAATCATTTATTACTAAGTCATTTTAGACATTTCTTCTGAATTTATTAAATAATAATAATACCATTTGAAAATTCAAAGAGATCGGAAGCACTTAGTTTTATTGTGCTTTAAATTGATTTAAATGAACTTTATTCTCTCAACTCATCAAAATAAGGATGAGTCAGAGATTGGAGAGGAGTCAATCGAGTTTTTGGACAATAAGTCAAAAGTTTTGAAACTAAATCTATGGCCTTGGGATCTTTAGTTTTCAATACCTAATCAATATATATACTATATTTGTACTCTTCTCCAATCTCTTTATTTTATAGTAGCAAATTGATATTATTACATATCGTAGTTTTTATTCATGCTTAAAATTTAATCCCTAGAAGGAGTTCCAAGCACTTTTACAATTTCAACCATTTAATCAACAGCCGAATCTCCTAAGAATAGTGGTTCCCCATTGATTAATTCAGCTATGACACAGCCTACAGACCAAACATCTATTTATGTGTTATAATCAGTTGCTCCAAATATGAGTTCAGGGGCTCTGTAGCATCTTGAACATATATAAGCAATATTTGGTTCCCCTGCAATTAGTCTCTTGGCACTTCCAAAATCGCATAACTACAACTTATTGGTTTCTGGATTAACTAAAACATTGTGAGGTTTGATATCTCTATGACATATTCCTAAGATAGAAATGTAACTAATTTTTATTAATAGTAAATACGCGATAGATCTCAATAATTGATAACTAAAAATCTTAACTAAAAGATCAGGCATCTTCTTAAAATCCTTAATAAATGATTTATTGTAGGAATATAGAGTGTCTTAGAAGTACTCCATTACTACATTTAAATAACTTTCATCTTTGCTCTCTGCTGGTGTGTAGAAGGCATGTTTCATCTTCAACACATTTTAATGATCTAATTCTTGTAGTATTTATAGTTCTCTATTTTTATATCTCCTATCTTGCAACACCTTTTTGATAGCAACTATTTCTCCAGTCTCATTCACTTTAGCCTGCAAATATTTAATAATTTTACTTTGTAAACTACTCCGAAAGATCCACTGCCTACAACTTTTAGATTTGTATAAGTAAAATTGCTATAATCAAATCTCTCAGTTGATGCTGGCATTAACACGGACTTAGTGCTATTCTTTTCAATTGAAAGAGGTTTTCGAGATTATTTTTTAATTGTCTATTATTGGAATGATTTCAGCGGATTATCAAGCTTTCCTACATAAATAGATGTTGTAGGTTCATCCTTATTTTTCTTAAAAGTCTATTTGGCCATTTGATTCATTTTTAAACGAGCTTTAAGGTTTGAAATGTCTTATAGTGTTTTGATCTCCTTATCCATTTCTTCGACTTCCGTAACTACTCTTCTATTTTATTCATCAGACTATCATTTTATACACATTTCTGTACTTATTTCTTCAATTATTAATTGAGCATCTTCTGAAACATTATTTTTAACGTAATTTTTAATTATATATAAATAATTCAAACAGTCATCTCTATTTTTATTTAGCTTGTATATATTACAAATATTCCTATTTTTATTAATAATTCAATAATACTTCCTTGCTCATCTTAATTGTAAACACTAATTCATCCTATTATGTCTTAGCCTTTGCTTACGAAGTTTTCACTTGCTAAGGTTACTTGCTAGCCTTTTTATTATTTTAAGCGATAGGAGTAGCCTATTTTTGTTTGTTTGTGCTATTATAATTGCTGGAATTTATCATTTTATTTGGAGGTGATTGAGGCCTTTTAGGTTGTGCTTAAACGAATTCTGTTACTTTTTAAACATTCTATTAATTATCCTTAACAGGTGGAGGTGTTGTATTCTTGATAGGAGAGGATCTTATAATTAGATGTATTTATGTACTGCTGATTGTAATTTTAGGTTTCTTCGTAAATTAATCTATTAACATCAATGTGTGGACTTATTAATTTTCGTAATCTCAATTTCATTTTCTCAAAATATCCAATTCTGTAGTCAGCATAGTTTCTATCATAAAACTTATCAAAATCATCCATTCTTCCTCTTATCTATAACTATTGTAGTAGTATTTACTCTAGCTTATAACACGATTAAATCTTAATACGCTTATTTATTTCCTTTTCTAACTTCATCACACAAATCTAATTATTTGATAATAGCAATTACGAATATAATGGGTACAAATCTATTCTACTTCTTAAGCTATGCTAGGCAATAAATCCAATCGTAAGACTAACCATTACTCTGCACTCATTATTGTTTAATTAATTAAATTTTATAATCATTTCCATTTGATTTTTTCAATAAAATATTTCTCAATTATTATTTTTCCTTCTTTATATTTCTCAGACTCCCTAAACGCTTTTATCTACATATTAACAACACTTTTGATTACATATTTCCATCCAATTATTTCACAGCAACCATTACACATAAGGTCTTGAACTGTGTGTTTACCAGTTAAAAGGTCTTTGTCAACTGGCAATCCCACATGATAATTTATTCTAACTTAATATAAATAATACCCTAAGTCAAATAAATAGGCTTGTCCTGTGCCTCCTTTGAAATTCTGAAATTTTAAACTAAAAACAATACTTTTGATATTCTATTTTAAAAATTTGTTAAGTGAATTCTACATTTTTTACACACGTAGATCCTATTTCCATCTAAATATTCTAGAATTAGTCTTCCCATAACTAATTAAATATTTAAGAAGAAAGATTATATTATAAAATTTTTCATTCAAAAAATGTGTTTAATTACATTATATTATTAAACAAATACACATAAAAAACATCAATTCAGTCAGTTCCTATTATGTAAGAAATTTCAATAAAATGCTGCTTTGTCTTATTATTGTTGATAATAGCAAGATTAACCTTCTTATTCTAATTCAATTATTATTGCTAAGAAAAGGATTGCTATTACTATTAATTAGACTATTTCTCATTCTGTTTAACATCAATAAAGGAACTGAAACCCTTATTTGGCACGAAATCATTGATAATCCTCATCTTATAATTTGTAATATAATGATTATGCTTTTTCCTTTGAATACTCAAATAGCTTTGAAATTATGGAGGCAGAGATTCCTATGATACAATTGAGAAATATCTATCTAAAATAATAAGTTTGTTGTTCGATTATTCTCTAATGAGTAATAAAATACAAAAATCTTAAGAATTATCTGGATTATTTATGATTATTGCCTCTTGGACTTCTTGTTTCATTTTGCTTGATTAGAGACTGTTTATTATAACAATTTTATTTTGATTTTCAAGATACCATTATGTGATATTATAATTCGAATCAAAGGTAATAAATGAATTGGTATAAACCTATCGTATACAGGGAATGTCTTCCCAGAATCTGTTGAGTTTTATTGGTAATAACTTAAGTTTATTATTAAAAAATTGCCAAATGGTAACAGACCTATCATTACTAGCTACAGCAATCAATTGATCCCCTATTATCTCAATACTTGTAATGCAATCTTTATGTTATTTGATCATTTGATCTATTTTTATAGTAAAAGTGTTGTCTATACTAATAATGTAATTAAATATTAGCATGGTTCCTTTTTCCATACCAACAATGAAGTAATTGTAGCTACCCATAGTTTAGCACTGTTATACAGTATGTATTTCTTATTCCTTTTAGTCTTTAATCGTGTATTGACATTATATGGTAATTTAATTAGTCATAATATCTAATTAAACGATGTAGATATTATTTTAACCACAAATGGCAATAATAGGATTTAACATAACTTTTAGATTTGCAAAACTCTATTTGCTGTTTCGTGATTCACTAATAAATGGATTGTAGAGTAATTCCATACATTGAATATATTGCTGTTCTTTATTCTACAATACTAATTGTGATTCTAACTTCCATAGATTAGACTCTTTCTTATGGATCCAAACATAGATTGTATTGCTATCTCCAGCAGTCAAAATGATGTTTTGATTCTTAATTACTAGAATACAATGGGGTGTGATGATTGGCAATTGTTGTTGATTATCCAAATGATTAGGTTTGATGCTAAATTGTCCTTAAGTCATGAGATTAAATTTGGTATAACCATAAGTTTGGCTTTTTAATTTGATAGATGTATTGTTATTATTGAATTGTTGACCCATGGCTATGATATTATCGATTTCATTAAAAACAGAATAGGAATTGGATGATGAGGATCTGCTTATTCTAATGTTTTCAATCATCTCAGATTAGGCAATGCTTTATGCTAATAATATATGGCATTAAGATAATACTTTTATTATCATATAAATGGATATTGGATGTCATAGAATAATATTTACTCCAAAGTAAAGTTAATGTATTTTCTGAATATTCTATGATTTTATCCTAAAACTCTTTGTAAATATTATGATTGAATGATTCAATTATCTATTGCTCCTTTGTAAGTTACAAACTATTTTCTGCTGAGAGTATTTCCAATTCAGGTTGCATTCTCAATAAGACATTATAATATTCTTATAATGAGTTCATATCAATTTATTTATAATGTTCTTCAATGTGAACGCTGCTTTCTTATGCATTTAGAATTGATTTAGTTTTATCGTACGATTACTTGTATGCATAATAATGTTTATCGATTGTATTTTAGAATTCTGCTAATTTGTCTATCATGTATTATTTTTGGAAATCTATTTGGCTTATGATTTCAGTCTTAAATGAACTACTTCTATTCTAAATGCTTAATTAAAATGATATTATACTATTCTAGTATTTTCTCAATTGCCTTATCATAATCGCTTATTATCTTTTCTTAGATTGTATTAAAATTTCCAATTATTTTGTTCATTTGCTGTTTGCAATAGTCAATTTATTTGGTGTCTAAAGTAGATACCAGGATTAATACCGAAATTAGGCAAAATTAATTTATTGATGAAATGGCTCAAATTGTCAAATTATTACAGATGATAATTTTTATTGCATTGTTAGATCTCACACTGTGTACAATAAAATGTTAGGAATTGAGGACACAATTGATTTGAACAAAAATGAGTAAGAATTTAATCTGAATGTCTTATGCAAAGTTTATCAAACATATAAAATAATTATTTAAATCTTATCAATATAAAAAAGGTAAAAATTATGTGTTTATTTTATTTTCTTATGAATATCTCAGATTTTGTTTTATTCTTAAGTTTCTGGTTCCTTCTATTTGTTCTCCTCATCAAATTCCAAATTTGGAACATAAGCTCCATTTTCATTTCTCTTAATGCAATGGTATCCAACCAATTTGCACCATAAGAATAGATCTGCGTCTAATTAAGCAGCACCCAAATACAAGTCATTTTTATTAATGAACAAGTATTTGTGATCGCCAAATCTTTACAAAGCCAATTATAAATAATAAGTGTATCCGGCTCCTACAACTATTAAAATAGCAGTAATAAATAAGTTTGATCTTGTTAACAATCCTAAAAATCCAGAAATAACTGCTGATATAATCAAAACTGTGAAGAATTATTTCTTAACGACTAAAGCAATTTCTTAATTTTCACCTAAAAATATAGGATTAATTGATTACTTATTCCTTTCTTAATTTAAAATAATAAAAATAGAATGACGATACCAAATACTAATTGTATCAATTCAAATTTGATCGATTCAAAATGAAGTGTAAGGTAAACCATCAATAATATTTTACTGGCTGAATGAACGATGCACAATCCGAAATTTTTAGGAACCTATTGGATATATCGAATAACTACCTTATCAACAGATCCTGGACAGAATTGAACAATTAAAATTGATACTATGTATAAAATGATTGTCAATTATTCTAGGAATGGGATGAAGGTTAGAATTGATCCAAAGAAACCGAGTTAAAGAATCAACATTGATAACAAGCTGCCTGCTAGATACTATGCAGCAGCAACAGTTAAGGATTGTTATTAGGCAACTTAAGCTTAACTTCCAGCAAAGGCGAGTATTTCTTATGCCTTGTGAATTTACTCCTCTGCTTGCTTCTCTGCATCTCCAAGTTTTTATCCTCCTTCTCTAAAATATATCTTAAATCATGAATACTCTTTAATCTTTCTTTCCATTTCCTCAGCTTTTTTGGCTCCTTCCAAGGCAGCTGGGATAGCTGCTTACACTAGAGTAGTATCTTCTTCTCTTCTTTCACTCATATATTATAAAATAAAATAAATATCTCAAAAACGAAATATGTAATTTACAGTTCAATCCTATTTCTCTTGTTCATTATATGTATGATAAATCTTCTCCCACTTAATTATCGTGTTTTCCACATTATCAATAATGTCCTGTAATTGTTTATCCTACAAATGTTGAATTTGCATAAAAATACATAAAACTCATTTAAACTAGCCCACAACGGTCTAACAATAACTTTGAAAAATCCCATTTCATTTTTTGCCATTATTTCCTGTTTGTCTAAGTCTTTCATAAAAGGAGTCTAGTTAATGTTACGAGTTCCCTCCTCATCGAACTACGCTTTGAACTCCATATTGACTTTCTCAGTCCAAGCCTTCGACAATTCAAACACTTTTGCAGCCCCACTAAAATCCGAAGTGTGAACTATCATCCCTGTGAATAATTTGACATCTCCATCCATCTTACCAAAAATCTTATCTTGGTTCTCCTTACTTTCCTTCACTCTTTACTCAAAATCCTTTATTAATCCAAAATGTTATTTAATATCTGTGAATAGAATATTTTCAATTAGAGTCTATCTGAAAATTGCCAAATCCTCCACACTCAATCCAGACAGTATATTGTACTTATCCTAATTCAACAATCTCAATGTCACTGCTGCATGATGATTCTCCAGAGGCTAACTATCAAATCAAATAGCTTACACTTCTTTGTCCAAGTATCTTGTGGCCAATTTGCTTTTGCTATTGATTTCAAATTGATTCGTTCGTCCTGTATGAGAAATATCATGGCATAACCCTGAAATCACAGTTGCAAAATGCACAATCTCACTCAAATACTGATGTGCTCTTGGCAAAGAACACAAGAAATGACAACTATGCATTACAGTTATCCCGTGATCGAAATTATGAAAAGGGTTCTTCCTCTTATTATATTTTCTCTCGACTTCCTTAATAAACTTCATCAAAACCTCCTCACTCATATCATAATTGTCAATCCAATCGTTTTTCTTAACTATATGATACACCAACTTTGCCTTCATATTTTCCTAATACTATTCGTCAATAAAACTATATAATTACAGAGAAAATGTTAAATTCAAATTTATCGATTGTCTTGTCCTCATATAATGTGTCCAAATCATCATCCTCCTCAATCTCCAATGCTGACTCTATAGATTTTATACGTTATTTAGACGGTTGATAATTGAATGCCTTGATTTACTTACCCAACATTTGGATACTCAATCTGGGCTTTCTTGTTTTGATAGGCTGCAATGAATTATTTGACTATTATTGTTGGTCTTAATTATCTAAAGATGATTCCTCGGGTATGAACAAAGAAATATAAGAGTTCTTAACACTAGGATTCGACTTCTGTAATTGGGATATGAATTTGAATGTTTAATGTTTGTTATAGGAACGTTGAATGGATTATTTGATCTCATCTTCCAATTGCTCTTCATTTTTCAAATTCTTTATGTAATCCTTCATTCTGGATCCTTCTTGCAGATGAAATATAATCACAAATCCCTTGTAAACTTGATCAACCACCTTCAAGAAGATTTCAAAGTCCTCATGCTGGATGTACTCATTCTTCTTTTTCATCATAAATTCATCCAAATCTATATACCTGAGGATTCTTTCATCCATAAACAACTCTTTATAATTTGGAGTCCGTTTATCTGGAGAGAATTAAATATTGTATTTCTATTTGAGAGTCTCCCAAATGTAATGATTCAAAAATAGCAGTCTTCCATTTTTATCAAAATCAAATAGGATTGTATCAGAAGATCTCAAAAAGTATTTGTAATATGCAGTTTTCTCATGACACAATCTCAAATGTCTCTAGTATTTGGATTTCAAATTCAATATCTCTGTATAAATATATTAATGATCCTCTCTATTTAGATAAAACTCTTCCAAAATCAAAGCAATCGGATTCCTGCATTCCATCTCTATTCTCACGGAATTCTCCATGTCTATCTTCTATCTTCCGTCCTCAGAAAAAGCATAATCCTTCTTAATTTTGAAATGAGGATCCAAAGCTCTGAACATTTCGTCAATCAAGATATATTGGGATGACTCCACGAAACTTAGGGCTATATCCAGAATTTAATCTGCAAACTACACTGGATTAAAGTATTGCACTCTTGCTTACATGATTACATCAATCAAGAAATTGGTTAAAGACAAGACTTCATCTTTGAATCCATATTCATTAGCTTCACTTTTATTAAATCAAATATTGTACTTTATAAATCTTCTCAACAATTTATTTCTGCCAGGCTTGTTCCAATAGAAGAAGAAAAAGGTTTCTTGTTTATTCTGATTGATGAATCTTATAATGGAAAGTTCAGTGAACTAAGAATTCAAATCCAATACCAGTTCTAATTACTTGGTTTATTTTTCATTATTTTAAAAGTTATAAACAATGTTAGGTTTGAGATGCGAAAAGTTTAAGAAAAACACTTATTGCTTATATTTCTCAATCTATTTGATGGAATCCTTTTCAGTCGAATAGAAATCCCACTCATCATTTCTTTTAATCAGAAAGTAAATTTCATCAGAATCAGTTAATTCTTTAATAATCGACTTGACGACGTTCACCAAATTATTATATGATAATTCCTCCTACATTAATAGGTAATGTGTATGTAAACTTCCCAAAAATAGACTCTAGAATATTTGAATTATTTATACTTTTAATTGAACATATGTTTATTTAATTTAACTGATTATTTGAAGATGATATTTACTTTTTAACTGAACACTAGTATCAACTTAATCTGATTTATCATCTTATTGCTCTGAAATAACTCTGCCACAAACACTAATATTTCTACATCTTACTGGTGATTCATTATCTAATTCTTATTCATATTGAATCCCCAAATATTTGTTTATTTAATCCCTCAATTGAGTTAACTTCTCGACATCGATAGGAACAAAGTGTCCTCCATTTGTCATGTGTATTGAAAGCATGGTGTCAAGTTATTCAATTAGTTGCAAAATGAAAGGAGATAATGACTAGTTTAACACATGTGATACTTCTTATTTGTTCTCTACTATTGGATCATCTTGCTAAAACGAGATTTAACGAGCACTCACACTAAATTTGTTACTTTTGTTTTTTTCTAAATGTTTAATATGTGGCACATAAGTGTCCTTTTATCTTTGATTGGCATACTAAACTAACTTTTCGCAAAATTATTATTCCCTATAATTCATACTCTGTTGTTATCTTACATATCTTTGTTTCCATATTTGCTAACTATCTCCATTATGTTTTTATCCTTTCTTAAAATGCTTTATTCTAATTCAGTTTTTTATTTTTTATCAATTACCTTCTCATTCACTAGATTATTGATCACTATAAAAAATTAAGTATATTGAGGAAGCCTAGGTTCCATAAATATCTAATACAATATAAATATAAATATATATATATATATATATAAATATTATCAAAATCAATACTAATTCATTATCCTATAGTCAATTGTGTGCTTCTTCTCATCACTATGCTACTTTTAGAAGCGGGTACTAGTACTGGGACCGATACAATTTTCCCTAATGTAGGGTTAAAAACATCCAGACTCGGTTTTTTACCCGGTGTTACTAAATTTAATGAGAATGCCCTATTACATGTGTGTATATTAATAGAGAGTCGTTGCTTTGCAAGGTTATTATTACAAGATTTCTGTAAAGAGCAACCCATCGAATTTTACTATTTTAAATTTAATTATATATAGCTAAATATGCTCTTAACTCTTTAAGATTAAAAATTTAATAACTACTCATCTTTGTCAGTATTAAATTCAGTATTTTATTTGTGAAATTAATTGAAACAATTCCTTTATTTCCTTCTTCCCTTCCCTATAAGTAAATAGTTGATTCCTATGTAAATTCTGTCGGAAATAGAAATAGAGTTACTTAGGATTTCAAATAATAGTCTTAAAAGTGGAATAATACAATCTAAAATTATAATTATGAGGACAATAATCGAATAATTATTTTAATCCGAAAAATCTGAAGATATACACATAGTATATAACTATAACTATGAATTTTAATAATAATATGTTATTTCGTTTGTTTAATTTAATGGAATAGGGTGCGAGGGTTTCCCCTCACTAGCAGAAATTGAGCGATAAAGCCTTTCCAAACGGAAAGTTTTGGGGCCTCACTGACGCCGGTTGTGCGATGGCCAGCTTAACCCCACACTACTGATCTACATGATCATCAGCAGTGCTCGCCAGGTAAGTGAAATTAGGATTTAAAAAAATTGTCTTATATAATTTTATATAAAATTAAATATTATGGGTTTATTAAGATGAATTGATTTTGCTTAATTTTCAATAATTAGAATTATGTAATAAAATAAATTTGATTATTCTTTATCATTATTTAATTGTCAAATTAAGAAGAAGAAACTCATTGGCTTGTTTAATCGATACATTTACTTATTTGAAGACAAATTGATAATTAACAAAGATTCAAAAAAAGGATATCCAATGAAAATCTACTCTTGGACTTAAATTAAGAAAGTTATATGGAAATATAAAAAATCAAAGAAAACTCCGAACACCTCCACTCTCAGAAACATCATTATTGTCACAGAAAAAGAACAAAAGAAATATTACGGAGAGTCTGAAACTTTATTAGCTTTAAAAAGAATCCTCGCCAAATTTGTGTATCAAGAGAGTATCCAAGATGAATTCGAGCGTTTGCAGACCTTGGGATAAGGCAGCTATTCACTTGTTGTTCAATTAAGACATTTGCATTCAAATTTATAATTTGCTGCCAAATGTATTGATAAAAAACAATTATCCAATATTGAAAATGGAATTAAGGCAGTTCAAAATGAAATTTACATCATGAGAATACTGAGTCCACACACCCAAATTGTTAATCTCCATGAAGTCTATGATGGTGATAATAATATATATTTGATTATGGACTTCTGTTAAGGGGGAAGCCTTTTAACAGAAATCAAGAAAAGACAGTGCAAATTTGATGATTACGAGATCTAACAAGTATCACAATATCCTTATTCTAGATTATGGAGAATATTCTATCAGCCATTGAGTATATTCATAGTAAAGATGTAATGCATAGAGATTTAAAACCAGAGAATATTTTATTTTCTAATCCTAATGATTTTTCGACTCTCAAAATTGCCGATTTCGGCTTATCTGCCATCAGCAAACTCACTCCCTACTTATTTCCTAAATGTGGCACACCTGGATTTGTAGCTCCTGAAAGTATAAAATAATAATAGAACAAGTTGCTAATATGAATGATAAATCTAGGGGATATAGTAAAAAATGTGATATTTTTAGTTGCGGAGCTATATTTCATCTACTTTTATTGGGAAAAGAAGTGTTTCAGGGTAAAGGAAACGCTGAGATGCTTAAATTGAATAAAGAATGCAATATCAATTCATCTGATGATTTATATAACGCTTTGCCTCCTTTAACTAAGGATCTATTGTAAATGCTTTAATATATTTCCAAGATTTAAAATGTTGGAAGTCAATCCTGAAAACAGACTTGATGCCTATGAACTTTTGCACCATCAATACTTTAAAATTTATTAATTTAATAAATTAAATGACTTAAATGAACAGGAAATTATGAAATAGTGATTTAAGAACATAATAAAAATAATATCTTAAATTTATGTTAATATCAATTTATTTATCCATCATCCTACACCAATAATTTGTGGTTACTTTTGTAAAAATTGAGGTTGCATCAACGGTTGGGCCATCTGTTAAGCCAACTAAATATAAGAATATCTAATTACCAACTGCTCCAATTGGGGAACATTCTATTGCTATTATGGTTATTGTAAAAATCCACTCTATTATTATTGTTAAATTTACTATTACTACTAAGGAATTTATTAATAAGATTATTATTATTGAATCTATTACTAAGGAATCTATTAATAAGGTTATTATTAGATATTTTATTATTGAATCTATTACTAAGGAATTTATTATTAGAACCCTTAGATCTATTGCTATGGAATCTGTTATTATTAAAATGATGGGATTTGCTAAGGAATTTAAGATTAAACTTATTATTATGGCTAGGCTTATGGTATCTACTACTAATTCAATAACTGCTGTTGTTGCTATAGAAGTTACTATTAAGTTAATTATTGAGGAATTTATTATTATTGTAATAATTATTATTAGAGTAATAATTGTTATTGGTTCATAATAGGCTAGGTAACAGTCTGAGTATAAGCAATTGGTTATTGTAATGGAATTTAGTATTATTGTTATGTTTAAATATTGTCATTCTTTACAATAGTTGGACTTGATTAGAAGGATAATGGATTGAGCATTTACTATTACAACAGCTGTTATTGGATTTATTGCTATTACTATTAAAGCTACATCATGTAAAGCATTTGAGCTTGCTATTAAGGTGTTAGATAATTAGGATCTACGACTTAGGGAAAAAGCGATGGTACAAATACACCCTAGCTCTGTTGTAGCAGAGACAATTGTTGAGTCAGTTAATTTTATTTTTCCATGAACTGCTTTATTAATAATTCCTGAGCCTGTAGCCTTAAGTCGTATTAAGACAATTAATCAACTTGTTAAGGTTGAGGTATATATTAATTTAAATTACTTTAAGTTCCTACTTATAGGAAACTGAAGTCTTTCCCGTGAGCTTTGGTCTTTTTAACAATGAATTCAACTTCCTCTCCTTCTCCTTCTCCACCTTCATGGTCTCCACCTCCTTCAGCTTCACATGCTCCACCTCCTTCTGCTTCTTCCCCTCCTCCTTCTCCTCCTTCTTCCTCTTCTTAAGCAGCTTCTGCAGGCGAAAAGCTACATTTACAAACCAAGTTCTCAAAGAATTCAGGGCCTTAAACCTACACAAATTGCATTGGATGCTATGTGTTGATTCCTCTTTGTTTGATTTTAATTTGCTATTAGACAAATGAATAAAATTCCTAAGTTCTTTCTTCTTCTTAAACACGTAATCTCACATTCAACGATGGATGCCATGGCTTATATCCTTTGGGCTATGTTTTTAACAGATCAGATAAGGCATCATCGACTGTGATATAACTAGAAAGCTCTAATAATTTTTAGTCATAAATACTAAGTGCTTTGTGATAGTGATCCTACCAAAAAAAACAAAATAAGCATTTAATAAAATTAATAAAACGGATTTATAATTAAATTTGAATTTAAGTACCAAAAACACAATACTTGGAGGAATGGAATTAATTAGAATCTCAAATATCTATAATCATAATTACTAATAATAATATATGGATGTATGGATGTATTTTAATGTTATACTATTTGTTATGAAATTATTATTCATGATTTATGTGTTATTTTATACATTGATGGTATATATCTTTAAAGAAGGGCCTGGGAAAAAAATCCAAGAAAAGATGTTACTATGACAACTGATAAAACAACCCAATTAAATCCTTAGAAACTGATATTAAAATAATTATGAATATTTACGTGTCTTCCTTAATGTCGATTACATCACACCAGCTAGCTCTTTGAGGGAATATGAATGATACTATTGCAACAACAAAACCAAGAGTTGTCCATAATGTTAGTAAGATGTTTTTATAGTATTTGACTTTAAAAGGGTTTGATACGTAAATTGATACTCCAAAAGACATGAAGTAATACATCAAACTTAAAAACATGATTGAATTCAAGTATCCCTCTCTTTAAAACTTCTCAATAGGTTTAGAATATTCAAAGAATCTATCTGTCGTAGTAAGAATACCGTAATTGATACATAAACTATAGTGATATTAAATCGTAATCATACCCCAAAACAGCAAAGAAAATATTAGTGTAGATTTGAATTTGATTTTAATAGGAGAATTGATCATCTAAAGGTATATATTCCGCTAGTTCTGTGGCAGGGGAAGAAATGCATAGGAAAATTAATAAGGGAATATTGGAAATGAATCCAACATAAACAGTTTAAAATTCAGCTAAAATAATAGAAATTTAGGTTTACAAAAATTCTGCACTTCTAAAAACATTATGGTAACAGCAGCAAATTTAATTCCATTAACACTCAGTTGATATTAAAACACCTCAATTATAGTCATTATGGCTGCTTTTCCTTATGCTAAGACTTAGACACAACATTTTAATGAAGTTGATTTTGAACTAAATGGTGCAGTATATGAAGCATCAGATTCACTGAATGAAATTCCTACTTATGCCTAAGCTATAGCTGACTAAATGATATAATCTTAATAATTTACACAATCATTGGCTCCATCTCCAGTCATCATGACTTATCTTCCCATATCTTGGAGCAATGCAACAATTTATTTCTTTTGTTCTGGCTTTTATCTGGCGAAAACTCTAGTCTTTGAAATTAATTTCTTAGTTATTTCCTTCATTTTGGTATCATCGAATTCAATTGCATTATTATCTGAGAAAATTTGATTTGATGAATTGTTTTATGTCATACTGAGACTTGTTTCTCTATTTGGATTGGCAACTGTTAAGAATTTAGAAATAAATTCTAAGAATTTGCCAGTCAGTGCAGTCATTTTAGGATTTTGAATAATTTATTCAATTAAATTTTGGTTTTCTATGGCATTTTCATCATAATTAGCTTGATTATCATTATCAAAGATGACTATTTATCTTTTAGTTGAATTATAATCTAAAATCACAACTTCAGAGTTGAAATCAATGATTCCAGATATTTTAGCGCAATAGATAGTAGTTAAAGGACTATCCCCTGAAATCACCTTAATATCCAATCCACTGTTTCTTAAGGTTTATATTACTTAAGGAGTATCATCTTTGAGGGGATTTTCTAAAACAAACATTCCAACGATATTCAATTGTGTTTCTAATTCTTCTCTTTGTAGATCTAATTGGTTATTATTTAATTTGCGATAACCCAATCCCAAGACTCTGAATCCATTTGATGCGTATTTCTTCACTTCATCTAAAACAACTTACTTTTTGTCTTGAGATTATTAATTAATCATTTCTGGAGATCCTTTAGAAAATAAATAGAAATTAGTTCCATCAGTTGCTATGACACTCATCATTTGTCTTGCTGAACTAAAGTCAAAGATCTTAATGATTTCAAATTCTTATTGATCTTTTTTAACTGAAAAGAAGGATTTGCCTTCAAAATTAATCTACCAACCAATAAAGTTTAACATCTCTATTTCCAAAGGATCACCTTGCAATTCCCCATTAATTAATAGAAGATGATGACAACATGCTAAAATATAATTAGCAATTTATTCCTATTAAATATAAATATAATAAATTTACTAATGATTGATCATGAGTCCATACTTTGATTGCTTTCAATCCCAGAGTAGTAAGTGTGCCTGTTTTATCAAAACAACAAGTGTCAATACGACCAGCAGATTCAATCTTATCAGCATTACTACCATTAATGCCGATTGAACTCAGTCTAACTAAACTAGCTGTTTTACAAATGTTAAAGAAGATAGGCATCGAAGGAGGTATTGACCAAACAATATTATCAAGGAATCTTAATACTAAGAGACTTGTTTTGAATTCCATGGGGATATATTTTATTAACATAAAGCCATAGACTATAGCTATTATTGTTGCAAAAGTTAAAATAAATTTAGCGGCTTGGACATAGAATCTTTATGAGGGAGGTGCAGGGAATAGAACATTTCTAAAATATTATCCTCTTAAAGAACTAAATCCAGTTCTTAGCACTATTGCCACATTCTCTGTTGTTGTATTCACTTTCACTATACTAGTCCCTTCAAATAGACAATGTTGATTTAATGATTCGAAATTGAATTTAACTGAATGATCAGGCAAGGCTGTTTTTGGTATTGGTACATTTTCGCCTGTCAATGTTGCCTCATTTACCATGACATCTCCTTAAAGAATAGCACAATCACAATTCAATTATTATCCTTCCTATAAAATTATGTAATCTCCTGGAAGCAATTCAGATCCATTCACAGTTCTTAACGTATCACTCTTCAATATTACATTCTGATGGATATTAGCTAATTTCTGCAAGAGACTCCTTGATCTTCTGTACAAGATATAGTTGACTATAACTGCAATTGCTGTGAATGCCAAAATTAGGATTGGGAATGTGATCGAATTTTGAGCAAACCATACAGCAACGGCAAAATACTAGAGAATATTGAATGGGCCGGTTAGGTGCTCGAATAAGAACTCAGCGAGGGGTTGAATTGGAATTTAGAGTTGACATTTCCCATAGTATTATATTTTCAAATTTTGAGTTAATACATTACGATTAGCTATTATATCTTTGATTATCTTGCCGTCAGTTTCAAATTCAATTGGCTAATAACACTGTGTTTTTGGATCAAATGCATATTTAAGAAGTCTAAATTTAACAGTCTTACTACCTGAATGTAAAATAGTATATGCCATTCATCTGTTACTTTTCTAATGTAAATTATTGACCATTCTATGTATCTACCCTATAATGTGTTCCCGTCTCTTCAACATTGCAAGGAGTAAATAGAAACCAGTTATACAACTTTTTACTCCATCTCAAGGCCAATGCGAACATACAGCCTGTCATTATGGAAATAATGATCTATATTCATTTTAAACATTTACAATCAAAACAAGTCTGATCCAAAGGAATCTGACAGGAGTAACTTTTAGAAGTGGATGTTGTCCCTCAATTTCTGCATTGTTAACACGATAAGACATAGTAAATTTTTGAAAAGTTAATATATATTTATTAATAATCCTAACTTAAAAAATTTATATTCAAAAGATTTTATCTGTCACAATAATATTTAGTCATATCATTACTCCAATGAATAAATCTTTAATTGGTTTTCATAAGTGATTATTGATAATTTTTATTCATTGATTTAGCAAATCCCCTTGGCAGCTGTAATCTTTTATTTCTTCACTATTAGATCTTGGGGATCAATACTCCAAATTACTGTTGTATCATAGGCACAGCTTATCAAATGATTGCTCTCCTCGATCAATATCAGATTCACTATCGGACCATAGTGAGTTACTGTTAAAAAAACCTATGCATAATGCTAATTGGTATTCTGCCTATCCCAGACCTTTATTGCTGAATCCCAAGAAGCACTTGCAAATCTTGTCTGATTGATAAAACATATGGCATTCATGCTCTATTATGAGCCTTATCTATCCTCTAACCTCTCCATTTCTCATTAACTACACTCCAAACATAAATTGAGTGATCAATACAACCAGTAACCATTAACTCAGATAACCTATTGAAATTTATGCACAGTGTTATTCTAGGAGAATCTACTATTGTTTGTGCCTTCTGCCATTTGTTTTATACATTTAAGTACCAAACAATAATATGGTTATCCGAACTTCCACTGGCCAATATGCTCTCAACTCTGTTTAAACAAATGCATATGATTGAATCTTGATGACCTTCCAAAGTTTACTCACAGCAAAGACCCTCCTGAACTATTTTCCAAACCTTTACAGTACTGTCCTCACTTCCTGTAATGCAAAAATTAGATATCAATGATGACTTTATGCAATTGACTGTTCTGCTATGACTTGTATACTCTTCCTTTAAAAATACATTAAAATTCTTATCAAATCTAATAATGACCATTTCATTTTAATCCATTTAGAATTTATAACAACCATAGATAAGAGTTTAAAGTTGTCTGTGATAGTCTATGCACTTTATATTTTCTAAATTATCCAATTACTACTTCACTATAAATTACCCATCCAATTTAACAAGCAAATCATTTGGTGTAAGTACTTCCATTTTTTGGTTGACTTTCACATAAGGAATGATTTTATGGATGTTTAAAGAAATTTCCCTTAGTATATTGATATTTTTTTGTAATTACTTGGCAAATTAAATTTAAGAATTTTTTTCATTTTGCTTTTGTATAAGATTTTCTCCTTTTTTTTCCAATTAAACACTCAACAACTCACCTAATTGTTAGTAATCCTCCAAAAGTAAAGTGGTTTATTTTCCCAAATAATATTGAAACACACTATCATTAATAAGAGTCTTTTATGAATCCATTTCTTTTTCAATCTCCATTTCTATTTAAGCAAATGCTAACTTTAAATTTTCAACAACTTTGTTTTTCATTACAAGATATTCTTCTTTGCATTTTTCAAAAGTTGTTTCTTATTAGAAAGGTGTATTTTATTGCTAACAGAGGTAGTCGAATGCTTAATGAATAGATAAGGGATTATTCAAGTAGCATTCATCACACAAAGTTCTTTGAATTTTGGGAACATTCTCTTGTATATCAATAAATCTTATTGGATTTTAGTGTTTAGGACAGAGAGGATATTCAGATTAAATCATATTATTTCTTCAATTAATAAATTGTATTTTTGTGCTTGCAAACTAATTTATATTATTATAAATAATTAGCGGTTAAACTATCTGTTATGTATAGAATACCCCTTGATGATTATAACTCAAACTCAGATGTTAAATTCAACACTTGTTCAAGTACTAGAAATTGCAACTAACCTAAATTCAATTTTCCTACTGACAGAGCATCAAGAGCAATGTATTGATTGAATTAATACCAATTTTAGGTCTGGCAGAAGTTCCAATGTTAAGAATTAATTTGATATCATGTGCTTTTTAATGGGAGTTGAACTTGAAAGATTGAATTAAGAGAATGAAAAATTGAAGCATCATAACCTAGACATTAAAGAAAATGCTTACGAAAATAAAAATTACGAGTTTTAGCTTAAAGACTTATCAGAAAGATTAGTGAAGAAGGAACTTAAATGTTAGGAACTAGAAAACCAATTAACTGATGCAAACAAGATGATAGCTTAAAAGGAAATATTAGTGCAAAATCAATATTAATAAATAAATCAGCAGTTATAAGTCATTTAGTAATTATAATACACAATCAAATAACTGGAATGTAAATTAGGATTTTTGGTTTGCGAGAATGAAAATTTAAGCAGTAAAAGAAACGAAGAATTAATAAATATATAACATGTAGCCAAGTCACAGAAGGACTATGAGGAGTTGTAAAAAGTTTATAGTTCCTTGTTGGATAATTATAATATGTAGAATGAAAAGCTAAATAGAATTGAAGCTTAACACTAAGAATTAGAATATAATTATTAATAGGTAGTGGATAAGAAACAATAATAAGAGATGGAAAACAAAAGCAAAATGATCTAATATGTTGATTGTAAATAGAAATTAATTTTCTTAACTGTTGAGTTAGATCGTATGAATGAGGTTATCCAATAGTAAAAATAAGAATTAGATTAAAAATAAAAGAAGTTCGATAACAAATAATAAATACTAATGATGAGAATAATTCTGCATTGTGCTGAAATTGATCGACTGATTGATGTACAAAGTAAATTAATGAATGAAAATAAATGGTATCGAAATCAAGTGGAATTATATGCAATGATGATTGGAGATAATAATAAAGTAGTTAAATTAGATTTTTGATTTATTTATTTATGTTGTTGATAAATTTGAGAGAATAAGATATGATAATAAATTGTTTAATATGAGTTCATTCTGGTTTTTCATTTGAAGCATGCAATAATGATTAACACAATGTGAGCGAATAGATAGATGATATCTATGTATATGAACATGGCTCCTATGATGTAGTCATCAATCGATAATTTATGAGTCTACATCAATAAAATTGATTACACTTCCTCCTATGATTAATTAGGTGTCATATATCAGGTAGATTCCAAAGAGCATGCTCGAAATCAAAGAATAGAGTAGACTCATGGCTTGATCGTAGTAGACTCCGGATAATATCGCAAAAAGAAATAAAGAAGTACTTGCCATAAATAAAAAGGCCCCTTGAATAATTTTGAAATATATGTACCTTTGGTAGTGAAATCTTTTTTGGTTTTGCATGCGTAAAGAGTGAGTCCAATTACTGCAGCTAGAGTAAGGGCAGCAGCCATTAAAACGATAAATCCTAATTAAGAATTCAGTATACCTCCTTCTTCACTATATTTGTTGAAAACATAACTACAAAGTTGCGAAATAGTGTAACTTTCAGCAAGGGTGAAAACAAAGACAAACAAGTAGTTATGAGGTACTCTCCACGAATATTTTGGTATCCACAATAAAATAATCTCAATAATGATTGCTACTGCAATTGCCAAGTAAACCCAACCTGAATACTCATTCTAGAAATCGCGATAGGGAATCCAGAAGTATGAAAGGCAACATGCCGCAACTGTCAACAGTAATTGTAATATCATTATGCTGTAAACCTTGATCATTAATTATGAATGAATACTTTCCTAATAAAACCAGGTCTTTGATCTGCTGTTAATGGCTTATAATTTTCATTTTTGGCATACCATCGTTCATCAATTTAAACTATTTATTCATCAGATTCGACTTATTCTGCTGAGTTAGGGTATTTATGAGATGTTTAAACATCATAAATTGGTATATGAACAAAATTCGGTTTTTTCTTTTCATCTCCATTATTTAAGACAGGAGATTATTATGATTCCACACCCATATTTTACATGATCTTAATTTTAAATATATATATAAAAACATTCTCATGAAGTTTTTGCTTTAGAATAAAATAATTAAATCAAATAATTTTCTAATAATTTATTGACCTCCATAAACTCAGTAAATTACTTTTCACATTAAACCTATCAATAGTATTTAAGCTCTTGTTTCGCACTTATGAAATCTGTATTGAGTTATAGATTAAACTGAAAAATTAGTAATTTTAAAAATCAACAAAAAGAAATATTTATTCGCATTTCTATATTCATTAATAAATACAGATTAAAATAATATACTATCTTTTATTTCATTTTTTATAAATAATGTAATTAGAATGTTAGATCAGACTAGACATAGTCCTAATCTTATCCATACATAATGTTTAAATTGCTTATAAATACACTTTCTATATTTTGAATATAAATTATTCATCATAATTCTTAATCTCTAAATCCAAGCATTTCAATGTCAAATTATAAATCTGAATTTGGTGGAATGACCTTTCCTGCTCCTCTACTTCCATATGCTGTGGCAGATGGACAAATAACTGTGACTTTATCACCAAGTGTTAAATTTAATACAACATCATCCCAACATTTAATGACTTATCCAACTCCAACTCTGAATTCAAATGGTTAGTTTCTGTCCTTACTGCTATCGAATTTAGTGCCATCAAGTAATTTACCCTAGTGTATTTATATTATGTTACTGTATAATGTACTTTCACTTAATCACCTTTCTCTGGGTAACTTTATTTGTTGCCTCTCTCATGGACTTTGATGGAGTATTTTTAGATGAGATCTTAATCATCCAGAGAAGCCAAAGAAATTGAAATAATCAAGGACAGCAACAAAAACTTATTCATAATATTAAATAATAATATTCGCACAATTATGGCTAAGTAATTGCATTTTATAATTATGTCATTAAATATTAATTATTTTAGACTTTTAGTTTATCGAGTAGAGGATATTGTTGTAAAAGAGGGTGTGTATCGAAATCATTTGAATTGAAGGATTATAGAAAAGAAGTTCATCAAATGAATGAATTCCAAAGATCTTCTAAGTAAATGCAGTCCCGTTTAAGTTTAATTATAATTATTTTTTTGATTAATGAAACAGGCTCGTTTACCTCTTCAACATCAATCTCCTAGAGAAATCGGGTTCCATAGACATTGCCAAAGATTTCAACCTAAGGAAAGGTCTCCATAACCAAATGAAGAGGATGCCATCGCTTATGTTCGTCTCCGTAAATAGGGATTGGTTAAAGACAAAGCATTAAAATATTGTTTGGCTGATCATTGCAAAATTGATGCATCATTAACAAAACATGGGCCTCCGAATTATAAAATATTCTCAACTTCTTTGGATAGGCAAAAAGTTATTCAGGGTTGGTAAATGGTAGGAAAACTTAAAGAAATGAGTCATGAAAAATATATAAATGCTAAAGGAGGTGATGGACTAACTGAATTTGAAAATAGGGATGAGTAAATTAAATTTGAAAGACTAAAAGATTATTTTATGGGGTTAAGTAATTCTAGTAAATAAGTTGAACTTCCTAAATTTTAAATGGGAAATGGAAAGGAACATTATTTTGAATTAGCAGATTATTATTAACAATTTAAACCCTTATCCAAGACTTTGATTACTGATACCGAATCCTTTGATGATATTATTCCTAAATACAGGAAGGATCACTTTAGAATTGAACCAAAAGTTGATAGACAAACTATAAAAAGGACTGAAGAAGAAAAAGGAGTCAAGTAACGATTGAAGGCTCTCAATGAATTGATTAAAACATACAAGGAAGCAAAAAGGGCCGATGATCCTTGCATTGAAATTGTATTTTTGAGATTTATTAAGGTTTTAGATCAACATCATTCCAAAAAGAAAGAAGAAAGAGCACCCCAAGAAATAGAAAGTTTGGCCATGATTAAGGAGAATTTCAATTATGATGAAGGAACTGTCAGTGCCAGAAAAAGATGTAGTATACTCAGCCACAGATACTCAAAAGTTGTACATAATGATGAAGTGATAAAAAATTAAGTATTCCAAGAGAAATTAGACAAATTTGTTACCAAGGTCTTAGGAAGAATTAATTGTCAATTTGATGGGACTTTATTTGGTAGAAGTTTTAGAAACTTTTGATTCTTTATTTACATGAATTTATTGATTTTATTCTAATTTTAATATTGATTGCTCTTTTTTAGATATATAAAATCTAATTAAATAATAATTTATGATAGATCTTTAAAAGTATCTCCGCATTCAGAATTTTAATGATTATAAATTCAAATATAATTTAAATAGTAAATAGATTAATATTCCTTTGATAGTTAGCTTTATCAAATATTATAAGAGCATACTCATACTTACTATAATATGTCTGTATAATGGATTCATTTTAGATAAGTAATTTTCATTCGGTCAAGTACATCTAGACCTTTAAACTTTTGAATAGATGTATTAGTGAAGTATCCAATTTAGAAATATTTAAATTTACATAATATTTGCGCTTATTCATTTACTAAATAATCTTACACCATATCTTCATAGTCAAAATTAGTTCAATTCTTTCACTAAACTAAAATTGGCAAAATACATATCCATTAATAATTGAGTATTTCATAACAACTTTTTAAATGAAATGTTTGAAAATAATGGATTTCTTTTGTTATTTAATGTTTATAATGATAGATAGTTATAATTGGTGAGAACTTCAACTTGTAATAGTGTTCATAATTCACAAAGACTACTATTCAGTATAATGTATGAACAGGAATACCCTATTTTCAGAGTCGTAAATTTAATAAATTTAATGTTCTAATTTACTTAAGTAATATATTTAATCATTTGTTTACTCCACAGTGTTAATAAAATATTTGAAAACTAGATGTATAAACATATCATCCATAAAGTTATAAGGAGCTCAATTCAATTCAGAAGGTTAAATATAGAAATAATTATACAAATTAGAATTACAAAGAGGATTACATTTAATTGCAATTCTTTTAATGAATTTCTTTTATAAAATTATGTTTATAAATCATTAATATTATATGAATTATTATTAACTCAAGTTTTACACTAATTATTATGGTTATTATTATTGATAGTTTAAGTTTTCATTATAATAAACAGAAGGTTGTAATGGTTAAACTTGATTCAAATCTAAGAAATTGTTAGCTTTTTATTTGTCTTTAACAAATTCTTAAAAGTGATTTTAATTTTCTACTTGTTCTTGGTTTTCATAAACTCCAAAAGTCATTCTTTATTTCATGTCTGTCATAGTTGTATGTTATTTTGCTTTTGATTTCTTTTTTAAGACTTCCTGTATTTTATTGACCATAACCTAAGTGGATTAGGGATCTAGTGACACTGACATCCAGTTCTTGAAGTTTTGATCGCCAACCAATTGATGTAAATACATACAAATTTAAAATGCGTATGTTTATATTTCACCTCCTTGAGAATTTAAAAATGAGCTTAAAGCTTGCAATAGTAATGTTAGTGTATTGACACTAAAGGACTATAAAAATGAACCAATTGTTTAGATTTATTTAGCCATAACTTGGAGACAAAACTTTTGAAGTGGAACTGTGGATTTCTTTTATCCAGTCAACTAAATTACTGCGAATAAGCCTGCTTCATATTATGAACAATTAAGTATGTAATTGCTGACAGCCACCTCTAATAGTGATTAAAAATGTACCAGACATTCTTCTTTAATTTATTTGTGTTCAGAGTTCTACGACTTTAAAATCAACTTTGGTACGAAAACTTAAAATATTTATGGGCATATTTGTACACTTCTACCCAATGAGAATACTTCATTAACAAAAGTCACAACATTCCTTTAAATTTTGGGCTGCTTATTTAATAAATTCTTACTTTAGAGTCATCTATTGCAATCATGACCTGCTATCCAAACATTTCAAATAACTGATTCACATACTGTGGTACATATTTGTTGATGCATCTGAGATTCGTGATTGCTTAAAATAACTATAGCCAAGCTTTTGTGCCGTAAGCAAATAGTTATTAAGTCTCAGCTGCCAATTAGGTTAATTGATTCGGATCGATTTATGGTAATTCGTTGAAACCTATGACTTAAATTGTTTGAGGATCCATTAATTCCGAAGTGCAATTTGAATTTTAATTTATTTCAAAATTACGACTGTTAATTTTCAATTAAAATCTAGCTTAATAATTATCATTTCTAATAATTCATATATTTTACCTAATATCACTTCATAATCATTTCCAACTCATTTAAAGATCATTTTCCTATCCAATAATCCTTCAATTACTTAACTAGCACTTATACTATTCATTCATTTCATTCCAGACAGTAAGAAATTCCGTGGTTTTCGATGACACAGTTTCAAGAATTATATATAATTCATAATAAATTATAAAATGTAAATTTGTAATAATAATATAATTGGCTTTCCTCAAATATTCTGGCTCTAAAATTAGAATGAGCTCAGAAATTCTCTGAAGAATGAAAAGATAATTATTTTATACAATTTATTCCATAATTTATGGTTTCCATTCTATATAGTAAAATAATGAAGTAAGAATCCTAATCTAAAGTTCATTAATTAATTAAATGGGAGGAGTATAATCACTCAATCGTAACTGTAAAAAATCTTTACTCTCTTGCTTATAATTGCTTGTCGAAGATGTTGAGTTCTATGCTGATGCCCAATTCCTTGCGCAAATTAAGAATATTTAGATTTCCTTTCCCAACAACTTTGAAAAAAATCGGTAACATTATATATTCAATATTTACAGGAAAAAAAAAATAGATCTTCTAAAATAGTCCTTACCTCCATAAATCAGTTTCCATGAGGACGTCTTACTTAATTATTTAAGTTCAGCGTTCCAGTGTTCTTTAATTAGAAGCAACAACTCTAAACTCAAGAATAGTAAGGACATCAGCATGGACAAGGAATTCGTTAAGACTTTCAGGCTGATGAACTTTTCAGGTTTGCAATAAGAATATGATAATTGTTATTAAAATAATTTAGTCCACTTATATTAGGGCTTAAACTGCTATTGCAATCTCGCCAACTAAATCATCAAAGAACTTAATTAAAACCTAGATGTTTAATGCAAAGTATATGTTTTGATTTGGGAGCACTTTTAAAATCATCTATGTAAATTATCTACTTCAGATGCCTATGACCTATAACCACTCAATTAATATTTTAATGAAAATTACGCCATCATTTCGCCAAATCTAAAAATAGAAGCAATAGGCGGAAAACTTTGGGGCACTTTGGTTCAATAGTTAAACCTCGATTATATTAGGCAATAATTTTAGATTGCTAGAAGAGATCCTACCCAACAATCGATATGTTTATTTCAGGTATTTAATGCTTTGATTGACATGAACATTGATGCTGCCAATCTCTAATGGATAGGGATTAGCGATTTCAAATTTACAGGGTCTCTCAAACTTTTGATTGATTTCATTGTTGCAGATACTAATCAGTTTTTGAATTAATTAAATGAAAAATCGCAAGGAAATCTATTTCTATTATTAGATTTATGGGAGAAGGATGATAACTTTTTGAAATCAGTCTTACCAACTTGGATTTGTGAAAATATACTAAATACATAGTTTTTCAGTTTTTTTGAATAAAGAATTAGAGAGAAGATCAAATTAATGTAAACAAGTTAACAAAAAAATCTGATTGTAAAGCATTCCAAGCAAAAGGTTGACACAGATTTCTAAAGTTAATTAGAATAAGCAAAGATGAGCTTGGACTCTATCTTTTTTTAGGTTGACTTTTTCCAATAATAAAACATTGACTCAACTTTATAAATAATGATTAAATAATTGAGATCTGAAAACGAATTTAGTAGTATCATATTAGCTAGTGAAAATACATAGTAAGGACCTAGTGATCTATTAGTTTAATAAACTTCACATATCTTTTCAGATCTTGAAGTACATCATATCCAATCTAACATTCTAGAATAATAGGATTCAGATATATTTGGTTCATAAGCTTTGGATTCCAAACTATTGAGTCCAGAGGATGAAATTGCTGAAATTTGTTAAAAGTATGATCAAAAGAAGAATAGTATATATCTGAATATCCAATAAAGAGACGAAAAGATAAAACTTAGAAATAGAAATTTACAACCAATATCTAATGAATTATCAAAGATATTTAGTTTTGTTCATTCTATATCGAAAGAATAAGTAGATGTTCTAGTGAATCTCTTAATTGAGCAAAAGCACAAAGAAGTTAACTAGATGAATAACCTATTCGTGAATTAAGAAAATTTCAAAGGATCTATTGCCGCCGAGTTGTTATTTTTAATGTAAAAGTGAGAAAAATAAAATAATTATTGATATTTATTGACCTTTCTTAGTATGAAAATTATATTTAATTTGTAATCTAAATTTATTAGATTTTGTCTAAGTATTTCCCTTTATTTCTTTTTGAATTAAGATTCATAAGTATAGACGTGATTAATAATTATTCATACATCAATTAATTTTACGAACTACATATATTCTCAAATTATTAATTATTGAGGAAATAGAAAGAAATTGGAATGAGTAGACCTATCTAAAATATTATTTGACAAATATATCTATATAAAATTAAGAATATCTATTAAAAATCAAAAGAAAAACTTAGCATAGGAGTTCTTAGATCTTAAAGAAGTTATTTCAACTAATCTTTAAAAATTATCACTCTTTATTTTTTCATCTGACATAGATCCTTTATAAGTGGTTTATTCAAATTTTTTGGTTTCTTTAAATTGTTCTAGTTCTCTTTGAATCCATTGTTGCAATTTTAAGTTCGATAATTTTGCTATTTTAGGAGGAGACCTTTTAGTTTGATTTTAATTTTATAATTCTTATTTTACTTTTGAAGATAATGGCTCAACTTATTCGACACTATTACTCTTCATCTTCTTTAATTGCATTCTAAAAGAGGATTGTTTGCTCATATCAACGATGGATTTTTAATTTAAGTAACTTGCATTACAATTATAATATCCTAATGGTGGTGGTTGTACTTTAATCAATTAGTAAGGTACGGGTTTCTTTTGACGAGAACTATCCTTTGATTTTGCAGGATGCTTAGATGAAACGACAAAAAATTTATCAATTTAATCTTGATGCTTGATTAGCTTAGGAGGTTTTTGAGAAGGGTTTTTCTTGACTTCAGGGAATTGTATTGGTACATTAATCAAGACTCCTTTTTCAAAATCATATTAAGAAGATATTCCTAACATTGAATTGACATTCTGATTAATATTGGATAAACTGGGTTGATGGGATAAAGAATAGCGACTTTTCATGTATTAATTTTATAATAATAATAGATCAGACAACAAAAATCTTTTTTTTTGTATTTAATACTTTGTGATCGTTCTTTTGAGCATTGTTTAAGAAATTGTGACTAGCAATAATTTGTTTATGTTATTTTGGATGTCCAAGATCATCTTCTTCATAAGATTTATCAGATGATTCTGATTCGATGAGATCTTCATTTTATTTTTTGTAGAATTTGCACTTCATCTATAGAATTTCATTGTCATCACATAACATTTATGGACTTATAGATTAAAATTTAAGAGAGTTTTGATAATATTTGATCTTCATGGCTCTTTGAGATTCTCCAAATTAGTATTTGATGTCATGAACAAATTTATATTTCTTAGATTCAGTATGTGGTCTCGTCTGAACTTGAGTTTAAATGAATCTATAATTTCTTTGATACTTTTATAAGAAAGTCGAATGACTAGTAGAGGGTTTCATTTGAGGCAGTTCTTAGATTCGTTTCTAATGATTATTTTTATTAGGTTGTTTCTTTTTGGGATCAATTCCATCCTCTTTGGCTATGTCTTTGTTGTCATTGAATGCAAGGATCAATCTCTGCACTAGCCCATGTTAAGATTGAGGTCTTTTTGGTTCTTCTTACACTTCAGGTAATTCTAGTTTCTTCTTTTTCAATTGATCATCCTTCATTTTTTGTGTCAATTCTTTGTATGGTTCAGCAATCGATTTCAAGGCTATGTTCATAGGCTAGGATTATGATTAAATGAGGCGTCTAACTTTTATAAATAAATATTTACTTTTTCTCTCTCTGAACAATCACCTATTCAGGTTAAGCATAATTTCTTTACATTTCCTCCAATGCTGGTTCATTAAAATACTTATTAACCAGAAATCTGACCTTCACTCTTTCCTTTTCATATGGAGATAGGTTCTCTTTTTCAATCAATTTTAAAGCATCAAACACTAATTCAATATCTTTTAGTTTTTATCCAACCCAATCAAAAGGGAACTTCCAATAATTGGATCCATCATATTTAGCCAAACTAATATCAGACCACAAATCTCCTTTCATGGACCATATCTTAAAGTGTTTATCCATAGATGAACTGATAAATGATACTAACTCTCGAACCTTATTGATTTTAACAATCGCAGCACTATGAGCTACCCATTATCTAATAAGTAAGGCAGAAATATTGCAAGTAAGAACAGGATTCTATTGTTTCTCCTCTTATACTAGGAATGTTTCAACACTCTTGGATACATCTATCAAATCCTTCCTCTTTAATTAATAAGAATGACCCTTCTTTAATTTTTCCATTTCAGTAATTCCTTTTCTCGATAAAAACTCTGTTAGTGATAGAATATGCATATATCCCTTCTAATCCCCCATGTAAAGTAAGGCCCTCCTTTTATTTTGATGTTATTCAGTATCATATTGTTAAATGTCCTTCATCAACCCCTCTTATTCCTCTTATAGATTTAATTTTGACTTTTTATCCTGAGCAGTCTTATCAACCAAAGGTCCTGTAAATTCAGGTAACAATTCCTATCTTGAAGGTCCACTTGATATGTCTGAGAAGATGGCCACAGATAACATTGGATGTTAGGGATTAGTGTGGATTCTTAACAGACATTTATTTGTTTTAATATTCCAGATGCTTATAAGTATTCCTTGCAAACTCACTAAGACAGGATATGGATCAGCAAATTCTAAAGCAGTAACTTCTGGCAATGGTTATGGAGTATTAAGCACTCCGCATAATTTACTTGTTTCAAAATCCCATAGAGAAATCAAACCATTTGCACTTCCAGTTGCTAACATAGTGAAATTAGGACTGAATGCCATTGATAGGATTTCAGAATTTTGATGTCCACCACAAAAGACCTTTAATAAGATTGATTCTTCTGGATCTGTTTCATCATATATTCTAATAGTGGAATCTTGACTTGCTGATATCAACAGTTTCTCTTCTTATAAGAAAATAATTGAACTGATATCCAATGTATCTCTTTTTTTGATATTAGCCAATTTATTAGCAAACTCTGAGTTCTCAATTTCATTATGCATATTAACTTTTTTTAGATACTCTCCTGTCTTCATATTATATTATCTAATCAATCCAGCATTGTCGGCAATGAATAGTTTTCTTTGTCTTCCTCCAAAACAGAAAGTTGACAAATCCAATTATATTTTATCATCAAATACTTCATTCATCACTTTCTTCAACTTACCACCCATTGCATCATATATTCTCAAATCAAACTTGGTTAAAACAATGAATTAATTGAAATACATGTTGAATTCAACATTGATTGGATACACTTCCTCATTAGGTCCTTTCTATTTCTAATTACTACTCATTTAAGCAGCATTATAGAAATAATTTAATCTCTTCCCTGAATAAACAAATCTATCAGTCCTTGTTATTATACACAAATCAGTTACTAGAGATTACTAATCATTTGGTATCACTTACACACTACTCATCTATCTAATATCCCATATTCTAATATTTGTATGGTCATCAATGCTAACACAATTAGGAGATTAGGGGATGAATTTACAAGTCACCACCAATGAAGAATGACCCTCTAATCTTCCAATATATGCTCTTGTTATTGACACTTCTGGACAATAAACATTGATATAGGTTTCGAATCCATAACTAATTAAATTCGATCCATAATCCTGATTGTAACTTAATCCTTTAACCCCTCTTTTCGATGGAGCTGGTGTTTTCAATTCTGTTATAAATTTCTAATCCTGCATATCCCATAACTTAATTTTACCATCTTAACTTGCTGATGCCAATAATTTGGGACTAATCAGTTCAACAATATCAGTTATTTGTTTTGTATGAGCATTCAAGAATTTAATTACCTATCCTTTAGAATCCTTTTCATTCCAAGGTATACTCCATCCTCTAATATTGTAATCGGATCCAGCTGTTACCCATAATTCATGATAAGGGAAGTACCAGATACCAGTCTATAAAACTTCTTACTTGAATTATTTAATAACTTTAAAGGTTGTTGCATCCCAGAATATCATTTGTCTATCACTTGTAACTGCTGCAATATAGTTGTCAACAGTGTGGAAATGTAAGATGAATATTTTGCCTTATTCAGATTCAGGTGCCAGAGTAACCTTCTTATCCTGGCACTCAGGAGTGTAGAATCTCAAATGTTAAGAGTTTGACTCCAAACAAATAACACTATCTAATTATGCGCAGTAGGCAATCTAAGATTGTGATAATTAGATGTACGTTCTTTATTGGGTTCTTGTGATTAGAATCATCTACTTATGCCATAGGGATATAACGTTTAGATTTTCTTGAATAGGCTCTGTCAAGTACTTCAATTTCTGTCAGTTCCCTCTCCTTCTCAAATCTGGTATCATAAAGTTAAGCATCCTTCGAACCAATAACTGCATCGATAATATATTAAGTGAACTCAGCCCATTCCATATGGCCATCCCCATTGATATCTATATCCTGGAACAACTTTATCAACCCATTCACTAATTCATATTTATCCTCAGGAGCATGGGAGATTGCACATTTCATTAGCCATATGAAATTTGGTAACTCAATGCCATTCGGATGTTCATGAAACTCCTTGTCTAAAGCATCCAACTTCTCATTATCCAACATCATCATCAATCTATCTGCCTAATAAGGGTTGCGTTCAATTAAGATCATGTCTTAATGTTCTTGGAGATACCTATTTCATATTCACTTTTGTTACTTGATCACATCTGTTAAGGATGGTTCGAATCGTTTAAGTAAATTGTTCATAAATTATTAAAAAATTTAAATCTTACAGTATGGGTGAGATAGTGCCAAATCAATTGTTTGTTGCTGGATACAGTCGTAACAAAATACCAGATGAAAAGGGAATCAAAGATATTTTCAAGAAATATGGAAGCATCAAGGATGTTGCCTATAAAGGCTCCTACTCATTTGTTGTACGAATTCACCCTCTATATGTAGACTTTCTCCGCAGAATCAGAAGCCCAGAATGCCATTTCAGCTTTGAATGGCCAATAAATCAATGGATAAAAGCTTAAAGTTGATATTGTGGACAATCACAAAGGTAGACGCAGTGGTCCTTAAGAAAAAGACGAGTGCTTCAAGTGTGGATAGGGTGGTCATTGGTATTACTTTCTTTTACTATGTTAGGGCTAGAGAATGTCCCAATCGAACATCGCCAAATAGAAGAAGAAAGTATTCGAATTCAAGATCAAGGTATTATTACATTCACTATTTTTGAGACATCAAAGATCAAGAAGATCTAATTCGAGATCTCGCTCATACTCTTCTTATTCATCTTCTCATTCCAGAAGGAGAAGAGACGCAAAGAAGAGAAGCAGGTACAGCAGAAGAAGTAGAAGTCCAAAAAGAGACAACAAGAGAAAGAAAAGTACCAGCTGCAGAAGATCACAAAGCAATTCAAGGTCCAGATCTTCAGTCAGCAATAAATAACGCTAGTCAAATAAGTCATCTTCATCTAAATGAGAAAGGATCAAAATAAGAAAAAAAAAAGAAATTAGAAATTTAATCAATCCTTTTCTTCCCTTTTTCGTTTTCTGCATCTGTTTCTGGACTAAATTTTGTCAATTGTATAAAAGCACACCCAACTTAAAGTTCTTAAGCAATAATTAAAATAAGCTAATCTACTCTAAATGAATTTTACTAATAAATAATTCTTAAAATCTATCACTCTCATTTTAGAACTTTATTACATCCCATTTAATAAACTGCTATATCTATATATATATTTACTCAAATTATTTTAATATATTATTAATTAAATTTTAAATACTATTTTAATATAATACATAATAATATTTTGATATAAAAATAATATTACTATTAAATGATTTTCTCTATTATTCAGATTATATAAAAAAAATGATTACCAAGCCATCTTTAATACTCTATAACAATTACAAGAACCATCAATACAAAATATAAACAAACTTTACTTCTAGAATAATAATTAATTCTATATAATGTCTAGTAAACAATTATAAGGCATCCTAATAAGTTCCACCCTTAAATAGAGTTATTTTTTAATCTTCCAGATTTTTCATTTATATTAAATTCAAATCAAATCAATTAATTTAATATATTCATCATTCTCCATATGATGTATATTATATATTGAACCTAAATACCAGCATAGAAGTCAGTTTGGCCGAGTGGTTAAGGCGGTGGACTTGAAATCCACTGGGTTTACCCGCGCAGGTTCGAATCCTGCAGCTGACGATTTTTTTTTATTATTAATTTTATGATGCTAAAAATAATCTTAATGCTCAAATTTCATAAAATATAATTATTGGTCAATTGAACACTCTAATTACTAATTAAGTCAATTGGATTGATTATTTGATTACTTTTATTAAATTTTCTTGAAGAATATAAAACATAAATATATTAAGCTAGACAATCATTAATTTCTTTTTTTTTCACTAAGTTATCCAATAATTAATCATGATAAATATAATAGGGTTCTTAAATCCTATGATCTAATTCGCCATGACCTCAAGCATTAATACTCGTAACAAAATTTTTTTAAACGATCCTCAATAATTTAGATTGCCGTTTTTCATAGGTTTTACTTCTTTAGTTTGTTTGATGTTCTGCTCACCTGATCTTTGATTTTCGAGCTTTTAATAATATTTTTTCAATTATGTAATATTGATTCATTATTAATAATTTTATATTATTAAATAATACGTATTATTATCCCTATTATCAAATTATAGTATTATAAGGTACCTTATAAGGGATCATGAAGAATGAGTGATTAGATAATTAAATTTATGATTCGCCATATACTTTCTCTAAGCAAGCGTAACTAATCTTTTGGTTCAACCAAAAATATTTTGGATTTCTCTGAATTTCTAGAGCGCAATGTTTTATCTTCCGCTCCTAAGCAAATATCAGTCGCTACAATAAGAAATACAAAAGAAAGGGAGCACTATTCAAAATGCTTCGATAGAACAGGAAAATGTCAAGGATGTGAGAAAAATAAAAACTGGAAAAAAGATGAAAGTCGTCTTACAATAGGCGAAGCAATAAGAGAAGCTCAAAGATGCCTAAAATGTACCGATGCTCCCTGTTAAAAAGGATGCAGTACATCCATAGATATTAAAAGCTTCATTTACAACATAGAGAAAAAGAATTGGTATAAAACGGTTTAACAATATATAATAGGTATGGAGCAGCAAAAGTTATACTAACTGACAATCCTCTGGGCTTGAGTTGTGGTTAGTTATGTCCAATTAGTGAATTGTGTGCCAGAAATTGTAATGTGGCATCTAGTGAAAAAGGTGCCATTAAAATCAATAAGCTCTAAGAGTTCGCAGTCTCAATGTTTAAGGTAAATACCCTTAGTAACCTACTAGGAAATGAATGTTAAACAGATTCGGGATCCCAAATTGCCAAAAAATGATCATATAGTGTTCGATTCATCCATAGCCTTAATTGGTGCCGGCGCTGCCTCACTATCCTGTGCTACCTTTCTAGGAAGATTGGGTTATAAGAATGTTACCATTTTCGAGAAGTCTTAACATGCAGGAGGATTAGTAGTATCAGAAATCCCAATGAATCGTTCCCCAGTAGATGACATTAATTGGGAAATTGAACAGGTGAAACAGCTAGGAATAAAATTTGTTTTTGGAAAGGAATTAGGGAAGGACTTCACAATAGAATCATTAAGGAAGGAGGGATACGAATGTGTATTCCTTGGATGTGGGCTTAATGAGCCAAAAAAGGGATTGGGACATATATATTAATAAAGTCACATTTTAAATTCGAAGACCTTTTTGCCAAAGGTTAACTAAGCTGTGAAGCAAGATAAGGACATAGAAGCCACTCCAAAACTCTCGGGACATGTTATTGTATTAGGAATTGGAGATACAGCTTTAGATTGTGCTAGATCGGCATACAGATGTGGAGCACAAAGAGTCAGCGTGATATTCAGAAGGGGATGGTAGGACATTAGAGCAAATGATGAGATCCTGATTCCTTCTAAGAATGAGGGCATCAATTTCATACCTTATGAATAACCAATGAAATTAATAGAAGTTGATGGAAAATATAAGGAAATTGAATTAGAGTAAAATCTCCCAGTCAATAACGATGCCTTCGACTTAAAGTACAAACTCACAGGAGAAAAAATAAAAATGAGTTTTGATTATTTGATTACAGCCTTTGGTTCGGAAATATAAAATAAAGAATTGGACTAATTTTTAAATCAAAAGAATGGCTTTGTTTCGATTAACGATCAACATTAAGTCAAAGGTTACGATTGGCTCTACGCAGGTGGGGATGCTGTTGGAGTAGCTAATTTGGTGGACGCAGTCAATGATGGTAAAACATCTTCTTGGCACATTCATAACTTTTTATAGAAAAAACACTAAATCTCATAATTAACACCAGACCATCTACCATCTTACACCACAGAAATTGACAACATAGATCTTAGTATTAATATCCTTGGAGTTAACTTCCTTAATCCTTTTGGTTTAGCTTCAGCACCACCAACCACATCATATCCAATGATAAAAAGAGCATTCTAAGAAGGATGGGGTTTTGCTGTTGTGAAGACATTCGTTTTGGATAAAGATGCTATCACCAATGTGTCTCCAAGGATATACAAAAGCACTACTGATCCGCTTAAATAGGATCCAGGATATGCTAACATTGAATTAATCAGTGAGAAATCAGCTAAATATTGGTTGGAAGGCAGCAAAGCTATTAAAAAGGAATTCCCCAATCATGTGCTTATCGGCAGTATTATGTGTTAACACATTGAATAAGATTGGAGAGAATTAACCAGAAAATGCAAAAATGAGGGTTAATTCGATATGCTTGAATTAAACTTATCATGTCCTCATGGAATGACTGAATTAGGAATGGGTAGAGCTTGTGGAGAAAACCCAGCAATAGTTAAAGATATTTGTCAATGGGTTACTTCTGAAATTGATATTCCAGTTATCGTTAAAATTACTCCCAATTATCCAGATTCTGCAGATATTGCCTAGGCTGCCAAAGAAGGAGGAGCTAAAGCAGTTACTTTGACTAACACCTTCCCAACTTTAATGGATCCAGATCCTTTAGGCACCCCTTGGCCAGCTGTTGGTGAAGAAAACAATGTCACTTATGGTGGAGGTTGTGGATCAATGTTGAGACCTATTGCACTGAGAAAAACATCGGAAGTGGCCAAAGCTATCCCAGATATTGCTATTTTTGGAAGTGGTGGTATTATCTAAGGAGATCATGCTCTCTCATTCCTTAGATATGGGGCATCTGCTTTTCAGATTTGTTCAGCTGTTTAAGATCAAGATTTCGCAACTGTTCTTTATGATCTCAAAACTAGCTTTTAGGCTCATCTTTATGCTTCATATAACTTAAATTAAAAATAATGGAAAGGACAATTCCCAACTAGTTAAAAATAAAAGCCTTCTTTTGCATTCAGTTCTAATAATAAGCTCAAGAATCTTGTTGGATCTGGATTACACCACATCAAAGATATTGCTGAAATGAAAAGATAAGACTTTTTGGTTCCTCAAATAAATGAGGATTCATGTTTGAAATGTGGAAGATGTTATTTGACTTGTTTGGATTCTGGCTATTAAGCTATTAAGTTTGACAATTTCAATTCTTTCCCAACTATTATTGAAGAATTATGCACCGGTTGTGCATTATGCCATGCTGTGTGCCCTGTAGAAGGTTCAATCTCAATGGAGATTCGAGCGACAGACATTGTTGTTAATCGTGGAATTCCATTAGATAAAGAACCAGAAGGTCTCATCAATCATATTCCAAGTAGAAAAAAATGACCATTAATATTATTTAATCACCCAAACCATTCATTTATTCTTTAAATTCTTCTTTGTAACATAACTAATAAATTTTAATAAAAATTTACAGTCTTTGTTTATAATTAAGTAGAAGTGTAAAATTCTTACAGAATAGAGTTTTTTTATTTGTAAAATTAATATATATATTACTATTAAGGTGAATTTAATGATTACACAGACCTTACGATATGTCTAATTTGATTAATTAATTCTTCTCGATTTTCTTATTTTAAAACCATCTTTTGAGTATCTGTTGTATAAGAATTCTATCTGTTTAATTTCTTTCTTCTTTTATTTCAACTAATTGATTTCATTTTTTAACTAAAGATATATTATCATAATAACTTTTATTCATTCGTTAACTCTACTTAAAGGATTTTCCAAATTTGAGAATACTGAATATTCGCTTGCTCTAATTATTTAGATTTTCTTAATGTTCATTAGATTAAGACTAAATCTCTTAATGATTTATTTAACATAATATAAATTATATATTAAATATCATTATTTTTATGAACTCTCTTAATTAGTATGCTTATTTTGAACCTATTTTTTTTATAAATGTTTAGTTTGTGGCCTATTATAATTCTATGTTTAATAAAATCCTGCATTATTATTTGATACTTTCTATTATTGCTATTATTATTATTGTTGCTGTTATTATTATTATGGCATATAAGTTTATGCTTAAGAATTCCAAAATGTAGGTTATGCTAGGATTATCAATTATAGATATACCTACACCAGACCAAGGGCTTTAATAATAATACTGGCATTATTATAAGTACTAATTTTAATATTATTATTGTTTTCTTCTTTAGTAAGAAGTAACTGAGAAAGAGAAAGGCATTTATTCAAAAACGGAGATATATTCTTAAAATGAAATATCAAAGTTAGGGTTTGTATCTCTATCATTTCTTTTTCTTTTCTTAAAACAATCAATTAAATGTAGTACTTCAGAAATATCTAATTCCTTGAAGCTGCTTAGCAAACAACTTTTTTGGGGTTGTTGTTAAAATGCATTGTAAATTTATTCAGCATTTTCAATTTGAGTACAATCTATCAGTTCATGAATATACTTTCCACATGATTATGTAATGGTACTGAGTTCCTTATATGGTAAGTCTCTGACAAAAACCTTTTATGTCTTTGATTAATACCCATTCTATTTGAAAAGATCCAAACCATTTATTTTCTTCAGCCCAATACTTGAAATGCTTTTTATCCCTAAATTCAGAGACTATTTTGGCTAATCCAATAAAATGAGAAGTTTGTGTAACATTGAATAAGAGATACACAGGACGAGGAGCATCATTCAGTTTTTTATTATTTCGACTCGAACTACCTTCATATAATTATATACCTCGTCCAAATCCCATATTTGATTGCTCGATGAACATTATCTTTTGTTGGAGCACGTATCAAAAAAAATGTTGCCTCTGGTTCAAGTGGTTAATGGATATTTTAAAGACATTGAAAAGTAGCTTTAACCTCTTCGAAATTGTCATAATTATCTAAATATTGTGCTTCAGGCTAAGGGCATATTGGATTAGCTTGCATATTATATATATATTATATTAATTATATTATTCATTTAATTTTATATATTTTTATTTTAGAGATCAATTTTTTTGGTTACGACCTTCCTCCATCCAAATAGAATAAACTAAAATCAATGATTTTCAATAATACTTTCATTTTTAATTTTTAAGCAAAATAAATCCTGCAATTCGGATAATATTTATTATCTAAAATAACTTTAATTCTTTCTAAGTAATGAGTAGATTCAGCTTGAAATTTTAATTGTCAGAAACTAATAGTGGGACTTTGTACCAGATGGAAGAAGAATCAGATCAAAGAAAGGAAACTTTTTATGCTTATGATTTCTCATCAGAATTTAAAGATTAAGTGCTTAAAGATGAGGAAAGCTTACTAATTAATTGCAATTCTGTTAGACATTTCGTTGAGTAAATTATGCATCAAAATAAAAAATATTATCTGTTTAAATTTCTAGAAGGGCAAACATTAGATAAAGAAATATAAAGTTTTAGAGGAAAAAAATAATCTATTAAGCTAGATACAATCAAACTTTATTTAACATAAATTCTTGAAACATTATATTAGCTTCATTAAAAATAAATCTTAGGTAGAGTATTTTCCACTAAAAATATTATGGTATGTGATGGTTAAATTGTATTCATGGATTTTGGATTTGGTCCAAAATTTCTAACAGCAAATTTAGATCTAATTGCCCCACCTGAAATTATTGAGAAATTTGTAGAAAATTGTAGCTATTTTTAAATTTAATTTAGAACCAATTGAATCCAATTACGATATCAAAGTTGATTCTTGGCTATTGGGAGCAGTACTATTTCATTTAGCTAAATTGAGACCTATATCACATATAGTAGAGGAAAATAGAGTCAAAATCATGGTTTTGAATGATATCAAGGAATACTCGGAATATTTAAAAATTTAGATGCAGGGTTAGGGTTAGGGTTGGATAAATGCAAAAACTGATAGATATCCTGAAGAGTTCTGCCAATTTATTCAAGGACTTTTAACCTACAAACCTTAGGATAGATTCTCTTTTAAATAAATTTATGAAAATAGCTTTATTAAAAGCTTGAACCTTGCTAAATAATAGGAATACCTTACATTTTATACAAATCTCCAAAGCGACTGGGTGAATTAATAAATAGGATCTCTCTCAAATAGCTATGTAGAAACGAAAGACCTATAAAAACAATAATCTCATATAGCAACATAAAGAACTAGACAAGTAACCCCACCTAATTCTACAACACCAGAACATTCAATCCAGTAAGAAAATTATAAGATTTATTACTTTAGGATTCCATATTTAGAGCTCAAAAGCAATTTAGCAAGTTAATCAATTCAAATTCCAGGAACTACTTCTAGAGATAAATGGCCACCTGAAATAATTAAATCAGAATACATCGAAAATTCTTTTATATATCAAATATAAGATCTTAATGTAAGTATAAATTCTATTAAAAGCAATCTAAATTTTACGAAATCTGGTCTAACATAAGAATGGAATTATTTAGATCCACTTTTTTAGAGAAATGTGCTGATGAATTTGTAGTTGAATTGGGAAAAAAAAAAAAATATAAATTAGAGCATCTTTTAGCTTATTTCTTAAGAAAAATGGCCTACCTAGTTTTAGTTGAATTATAAAATAAACTAAAGGAAGATGTCTGTCCTTGGAGATGCACTAATGAATCTTTACAGAAATGGAAGGATTTCTAAAGCGAGAGTTAAGTAATGATTTTAAAAAACTCAATTGCACAAAAAATTAAAGATTTGGCACCTAATCTAAATAAATAATTTTATGATTAATGTCAAAAATTTAAAAATGAAGAAAATATTGATGAAGAAATACGAAAACAACTATAAGAAGATAATAGTTGTTTTCAAAGTTATATCGATGAAAACTCATATCTATATAAATGTTGTTCTGACGAATTCTTAAGAAATGGATTTAGAAAGTTGTTATAACTGACACTCAAATTTTTATAAACAGAATAGAAATTTGGTTTGTAGCCTTAAATAAATTATAATACTTTATTGTTAAAAATTCTTCTATGCCATTTGATCAATCGAATTTTTAATTTCAGTATTGCTTAAATCACTTTTAAGGAGCTTTTGAAAAACAGGGTAAGTGATACTATGATATCTCCAAATGAAATATACGCATATATTTGTCGGGATGATGAACATGGAAAAGAAGAGGATATTAGATATATCTCCAATTAAAGTTTTACAGAAAAATGATATTATTCAAAAATATCGAATATATCCATAATTATTATTTTTTCATCTTATAATTTACTTCAAAACTATTATCTCTATGAACCAGAAATTTATTATACTAAATGGTGGAAATAATGTGAATCCCTTATAGATAATTTAGGTCAAGAAAATTATAATAGAATAAATAATTAATTATATAATGGTTTAATAAAAAACATAAAAAATGTAAATAATCAATTTTATCTTTCATAACATAATACATAAGCATGCTCAGTAATGATATCTTACAAATGAATTTCAGTGACTTGAGAATCATCATAACAATACCATTTCTGATCTTCTAAATTCTTAATGAATGTATTATAATGGCCTTCATAAAGCTCTCCATAATGGTTAATTACTCCAAATAGTTTATATTTCAATTCATTTGTGTTATTTCCATTTAAATAGTCGTTTGGTAGCTAGAATTTATTGTTAACAAAAATACCTTTAAATTTGTAACATATTTAGACATATTAAGAACATGTGGAAACTTTACAAATATATTGTTTTTTATTTTTTAAGTCATATCATTTGATGATTTAAATCTTTTGAGTTAAATGATCAAAATTTGAGGTGTAGAATATAATAATAGTTATTTGATTCCTTTGACATGTTAGTTGCATTAATTGCAGTACCATGAATTATTTTCATCTAATTATTATTGTTGCTAATAAAAGTATAAGCAATCATAAATTGTTAATAATGATTTATTAATTGATAATTAATCATTTTTATCTTACAACATTAAAATTTGAGACTCTGTATTAAACATGGTTGGAATTCCTTAGCCATACCATTTGACAATGATATTCAATTGAAAATTAGGTTGGGAGATGCAATTATTGTAATATTTTATACTGTGTTAACATTTCTTCAATTCACAGAACTTGCAATATTATTTATGACAAAAATAGCATTGCTATTCTGAATCTTAAGAATTTGATTCTAAGAATAAGTCAAATTAGCATTGAAATTATTGAGCAAAATTTTTTTCAATAAAATCATAAATCTCAAAGATCTTTGTTCTGAAATCAAAAATGGTTGTTATTATTTCAGTCAAAATTTAAAATTCAGGGTTCGTGTGTGTTACAAGGGTATAACATCTATAATTTTACGGGATTTAGATTTCTTAAAAATGCAAACGTCGAACAAGTAATTTCGAATGTAAAAGCAATTATTTTAAATATTGAATATCATCTTCAGGTTGAACTAATGAATATAAACATGTAGATACTTTCAAAATTTCTTTCTTGGTTTGATAAATTGAAAACTAAATCTTAAGTTCTTAGTTAAATTTTAATTTCATTTTAAATCCATTCAAAGTTATAATTTTTATAGACAGAGAGAGTCATTTACTATTATCTATAATTATCATCCAATAAATAATAGACAATGCCTTTTTCACATTTCTTATTACCCAAAGGTAGCTGGATCATCATATATGGATCGAAACTAATTAGGAATATAATCTTACGTTATGGACATATTTTTGCAATTCGGACATTCAATTTTGCTTTTAAATTATGCTTAAAATAATTAAGTAACAATTGATTAGTTTCTTTGACTATGAATATCCCAAGACTCAATTGCAACAACCAAATCTTCTCTCCCTTAACTTGAAGGTACGACCAAATAAGGTTTTTTTTTAATTTAGTTTACATCCTCGTTTATTGCATCAAGCAATTACAATAAAAATTCTGCCGAGTCGTGTTACTCATTCCCATGATACTAATATAAATGTTTATTCTTTTACAATATTATAAAATTTGGAGAATGTTTTTTTAAATGAATTTGGAATGATGTATGGTTATTTTCTGCATTTTAATTCTTTGATAAGAGCTGCAAAGCTTTAAATAATCTCACCACTACTTCCTAATGGGTTTATTAAGTTTATATCAAATTAATAAATATCATTTAAAATGTAATCTGCAAATCCAGGAGTATTGCTTAAGATTTGAATGGCACTGTTCATAAAACATGTGTTACCCAAGTTTCCTAATCCTGTTTATTGACTATATGATATCATTATTTAATTATTTTTTATAATCTAAATTCCTAATAAAAAATCTGATATAACTAGAAATGTAAAAAATATTATAATCAGAATTTAAAAAATCGAAATGTCATATAATTAGAAATGTAAAATCATTCATATCTAAATTTAGTATAATTTTGTTGTATTAATAATGGGAGAGATTAAAGTTTATATCCTTTCGGAGGATGTGATAATTTTAAACTAAATACCTTTGGTTTAAGATAGGCTCCATTCATCCCTTATGCGTTACCCTACTAATATATTTATTGAGATGGTATGATTTAATTTTTTGAGGAGTTCTCTTACTGTTTATCATGTTCACTCTCATTCATTTATTTCGAAGAGCATTTAACATTCTTATTATTTTTCCTTATAGCAAACTGCTTAACATTTTTAATTGCAATACCCTATAATACCCCCTTTATTGATGAAAGTGGAGATAAAATGCTTTAAATATTTTATTACTAAATATGAGAATTGTTGAGCCTATTATCAGCTTTTCTATATTAAATCAAATCCAAAATCTACAATTCCCTTCCTCGTTTTTCTGTATAAGAACATAAGTCTTTTATTGATTCTAATGACTGTTATTAATAATCTTCATAAGGAAAGAAATTATCATTATCCACTTCAGGTATAGTATCTATTTAATTTGGAGGTTATTCTTCCCCTTCCTAAATGATTTCATCTCCCTTATTTTACTCATTTTTACTAGTGGGAAATAAATTTGTATTGATTCGACTCTGAACGTGTTTATATAAAGTGCTCCTCTTTTCAAGTATAATCTTTTTAGGTTGAGATTATGATTTAATCTGAGGTTCTTAACTTAATTAAACGGATTCTTTCTTTTGGTTTCTTCTAATATCTAAGATATTGAATAATAATTTACTTGCTCCAGTCCATTCTTCATAGAGTTTTAAAGAATGTTATAAATATTCTTCATATGATTTAGAACATGGATAAATCAATTCATAATTTCCTTTATTCTGCAATTCATATTCATCTCTTTATCTTTAACATTATAATTTGATTTATTTCTTTTCTTCGTTTGATAATTTTGTCTTCTTGCCTGTCAACACTCTCCTCTGCATTTCATCTTTTTTCTATAAGATGACCTCATTCTTAGTTTTTAGATTGATATTCATTAATGTAATAGTGTCAGCTATTAAATTCTTTTTTATATATTAATCTAATGGTGTGTCAGTAGTAAAACTAGGAGTATGATTGACTTCAAGCAAATATGGTTTCAAGGAACTGTCTATAAGAATATCAAAGCCAAGAATCTCAAAACACATATTATTAGCATAATTATCAACTTAAGTATAGTGTTATTGTAAAATTGGCTAAACTGAACAAAATGTTTTAATTATTAGATCTTTGATATCTTCAAGTAATTAATCGACATTTTGATTCTAAATATACTTAAATAAATACTTAATCTCTCAAAAGTTGAAAAACACTCGACATACTTCTTTTATGACCAACATCCATTTTCTTTTCATCAGAGTTGAAAATGAAATTTGGGTTGTCTTTATTTATAGCATAATTAGTCAAATGCATGCACACATCATCCAGATTATTAGTATTAGGAACAATGTATGTCTAAGTTGCAAATCTAGCTAAGCCTTCCTTATACAAATAAATTCTTAATGGATCGCAACCGCAAATTAAGACGTACATTCTCAGATCAAATTTTAATCCATCAATAAGAAGTGGTTTATGAATATATCTTTACGCAACATAATGTTCAGTGGGATTAACTGACTCTATAGAGCGAGTTAAGAAGATTCCTTTTATATGAGCTGAAATTATACCTTTGCCTTAACAAGATGCTTCAGGTTTCAATATAAATGTTTTAGCTTTGCCAAATTATTGTTTGAAATCATTGTATTCACTTGGTAACATCCAAGTTCTAGGATAAAAGTCATAATCATCTGGAAATTGTTTTTACATTTTGTTCAAATTTTTGCCGAGATGATTTTTGCGAGCCAATGAATACATACCTGGAAAATGATTAATCTTCTAATGTGCTATGATAATTCATATGTAAGGTATCTTACATTGCATTTTGGCCAAAGTTTCAGGAAGAACAGCATTATCTGTCCAACAAAAATCCCAATTATTAACTTCCTAGTAGGGAACATATTGTAATTTAAACTTGTATATCATTTTTCCTACAAATTTCACAACAGGATACTAAGTATCTATTTAATTATGTGAGTATTACCTGAGACATTCATTATTAAATTTTTATTGGTGTTTTATAGCGATTTCTTTTTCTTTTTTTTATTTAACTCCTCATCGCTCTCTTAATCCTATGATTAATCGTCATCTTCTTCTTCGCTATCTTCGAAATCTCCATTAAATATTATCTCTTTTTCTTATTTCATATTTTATATACAGTTATTAATATAATGATTAATAAATGATGAAAATAATGCTATAAATATGTATTATAGAAATATAAAATAAAATAATATAATTAATAAAGAATTCAGGAATGGCTTCTAATTAAAATGAGCCTTTTATTGTTTATAAAAATTATAGGTAAAAATAAAAGGAAGCAAAAAAAGAAGTTCTCAAGGAGAAAATAGCTCCAAATGAAGTAAAAAAAAAAATTGAAAAGACAAAGAAAAATCCAAATCCATAACCAACTCAAAAAAAGATTGATCAAAATTTACTACTTAGAGTTATTCAGTAGCACCAGTAACAATAACAAATACTACAATAATTCATTCTTGATTAACGAATGAGTCATGCAAATGTGCAAGATGATGATATTGATGAATTCTCACCAATTTATAAATTTGGCATTCCAACTACACCTTAGAATGTTGCATTGCAAAGAAGAATGAGCAGAGATGACGACGATTTCAAAATTTGATCACTTATTTTGCAATAACATTCATTTCTATACTATTTTAAAATATTATAAGTCTACATCTTCAGTTCAAGTGTTTGATACCTAATTTTGTGTAAAGATATTTAATACAACTTAATAAAATAAGAAAATTGATTAATTTATGATTTATTATTAATTGATTGAATTTAGTAAACCATTACACATTGATTAATTTTATGTCATAACATAATTTATTAGATTAAATTTAATATATATGCAATTTATTTTAATTTGTGATAATTGCAATTGGTTAAATCAACTTGGAAGGTTTTTTTCAATCCACATTCTTATCCTAGTATACCAGACCAGAAAATAACAATATAATTATATTCTCACTTCAAAATATCATTTTATAATACTATAAATTGCTCGATTAGAACGGAATTTGCAATGCTTAATTAATTTTCATCGTTAATTGTGAATCAGTTTATGAGTTCAAAAATAAAGAGATAAGATTTAATATACTAGAATAAGCATTATAAAAATCACTAATACTCCACTCATCAACCTACTACAGATTATCAATTTCGTGGTAATGATATAGTAATTTTGATAATGCCTAAACGTTCTATAATTTTTTGGCTCAAATTTTCGATAGCCATTCTAAACATCTTTATTTCTTATCTAATGTAAATTATTGCTATTACCTTCTGTAAATTACTTCTCTAAATAAATTTAATAAAGCATGTTAAAATCTAATTCTTTTTAGTGTTGTTCTTTTAATATTGTTTCTTCGCTAAAAGTGTTTTACGAAAATGGTGAATATTCAGAATCATCATTGCTAGATTTATTTTAATCATTTTGGATTTTTCTATTTGAAAAGATATCAAAGTTGAGTGTGAGAGAATTCGAAAGACGCTCAACTTCTAATTCTGCTAATTTTATTTATTATTTTGTAGTCTCTTTTTAGATTAAGTGAGGATGAGGTTTTTAATTATATTGTTTGTAAATTTTTCGAAATTGTTTTAAAATTGGTATTTCTTTTTTCAAGGCAAATCGTTTTGAGGTCTATTTATGAGGAGATTCTGAAGTCTAATGAAGCATGTTTAAGTATATTAAATAAAATATAACTCATAATAGATCAAAAAACTGATTATGAATGTGTATAAATTAGAATTATATTCAATACTCACTGGATTTTATCCATTTATACTATAATTATAATATATTTATAAGTAAATATGAAATTTCTTAAATATAATGCAGTTATTAAGAAATCTTTCTTTTATTTTATAAATTCCATATTTCTGCCTTCCTCACACAATATTTTTTTATCATTCGCTATAAAACGTTAATTTGCTCAAATCTCTAATTTTTAGAATTTCAAATTAATTTTACAGTATATAATCAAATATTGACACTAAATTTAATCATTTCTTTCAACTCTGAAGTTTCATAGTAGACTAATAATTTTATTTTGATATAATACAGTTATTTATAAATTATGATATGAAACAATTTTTCAAATCGTATTTTTAACAAAAATGAAATACATTTTTATATAAGTTTTGATATGAAATTTCTTCGTTTGCATTTTTTTAAATAAAAGAAAATATATAATTAAAGTTGTTATTTGAATATCTAATATAATTAAGACTTATTATGATCCTCATGTATTTAATCTAATTTCCAAAAGAGTAATTAACTAAATACTCCATTTACATTGTCAAATCGACTCACATTATAGTATAATAATAAAAAAGGAAGATATAAAATGAGAATTATGAGGCAATGATTTTAGCCAACAATTAAAAAACTAAGGTACTTCCTGAAATAAAGAGATATAAGTTCATCTATGAATTATTTAAAGTTGAAATTATACAAGATTTTCAAAAAATTGAGAATTATCAAACCATTTTTTTACGAGGCAATTTTTGATGAATTAATCCAAAAATAGCCTTTGATTTAATACCTAAATCCTATGTGTAAATTTTCCACTTATACAAAAATCAGGATGTTATATATTTAATAATTGCTGAAAAAATTAGTTGAGTTTGTTAAAACAAATAATTAATATTTTATCCTTGATTCTCATTTTGAAATCATTTACTCTGAATAATGTCTTAAATATTAAGAAATAGCTTGTAAATTGGCATAGATCGTGTTCGATCATATTATTTTCTAAAAATCAGAGATTTTTGAGGGAAAATAATAAAACTAATTCAAAATTCAAAAAGAACCATTAGCCTACCCATAAGATTTAATAAATAGTAGGTTTAAATTCTTAAACATAAAATTCAAAAAGCAATTATTTATTAATTTTTGAATATCAAAAAATGTCTAATTTGTAAAAATAAATTTACACCAAAATTATTTTGTTAATACTAAACCTTAGATCTATACTCAAACACAACAGAAACAATATATAGAATGTATTTTCAGAATATTCTTTACTATTTTTTTACACCAAAGAATAAACATTTAGTTAAATACATTAAGTCAAGTTTGAGGATTACTTAACTTCAACTCAACATTCAACCTCTTCAATTAATTATTTAGAGTTCAATTGTTAAAAGAAAATTATAAATATTTAAAACTACAATACTGCAAGAAACTTTGCTTTGTTGTATAATTAAATATTTGTATTAACAATCTTAATGCGTTATAAAATCAAATAAAAACTATAAAGGGGCCCACGATTAGCGAATTATTTTTCAGATTGTTATAATTATATTATATATATATAGTTTTATAATTGGTTTTTACGATAAATTTAATTAAATTTCGATTTTGTAAGCATCTAAAACCGTAGCATATAAGAAGTGTTTCTTATCAATTTATTACATGACAGTAAAGAAATTCAATATTAAAGTTCAGGAATTAAAGAAAGAAGTGATTAATTTTACTAATTAATTTTATTCATTTAATTTTCTTTAATATGTATTCATTCTTTATGAATAACTTATAGAAATGCATAAGATTATGATACAATACATTTTATGCTTATTAATGTATTGATGTATGGTATTTTAGTTATAATTTGAGTATTTCTTAATTGGTATTGGTTTTTATATGATGCCAATCTATTATAGATTGAGAGTTTTAGTAATACATTTTTTAGTATATCTTAATAATAGTTTATATTTGTTTAATTATATTAATTAAAAAATACAATTATGAGTAGAAAACAAACATCATCCATGTATCATTAAAAATTTAACTTGTTATAGATCACCTCAGATTGCTAAAGCTATTCATAAGCAGAGTAAGGACTCTGATTCAAGTTCTTCTGAGAAGAGATATGGCAAATTTTGGAAACCAAATGAGGATTCTTTATTAATGGAATTGCACATTAGGCATAACGGAAACTGGAAATTAATTGCTGAGGGCATTCCAGGAAGAAATCTTAGCTAGTGTTAATAAAGATGGAAGAGAATTAATCCAAATAAAGTATTTTTGCATCTATTTTTTGACTAAACTTCGAAAATAGTGGACAGATTTTGAAGACCAAGAAGTTCTAAGGCTAGTTAATGAGCACGGTCGCAATTGGAAGCTGATTGAAGGGCTTATGGAAGGGCGTTCAAGTAAATAGATAAGAGAAAGGTTCTTAAATAATTTGGATCCTGAAATAAATAGAGAAAAATTCACTTTATAGGAAGATCAAATCATTTTAGAACAATATCGAATATACGGTCCTAAGTGGAGCGAGATCGCAAAGATGTTAAATCGAAGACCAGTACAGTGAGGACCTATCATTAGGAAAACTAAGTGAAGAATCGATTTTACTCTTATATAAAAAGAGTACATATGTTAGATGAAAGATCAGATGATGAGGACAATGATCGATCAATGGAATCGGAACCAGAGCAACCACAAAAAATAGTTCCAAATTCGACACTGAATGTTTCTTAGCCTATATACCAACCCTTAGAAACTATATAGAGTCTAAAAGAGGAGCATGACAATACAAAAAACGATTCATTGCTGATAAATTAAACACCATCTCATCGTATACAACCTTCCATTAATTTGATTTAAGGTCGTCTTTTATCATTTATATCTAGATTCATTTGATTCTAAGCAATTCGGAGGGATGGAGGAATAAGATAATTCCCCATTTTATTAACATAGAAAAATATTAGACTATAGTCCCATTAATTTTTAGTATTACTAACATTAACCCAACTTTGATATGATATAGGAGGATATGAAGGAGTTAAAATGTTAGATAGAAAGTATAAATATAGAACATCCCAATTGAAATTTAATTTAATTTATTTATTTAAAGCAGTTTTCGTACTAAGTCTTTAATTGAAAAGTTCAATACTGCATTATAATCAAAGTCCAATTAAAATAAATATAGTAATATATTGTATACAATTTGAGTTGATAAATGAACTAAGAAGAGTATTTCTAAAATTTTCAAGTTTTGTTATAATAAGTAATTAATTTTTGAATATATATACTTAACAAATGAATAAAAATTAATCCATTTCTTCTTAACTTTATTACTTAATTAATTTCTAGATCATCTGATTTTGAATCTTGCCCTTGTAATGATCCTAAAGCATTTCTCCTTCTTCAGTAATTGTAAAAAAATTATATAAAATTTAAAATCTAAAATGGGATAATGTAATAACTGTTAATCATGTTAAAAACCTGACGGAAGAGAGCTAACAGTTGAGCAATAAGTATATTAATGATTTTAAGTATTTAGGCCTATAGAACTAGCTAATAATAAAGCCAAGTAAAATATTTTTCAGCTATCATAGACCAGCAAATAAAGAGTTTCTAATATAAGTGGCGATCATGGAGGTAAAACTAAGAAGGTTAAAGCGGCCATTTTAATTCAAGCCTATTGGAGAGGTTATGTTGTTAGAAAAAAAATATAAAAAAAGTCAATTGGAACAAATGAGATGGCAAGTGCTCCTCCAACAGCAAATAAGTATTTTAGCAGCGATAAAGATTATGCTCAATAACATAGCAATTCAAAAACAAGAGAACAAAGGCCTCCTTTTAAGTACAAGAGTGGAGCAATATATGAAGGAGAATGGATTGGAAATTCTAGGGATGGACAAGGTACATAATTATGGAATGATGGGGCCAAATTTGTTGGATAGTGGAAAAATAATATGGCTCATGGCAAAGGAAAATTTTTTCATGTGGATGGAGATGTTTTCGAAGGAACCTGGGTTGAAGATAAGGCTTGCGGTTTTGGCATATACACACATGCTAATGGAGCGAAGTATGAAGGGGAATGGCTAAATGACTTGCAACATGGATTTGGAGTAGAAACTTGTAATTTATAATTAGATTATGATTATAGGGGCGGATGGTTCTAAATACGAAGGGTAGTACTGTCAAGGAAAGAAGCATGGCAAAGGGAAGTATATTTGGAATGATGGCAGTTACTATGATGGAGATTGGGATAACAATTAGATCAGTGGAAAGGGAATATATTAATGGAGTGATGGACGAAGATATGAAGGAGAGTGGCTAAATAATAATATGCATGGATAAGGACATTACACTTGGCAAGATGGGAGATCTTATAAAGGAGGGTACATCAACGATAAGAAACATGGTTATGGAGTTTATACTTGGGCTGATGGCAGAAAATATGAAGGAGACTGGGTAAGTGGAAAACAGCATGGTAGAGGGCAATATATCTTATTAGATGGATCAATAAAAAAAGGAGAATGGATAGAGGGGAAGAAGATTAAGAACATCTAAAATTGACTATTTATTAATTTTAAATGTGTATAATTATTCTCACTTGAAAATCAAATTTAATTATCCTTGATCAAAGTTCAAAATTAAATATAAGAAACTTCTAATTACCGTATCTTTAAAAACCAATTCTTTATTCATATAATCTCTACGCTTATCTAAATAATTTAAAAATAAATAACGACTTTTTTTTTTTAATCAAATATTGAACAGTAAATTCTATTCTTTACTAAATATTTTTAATTTCAAACCTATATTATAGATTAATGAGAATCAACTGTAATTTTAAAGGAGTATGAATCATGAGATATAAACGACAATTATATTTATTTGATAATCCGATCCCATTTGCTCTAATAATGAAGATTATTTAGTTATCAAAATCAAGAGCAATAACAATTTTATAATTTAGACAATGTTTTTTGGATCCAAGTACTATTTTTCATTTGATATAAGAATAATAGTAATTACCTTAAAAAATCCTTAATTAAATATTCCTAATCTTACCTAACTATCAGTGTTATAAATCTTAAAAACATAGAATTAGCAAAATCGCAATACCTTTTAAATTAATTAGAGTATAGGTATCCTTTAAATCTTTTAGAGAATGCTCAATCATTTTATGATTTAAATTTATTCTTAAAGTCCTTTCATAAATAATTACAGAATCTTTTTCTTTTACCTTTGAATATAAAATAATTCTCCATTTAAGATTTCTAAATTGGATAACCAATTCAGAATTTGAAATTATAAACTACTTTAGAATAAGATTAATATGCTCACACATACTAAAGTCTTTTGTACTTATTTTAATCATTGAATAGTTAATACTTTCAAAAGATAATTAATATATAATTAGATTATGCTGTTTTAGATGCAAATATATATTATGTTTCAACTATAAGGAAACTATTGATTTGCTGGGGGCGGCATAGGAACATAATTTGGTTATGAAGCAGCCTAAGGCGGTTATGGTGGATATCCTTGTTATTGGCTTGGATTATTATATTATTAGGCATTTGATGTAGGATAGCCAGGAGATGGTTACTGAGGAGGATAGGTGGTTTACTATTAAGGATAACTCTAGTATTGCTAATTGGTTGGATTATATGGTTATTAATAAGGTGGTTGTTGTCCTTATTAATAAGGCTGGGCACCATAGCCTGTAGGTTATTAATTAGGATATTATTAAGGAGGAGGAGGGTATTGGCCCTAACCAGGATATTAATTTGGAGGAGGAATTTGACCTGGAGGAGGATACTGTCCTTGAGGGTATTGTCCTGGAGGGTATTATCCTGGAGGGTATTATCCTGGAGGAGGGTATTGTCCTGATTGAGGATATTAGCCTGTAGGAGGGTATTATCCAGGAGGTGGCAAGGGATTGTATGTTTAAGGATATGTATTAACATTTTATCCATATGGTGGAGGAAATGATTGATTTTGGGTTGTTGGATATATATTACTATAGCCTCCAGGGGGAGGTAGAGCATAATCCTCATCCGGTATATAAAAGTCATAGGTCTTATAGACATCTGTAAAATAATGTCCATTGTTTTAGACTGTGATTGCCATCAATCCGTAATTCTTACAAAAGTAGCTTAAATAAACATTTTTCAGAAGTTATAAATCTGAGCATAATTCCACCATTTATGAACAGACTTCAAATTAATCAACATTCATTCCAAAATATTCTCGAAACATTTTTCCCAAAGAGTGTAATTCTGGAAAATGATGAATATGATGGCCAGCATATTAGATTGTTCCTATTTACTTGGTCAATTTTTTATTCATCTAGAATGGATCATGAGAATAATTGAGAATGACGTGCAAATGTTTTTCCACATGTTTCACAATACTTAAATATAATATTTTTTTACTTCTATAAATATATGTATATCTATAAATGTCTGTAATCCTATAGAAGTTGATCTATGAGCTGAAGTTCTTTTGAGTGATTATGATGATAACTATTAGATAACATTAAGAGTAAATGCTATTCATCTCTTAAGAGATTTTGCCTGTTCACTCCTTCCTTATAGTAACATTAGCTAATAACCAATTCACACTAAGCCTTAAATTGATGATGAGTATACATTTATTTAAAATAATAATCAATATCAAAATTTATTTTTACATACTTCAAATGTCATCAAATCTTTTTATTGTGTTTAGAATTGAGTCTAGAGCTAGTTTAAAATATTCTTCTTATAATTTTATTTAAGCTTTCATCCAAAGATTTCGAGAAATATCATCAGCAAATGATTTTAGATCCCGTTTAACTAAATCAGGAAATTTATCCTTTATTAGCATAAAAAATTCGTTTTCAAGATAGATGTTCAAATCTTCTTTTGATTTTAGATAAAGTTCCTCAATTTCTAACTTATATTCAGGACTTTGTCTGAATAAACTTTAATAAAACTAATTAAATAACTTCGTCTCCTAAACTAATTTATTTTCTAATCTAGATTGAGTTTCTCGATAGATTTTAATGGTCATATCCATACAATTAAATATTGTTTACAATAATTATTCTTAGTTTTATTATGAGAAAGAGTGATAATAATGTAATTACCATAGTAACACTTCCATAAAAGAAGATTTATTTATTTCATTCAGTTTTTAATTGAATAGTTGAGTAACCTTATTAATATATTCAACCTTAAATGGGTTAATCAAATAGGAAAGTTTGATTTCTTTAGATCTATTTTTTTGATTTAGTTATTCTGGCAAGTTTTCTAAAAGTCCTTTTTAATTTCCAAATTGCTTAATTTAAAATTAGATTTTGATTTTATCATTTAGTTCTGCTAATTTTGTGTTTATAGATTTTATTTACGATTTATCATTTGAATCTTTGGTAAAAGTATCTTAGAAATTATAAAATTTTATTTAAATCTCATCTAGAGTCATATTTAAAAAAGAATGGGAATTCAATTGATAGATTAAAATATTCTCTAGACTTATCTAATTATGTTATAATTATTTTTAGTTTAATTGTAAGTATTCTTTATTCACCAAGTTGATTATTTATTGGATGAAATTAGAAATATAATCTTATTGTTTGTATGATTAATCAGTATTTATTAAATCAATAAATTATCTTAAACTGATTGTATTGAAAGGATTAAAAATAAAATATGAAAAATAGGGTGTTTCTAACTTTGATAAAATAATATTTTTTTCTTCTTACAAATAATCCAAAATATATTTTAACCTTTCTTAATTTCCTACTTATATAGATTATTTTGCTAACATTTCTTGTTTATTATTTTTAATATTATTTTTTATTTAATAGAATTGCATAAAAACCCCAATTTTAGGTCTGCTACATTTATATATATAAATCATTTTTTAATTTTTTTAGATGCAAAATCAAGTTTCTTTGATATTGATTTCTTCTTTTATTTCATATATGCATCCAGCTTTCCTGTAGCTTCAAGCGAATCAAACTTTTATTTTAATAATTCTTATTTGATAATACCTAAATTATAAATTGATGATTTACTTTATTTAGGATGATAATTCTTTTTCTTTAATTTAGAAAACGTTTGTTATTTTTTCAAAAATTATTCTTATTTGATTAGTTCATCTTTCTATTTACCAATTATTTATTTTATTTTTTATTTGGATTCATTGTCAAGTTTTTCGGATTACTTTTTTAGGACTTACATCTCATTTGATTTCATTTTTCCAATAAAATCATAAGATTTATAAAATTTGGTTAAACTTAAATCACCAGATGTTTTATCGAATCTTGGATCTCTTTGTTCTTATTTTTTCTATGGCTAATTTTTGATCTTTGGCAATGGTTTTCTTGCATCTCTTACTTCAGGACTTCATTTTAATAATACATCAAATATATACCCTCCTTTGAGTTTTTTTGGCAATTCTTAATCCTTGATTTGGGTTTTAGCTTATTACTGAGATTTCATTTACTTCTCAAAACCCAATAAAGTGTGGAATGGAACTTATGTCAATTATTCTTTAATCTATGCTGATCAACAGAAAAATTACCTGTAATTCTTCATCCATTATTAATTAATTTCTTTTAATTATAATTTTATATTGAATTATATTGAAGAAATGTTAAATTTAGTATACCAATTCGATTATATTAAAAATAAAAAAAACTGGTCACCATATAGAGTTTGCTGAATACTCATCAGGAAAAATTATTAATTTTTCTTTCAAAACCTTAATTTGATTTTACAAGTAATTATTGTAATTTACAATGAGTTTTTATTATATTTTTTTGGAAAGACTTGCCTATTTGAACTTTATGCTTATTTATTGTCATTAATCAGATTTTAATTTATATAATTTAAGTATGCTTTATTTTTTTTATTATTATTTCAATAATTATTAATGATTTCTATTAAGTGTTGAGTTAACAGTTTGATTTAATCTATTGAGTAACTCATGATAAATGGAATATTGTTATAATTCACGATTCCCAATAATTCTATCTGTTTCTTCATAATTCTGGTGAGCTAATTTTATTCATAATTTTTATATTCATAAATAATTTAAATATTTTAAACTATTGGTAAATATTTGCCCTATGAAAACAAAAGCTACTATAAAAATGTTGCATCTTTTTTAATTTTATCATATATAATAAGTAATAAATTCGATATTAATAATATTTTGGTAAATTTCCTCACAACTAATCAATTATTCAACCCTTTTATCATGTTTCAATTCGAATTAGAGATCTTTGAATTCCTTTGTATTTGAATAGTTAAAAGTATTTCTATGGTCTTTTGAACTTTTATATGAAAATATAAAGAATCAAGTAACATTCGTCCGATATATAATCATGTCAAAATGCAAATTTTCCTTTAAATTTTGATATCAATCTAAAAATGGTAAATTTGATCAGCCGGATAGTTAGATTGGTTAAGGCAAATCAACAACCTTCTGAAATTTAATGTTAAATATCATAGTGTTCATAAAATTTTGAATCATTAAATCACAACATGAATTAATTATAGATTAAAATTTATTTAAATTTTACATAAATTTATAATTAGAAATAGGTGAATGGATTAATAAATTTAATATTATGAATAGGAATGAATATCCAAAATTATAATATATATAAATTTAGTATGGGATTTGAATTGAATAAGATATAGAAATAGATTTTCAAGAAAATTATTCAATAAACATCATTTATAGTATGACACTGTCGCCTGTAATATTAATAAAGGCTATTTTATAATTTTGATTCTAATAAATAAATATTATAAAATCATTAAAAGTTTTATCAACTTATTTATTTGTTTTTATGTTAGAATAAAAATTTAGGATACCTGAATTTCCATTTTTCAAAAGTAAAAAAAGATCTCTAAAATAATTTCTGTTGTT